ATTTTCATCTCGCCTGCAGTGGTGGTGCTTATATCAATGGAGGTTTAGTGGATGGGGAACCTCTGTCAAGCTACATTTTGTGATTACATGGAAGAGATGCCTGTTTGCGCATTCCCCAAATTGAAGTGTTGCTTAGAATTCTCAATGCTGGAAACAGGGAGGTCGACAACTCGAGTAATTAGTCAGCAAAAAGGTGTCATGTGCAAGTGCTGATGAGTGGGTGCTTATCCCTTTTCTCACCTTCCAATAAACGAATCCGCAACAGAAACCGTTGCTTAATAATCGTGGCCTATGTGCCGTCAAATAATACTTAATTTTATCATCCCATAAACTTTACACACATTACTCTGCATCTCAGTTTATCATGAGATGGCAGAATAGAACAGGTTTGCTTTTATGTGCACCTACACTTTGTAGGTTGCTGAGAAATTAAGGCTACTTATAGTTAATTATGTTGGAAAAAGAGCAGATTTATTATTGTACACTTTAAATAGGTATTTTTTTCCATTTTCATGTGATTTGAATTCAGATTGGCAAGCTTTTGTACAGGTAAGAAGCCTTGCCATTTGGGTAAATCCTTTTTCAATTTTGTTTTTACCATCAAACAAGCCAGGTCCAATATCTATTGGGAGAGAATAATTATGAGAGCAATTCCACAGCTGTAGAAAATTACAGTGCAGTGTTTAGAGTTTAATAATGTTCGGATTCAAGGTAAATTACTTATTTGTTTCCAATTACCTCGAATGATGAACTCGCCAGCATTACTAATACATGTTCTTGCGGTGCACGTTTCATTCACCGCCAGTCTTGTGAAGTGAGGTTTAGCGATTTCCAGCGGGTAACTGAAAGTATTGGATTAAATTAGGGCTCGCCGAGGTGCTCATGTCAACATGCACAGGGCCCTTCAGCGGGAAGAGGAGCCAATTAGAAGCCAAATGAAGCGGTTTGACATTTGGAGCGGTAGAATGGATTTAAACGCCAGGTCACTGGCACCGCGGAAGACCGCGCCCGCCACTTTACTGCATCTCCAACTTTGAACGTCTTCTGCCGTGTTTCGCGATGGCTTCCCGTGGTGCCCCGTGCTGCTCGCCCCTGCTCTTACGATGAAGCTTCCCGTTGGCCGATACAAACTGCAACATCCAGAGGCACCTCCTAGTGATCTACATCATGCTGTGGTGATACGGACAGCTGAGTGAATAATGGCGAAGCGCCAAAAAATATAATCGCGTCGATCAAGAAATCAAAGTGTCCTGCACATCTCAGATGGTTAAAAGCACGTTCATTTGAAATTCTAATTAAAACTGGCCGTGTCTTGCTAACGTTTTCTATCATGCACCCGTGTCACTTTTGAAGAGCTCTTTACTTTGGCTTTTTGATCCAGCCTTAGGCAATTCCCAGTTTTTTTTCGGGATCCCAATAATTCAATAGTCCAAGCAACCATTAATTTCTTCACTATGGATTGACGGCTGAGTGTCTCATGCAGTTCTCTCATGTATTACCCTGTCTGTTTCTGACAAGGAACGGCTGAAAATGATGTGACCTGTGACTCCAGCCTCCAGCTTCCTCCGTGGAGGATGACCTACACTGCCATCTCCAAGCCGATCCCATCCCTTCCATTGGCTTTGCTTCTGGCAAAGAAAACTGACTCCACTCTTCCAATTGAATTCAGGTGATCTTGACATTGAAGCCACTCTGAGGAGTCTATTTTAAGAGAAGTTACTTAAAGGTCATCCCCATCGGGTTCATCGAGCAGAACAGAACAAGAGTGACAAGTCAATTATGGAATACGGCTATGCTATCACGACATTGGTTACATATTAGCTATTGTTCGTGTAAATAGTCAATAAACAGTGCATAAAAAAAATCCCATCTTGAGCTCATTTGAAACATTAAATATGAATGGGAACATTTAATAAAAAAAAAAACCGTTATGACAACCACAATTATCATTAATCCGTGACATTGTAAAGCGACAAAAGTTCAGGAGGCTTAAACGCGGTGACATTCAACTTGCAAACGACGAGTCAGTGCTGAGAGATGATTCGGGTTCTCCAAGATTCGTGTGCCAGGATCTCCACACAATGCTAAACCCCGAGCATACTAAACCCTGGCGGAGAGCCTCCAGCATGCCTTGTCTGCTTTCTGACCCCCACGGCTTCGAGAAGTCCGGGCCATTCATGTGGTCGGTGGACGAAGGAAACTCCTGGCCCACGTGGACTCCAGGCTGTCATGCACATATGGATTAAGCACAACTCACAATGTTCGAGGTGCTATGGGGGGAAGAGAGAGGGAGAGAGAGAGAGATAGAAGCACCAACCCCCCGTGTAGTTTCGAAGGACCGTAAAAACGGTGTCATATTCCACGGGAAAGGCCACTTTGGGTGTGCCAGGCCTTGGCGACAGAAATGTAATCAGCGCCATCCCCCTGCACGGCTCGTTGGCCGTGTCTCAGTGGCTGCATTTCACCCCCCACATTTCCCCGCTTGCTGGTTGAACCGTGCGCAGTCACATTTTACTGCCAAGGCGACAGCAGACTGGCGATGCGATATAATTTAATTTATTGGTACAAGCTGCATTGTTGGTTACGGCATGTTAAAGCTACGTGTAAATAGTAAAAAAAATGGCACTTGGGAAATTTCCATTAGGGTAATGTGAGTATTTTTTGTTGTTGAAGATTGTTCTTTGTTGTTTTTTTTTCTTCATGCAAACGCTTTAAGGAGACAACATTGCTTTGGGGTTTATAGGAAGCAAAAATCACATTAGTAAAAAAAATGAAGGTGTACTTTTGTTAAAATATTGCCATGTCCCTCCTTATAATTTGTCCGGGGGCATCACAGTTGTGATGCCTGCGTGTATGCTTAACAAAGGCCTCGAGACAAAATCTCTTTCCATTTGAACGTTTCCTTTGCTCGTCTCGTCACTTCACTATACCCAGAACCTGATGAAGTCAAGTGTTTGTATTCCCACTGAGCCAAGCATTTTAAAAATTATCAGATATTTGCCACATTTCACTGCGCAGACCGGGATTCAATAACAATAAAGATAAAGAATATATGTATAGTAAATAAATAAATAAGCGCGCATATCCCTTCTGACCTCTGCATTATTAAAGGCTTTCAAATGGGATTTGCCGAGACAAACGTGGAGTAGGGATTTCCGCATGGGGGATATTTGTCGTGTTCTCGTCCTGCGCCATTCATCAGACTGATAAGCCAGGCCAGCTCGATGCAATATTACCAGGATTTTATCACAGCACTCAAAAAAAAAACTATGGGGGGCAAAGAAGTGGGTAGCTGAGAGATGGAGATGGTGAGCTTGATGGGACTTCACTCCTACGTCTGCTCGGTTCCTGTTGGTCTTTTCGAGTTTGTGTTATTGCGACCGACACGATGACAAAACACTAATAACGATCATAATCTGTCTGAAGTCGCTTGGCTTTGAACGAGTGCATAAGCTAACTTCTAATTGTAATTTGTGACTAAACACCTAGGCTTAGTCCAATTGTAAACACAATTTGCATTTCTTTTTAATAAGCAGGTCAAAACATGTAGTGTCACAAAAAGTCTCCATGCATGTACACAAAGGAATTATAGCTGTTTTGTGTTGTGTTTTAAAAGCGCCGTATAGTAGCTACGACAAACATAACGTGAAGTACATTTCAAGTGCCAATCATCCGAATGAAAATTAATTTTCATGGAGGGTATCTATGGATGCCCTGATTGTTACACAGCAAAACCATGTTACTGTAATTATACATGGGAGCCTAAGAGATGGAGACACCATACTCCTTCATCCTCAGTCACAAAAAAACTGTTTATTGCACATCATGGGACCTCCTTTGCCAGTACCAAAATATACTGATAGGGTTTTTCCCCTTTTTTCTGGCAACAAACTGACAAACTGACACCAAAACTGGTGTCAGTTTTGTTGCCAGAAAAAAAGGGAAAAACCCTATTAGTATATTTTGGTACTGGCAAAGGAGGTCCCATGATGTAGCTGCTCACCCCGAGCTCTCATTACTCTGGTAGTGCGTTGTCTTTGAACTGTGCGCCTTTTGGCGTCATCTGGTCGAACACCATATGAGACTAGGCTCCAAAGAAAGCTGTCTCTGGTGTGGACCAATCAGTTTCAAAGACAATGCATAAATTATCAGAGTATTGTTTTTTGTTTGCATTTGACTGCAAGTATTGTGGTTAATGTAAGCATGATTCCTTGCAAAAGTTGTCAGTTTTGTTGCCAGAAAAAAGGGGAAAAACCCTATTAGTGTGTTTATTGCACAGTTCATAAATACTTAAAATGAAGTAGGGTTAATAATATCCTAATGTGTACGTGGCATAGCAGCACGTTTTGAAATACCATACTCTGAATTGAAATACAAAACCATGCAGCAAGCTCTGCCATGTTTTATTATAACCCAGAAACAAATATATAGAACAGAATTAAACATCACTTATCCCCAATAAATAATCACCGGTTCATAATTTAGGATTTTTAAATATTAACTTAGCAAATACCATAGGGTCGTCATTGCCCGTATAAAAAAGTATAGGCTTAGACATTCAATCCATTTCAATATGTACAAAATACATTATCTGCACATTAATAGTCCAAGTACCATATTACAAAATACCTTATTTAAACAGCTAATCCCCTTCTTACACTGTCAATGAATTGCAAATAGTTCAACACGATTCATTCCTGCTTTCAATATCTGCAGCACCAGCCAAACGGTTCATGCCCCAGGGGTCAGTATTCAATATTACTTGTGTTGCAGTGGTCACCTTTAGTCATCAAAGGTATCCAGCAAGATGTTCAGTTTATCGCAAGTGCCCTTATATTGAATTTAATTAAAATGTACGCATTTTCATTAAAAGAAAAAAAACTACAGCAAAAATAAAAAAAAAGTTGACTTGCTGACTGATGTACTGATGTTTAATGGTTTATTGAGTTACCACAATAATGATTACTGATACTTCCAGCCTAAATCTATGTTTTTGGATGTTTGTTTTATCATGCTATGGCTTGCTTTGGTTAAATTAGCCATATGTATTCAAGGCCAAACCTAGACTGTTTAGCAGCGACTTGACTTACTCTAGCCTGACTTTCAGAGGGTCCATTCCAAAGGATACATTTTAAAACCCTTTCTTTCAAATTTCAGCAGCCCACAATCGTTGAAGCAAACTGCAAATGTAGTCTATAACCTGTTGGTTCCTTAAGACACACACAAACACAATATAGTTCTAAAGTTCCAAAAAATGTCATCTACTTTTTAGACATTTCATATCTCGGTTAAGACCATAGAAATGTCATCCATCGGCATCAAACAAACTATACTGCGTGAGAAATATCAAACCAGTGTGTAAGACTTTGAGTAAACATTAGCACCAGGCTTCTGAGGCCTGCTGGGTCCAGCTAGGCCTTGCTCATCTATCGAGTCTCTAGAGCCTGAAGGTCTGATGGAAGGGTTGGAGCCATGACGATGGGCCGCGTTGGCGGGAGGCGGTAGAGGAGGCCCTTCGGAGGAGGGCGGTGGCGCGTTGGCTGGCGGGAAGGCAGGGTGGACCGGTGCAGGTTGTTCTCTGCCAGCGCTTGAAGCAGGTGGCTTGGGGAAGCTGGCCTGCGGTTCGGGGATGTTGCTTCCGCTCGCTTGGGGCACGGCGACCTCCCGCGGAGCCGCCACCTTCCCGGCAGCCCCTTCCCTCTTCACGTAGACTGGGAGGTTACAGTAGTCTCCTGCAAACAAGTCTGCGTCACTTTGGTGCACTGTCCGCAAAAGCAATCACAGTCGCTATTCGGTGGGCAATTCAGTGCGAGGTGATTACTCTGTCAACGTTCGTGCAGGTGTTCCTCGGAACACAATAATAATAATCAAAGAAGGTTAAGGTGCAGCCCTGCAAATTGTCGCTCTTGACACTACTGGCAGAAAGGGCGCTCCGCTCCAATTAGCACGGTTGGCTACGTATGGTGCGAAAGAAGTTCAACGTACATACACACGTACAACGCAAGCGAGCGTCTCTAGAGGGTGTTTGGCTTGCTCATCCACACCGGCCAGACGTCTCGGAAGAAGTGGGAGCAACCACACTTTAACCCATCACACGCAACCTGTCGATCGACTTTTGTGGACCCATTTATGTTGCTGGGAGGACAGGGGGGGTGGGTGGGGGGTGAGATTGTAATCATGACCCCCTTTATTTACGCCGTCATGCTTGGAGATTAAATACAACCACCAATCTATGAATTTAAAGTCCAGTGCGTTAACTACCCATGCCAGCATCCACAAAACAGGAATGAAGTATGATAATTGGTTTTTTACCCTTCTATCTGGCAACAAAACTGACACCTTTTTTTTACAAGGAGTCATGCTTACATATACCACAATACCTGCAGTCATAATGCAAACAAAAAAACATAACTCTGATAATGTGCACTGTCCTTGAAGTTGATTGGTTCACACCCGAGACGGCTTTCCTTAGAGCCTAGTCTCACATGGGTTGGGACCAGATGACGCCAAAAGGCGCACAACTCAAAGACAATGCACCATCAGAGTATGAGAGCTCAGGGGTAAGCATTTACACCATTGGAATCTCATTTTTTTGCATTATGACTGCAGGTATTGTAAAAAAAAGGTGTCAGTTTTGTTGCCAGATAGACGGGTAAAAAAACTATTATCATATTTTTACTGGCAAATGAGGTTCCATTGGAGGAATGCAGTATTCACAAAATGCTGAGAGGTAAATCATGCAGGAATATGGAGGTCCTCATCAAGTAGTGGCCAGAAGGTGGTTATAAAATGTCATGCTGATGTAAACAATAATGCCAAAATCATGTTGACTCCACATTTTCCAAGAAAGTTTTATATAGCAAGGCACAATACTCTCTCTGTGTATAAGGAATGGTCAAAATGTTTTGAGAATATAATACTGTACAATCATAGTGCCAATCGCACGCTTGATTAAATACAATGTCAACAGAGATTACAGGACTAAGCTGAACGATGAAGTAACATTTACAATGTATTGTACTCTTTGATAACCCGATCCAGAAATCATGTTGTGAGTCGCTTAAATAATGTAGTGGGGTGGAGCGGTGGTGCAGTGATTAGCGCACTGCACTGAGAACCTGGCCACAGCTAACATTGAGCCTGCAGGCTCTGCCTTTGCCAACCCTCTGCACTGACCAGCAGTGGTGAAATATGGTCAAACAACCCCCAAAAATCAACACAGCATATGGAGGCCTTCACCCAGCAGTGTATTGACAAAAGATCTTCGTGTTCTTATTTTTACGTTGTTAAATATGTACAACGTATGTATGTTGAACTTTGTTCGTACCATACGAAGTCAACCATGCTAATTGGAAGTGCAGGGAGGGGCACAACAAACTAAAGACAAAAAGCACTGAAGGAAATTAGTGTTTAATCTTGATGTAAAAGTGCACAGCACCCGGTGGCTTCCTAATATAGGAAGAAGCATTCCAGACGCCCGCCGAATAAATTTACAGCACAGCGCCATTGGAGCAAGGGCAAGGCAGTGGCCAAACGGGAAGCCGAATTTATCGGAAACTAAGCGAACAGTGGTGGCCCAAATGCCCCGACCTCTGGTGGGGGCAGTGCCAAAGCCGCGGATGAAGGAGGCTCCGTCAGTCACAACACAAGGGGCGCAAGGCAGAGGTCGCAACCGGGTATCCGATACCCGTACCCTACCCGATACCCGGCTACCCGTACCCGGCCGGGTACGGGTACCCGTTTGCGACCCTGGTGCGGCCGGGTATGGGTACGGGTAGACCGTGAGTCACTGGTGAGTAACTGTTTGTCACTCATTTCCCAACGTCTTGTCTCTTCTCACAATTCAAGTTCCTAGAATCAACCCACCCGCGCCTGCAACATGGCTTCATCCCAGAGGTCGCAATCAGGTACCTGATACCGGGTATGGTACGGGTAAAGGCCGGGTACGGGTTCGGGTACCCGTTTGCGACCCTGGTGCGGCCGGGTACGGGTAAGGAATCAAAACCCGTTTGCGACCTCTGCAAGGGGCGCAAGGTGCCGCTGGGTAGGGGGAGAGGGGGGGATCACGTGACGCGTGGCTCACATTTGCAATGTTACCTGCACGGTGCGCAATGGGCATGGCCATGCTTCCCTGGTTCGTGCTCGCCACCTGCGGTTTGGGCGGAGAGGCGGTGAAGCGACAGATGCCCGACTCGCTGGGCGTGCTTCCAGACGTGAGGCTGTCTCCGCCGGGCTCGCCGCCCGTACCCGCCGTGCCGCCCGTCAGCCGCTGCTCCGAGGATGTGTCGGAGACGAAGCACTCGGTGATCTCGAAGGTGGCGTTCTTGAGCTGCTCCTCCATCCGCGCGTGCTCGTACGCTCGAGCCAGCTCCTCGTAAGTGGACGACGCGCTCTCCGTCGACACCATGCTGTTCCGGCCCTTGTCTGCGCGCAGCATCGAACAGCGGGTAATGTCATATAATTTAAGAGGCTATATGTGGCTTGCCCCCCCCCCCCCCGTACCGAAATGTACAATTTTGGTACATTTGCGAAATGGTGGCGGCACTGGCTGAAAATGTGCTTCTGAGAAGAAGAAAAAAACGGATTCTTGGAAACGTAACGGTGGTACAATTTAAACGTGATATGCGGCATATCATCATTTGTTGTGTTCCACTAAGATACAAAAAGAAATACTACACCTGCCTACATATAACCTACCAGATTGTCTCATATTTATATATTGTTCTTGAAGACCACTGCGAAGAGAATAATGGAAAATGTAGAGGTCAACCCAACCGTGTGAGAAAGCCAGACTTGGGAAAGGTTTTTCTACCATTGACCACATACATACAATTTCTGGAAATGAATATAAAAAATCACCATGTCTGACTTTAATCAGGTATGGTGATATATATTATCACTGTGTTTACAGTGGTGCACATTTTACGTGCAGTCATCCAGGATATCACAAAACAAGGCCTCAATAAATAAATGCAGAAAATGTACGGATTTTATTCTCTAAAAATAGAACAGTTACACTCCGATTTCACAAAAAAATTGAATTAAATACAAATCAGAAGCAGAAATGTGACACACTTTTGCCAAAGTTATTAAAAGGCGACATTTGAAGATATTTCTGAAAAGTAGACTTGAGATATGAAGGCGTGAGCATAAATTAAGTGAGTATCAACAATCTCAGATTTTCTGACGATATCGTTATCATAACAACCAATGGAAATCAACTGGAGGTAATAATTACATAAACTTAACACAGAAGGCTGAGAAGTTGGGAAAACATTTTTTTACGTGAGGAAAACTAAAGTTCACTGAACAAGAGAAAAACAAATGGTGGAGGAATACAATCATAAAATACGACAACTATCTAGAAAATTATTGAAAGTAGACTGGGATCAATATGATTAAATAAAGAGGTGAGTTATTTTGTAAAAAAACTGAAATTGATAACGAAAAGCAACATACCATTATGCCTAAAAAGTGTGTATTGCCCGCTATGGATATATGGATCAGAAACATTGACACCGACAAATGAAAATGAAACAGATGTTAAAAAGTGCCACGAAAAAAAGCAATGCAGAAATGCATCCTGGGAATTACGCTCACCGACAGAAAAAGGAACAAATGGCACAAAAACAAAACCAATTCAGCGACATCACATTGACTGTTAAGAAGGACAAGTAGCCTTGGGCCGGATACATCGCTGTCAGGGATGATGGCCAAAAGATGAAAATAGTGTTGGCTTGGCAAAGCAGGGGAGGAAGATTGTTGTTCCTGAGAAAATGATCAAGGCAGAGATGGAGTGATGAGATCAGCACACACAGCAGCTGTATAATCTAGACAAACTGATGTTGTAATTTCTTTCAAAGTAATTCCTACACGTACATACATAGCGGGGTGTGTGGTGGCACAGTGGTTATAGAGCACTGAGCTATAAACCCATTGACCCAGAGTTCGATTTTTTGGTCACAGCTAATGTCAGTGATGAGTGATATCTGAAGCAGTCCCACCCACCCCTTCACAAAAGCCACACTGACCAACGATGGTGAGGTATGGTAAGGCAACAAAGTCACACGATCAACACAGCGTAGGCAGGCTCGCAATCACAGCGGTGAAGCGTTAAAAGGCTTAAAATAAAAAAAATAAGTAATATAAATAATACATTACAGCCGAGTGCCAAGATTTAAGGCACATATGTTAAATGTTAAATATTGAACATGGAAATGAAGATGATTTTTTTGTACTTTGCAATGACATTTTATCAGGGATCCACTCGAGGCTGCAGTCCACGTAATCACGAATCCACCCGGCCATTTGCTTTGCGTGACCTTCGACTGCACAGGATGGAAATACGAGACACACGCAGGCACGAAGCTCAGCACCTAACCTCCCCCCCCCACCCCCCTTTGCCTCCCCTTGGCCACGAGTGAACAAAAGTGCCCGCCTGGCGTGCAAGCTACCTGTGTCCTGAGAGGGACTGATGCTGTAGCTGTCGCTCTCGCCTGTGCGTGGCGTGATGACTCGGCAGTCGGCTGCCCGGGGCGTGATCACGCGGCAGTCCGGCGGCAGCGTGCGGGCGCAGGCAGATCCCTGTAGGCGGCTCAGGGTCCACTGGCTGGCGTAGCGGCTCCGAGGTGGTGGGGGCGGGTGGCGCACGTGCTTGCGCGACACTGGGTCTGCAAAGTGGCCGAGCGTCAACCGGGGAAAAGAGGCTTAAGTGGACGCGGAGGTGGGGGGGCTTTCGCAGCCAATGTCTTATTGTTATCTTCTTGGTTCTTTCGGTAAAGTCACGTAGAATGGAAATAATAAAATAATAAAAGTAAAACATAATAAAATATAATAATTCTCACTAATTCTCTCATAAAAAGAATAATATTTTTTATTATTTTATTATTTCCATTCTATGTGACTTTACCGAAAGAACCAAGAAGATGAAATCCCTGCAGTCACGAAAGCTTTAAATCGAAAAGTCTTATTGTTAGTTATTATTATTATTCACAAGCGATTTTTCTGGGTCTTCTACTTTTGTATGGCATGCGCGGGGCAGGGAGGGGAGCAACAGTTTGTATAGATGATGTCAAAGTTGAATGTTCAGGTCCTTCAAGCAATCCCAGGCTGCAGTAGAGGCTGCTCTGATTGTAGCGATACCGCCAGGGTGTGCTGCGCCTGGATGATGGCGCAAATCGTCGGCGATGTGTTTGACGATTTGGGGCTCTCTGCCACACACAGTCGCAAGCTTGCGATTCCTTGATTTTTCCATTTATGGAACAACGCACACGATACCGCACGTCCTCCAGTGCTGTGTCCGAGCGCGGTTTAGCGAGGTCCAGAGCCGTCGTGAGAAGAGAGAGAGAGTCTCCGGTACTTCCAGATCATTACGTGGCCTTCGGTTATGGCCGCTTAACGATCTGGCCAAATGTGTTTTTTTTCCGAATTTCTGGATTTTCCTGAAGATGCTTGATACGCTTTCAAGCGAAACGTCACGTCTCATTGTTACATTTGGTTACAAGCTGAATGCTTCTAAACGTGGCAATTTAGAACATTCGGATTTTTCGGGTGGTTGAGGGTCTTTCTGACAAAACTTTGGCCAGATTATTACCGTGGCCTATCCCAAAAATCTAGAGTGAATGAAAGGAAGCACTTTTGCTTTTTCCGGTGAGATTGGAACGTCACATCAGAACTGTGAACCTTTACGATACTTTCACTGAAATCGTTCATCTTGTACAATTGTTAAAACCAAACATATCAAATATTATTTCTAAAGATAAATATCTAAAAGCCTGTCTGGGTTTGTTGTACTGAGTCACGAGCATTCTACTTTTTTATTTTTTCTGACACTGCGCTGGCAGTGTACGGATACAAATTACAAAAACTCAAACCCTGCCGTTGCCCAAAATGTCACCAATTGTCTATATATTTTTTTCCTCTTAGTGCTGTGTTTTCACAAATTCTCACCCTACTGTTGCTCTCTTAATACATGTTCTGGTTGTACCACGTGTGCTTGGCACGAACAACGCGGCTTGCCGAACAACACGTGGCACAACGCGAGAACACATCAGAGGGCGAGACTGCACAAATGCAAAAGCCAATGCATTAGCATCATTATACTCCTATTAATGTATTGATAGATGTTTTTCATTGTGTGGGTAACTCAAGAACCAAACGTGGTTTAAAGGATGAGCATTAATAAAAAATCAGCTAATACAAATTTGGGATTTTGAGCCTTTGCTTAGTAACGTGATAAAAAGGCCCTCAATATTAGTGGAACACAAACACCATCATATGCTCTCTTCACATTAACGCCTGTGAATCAAACTAAACTAAATCAAAATAAATTGTGACCCGTTTGTCTGAGAGGATGTCCATGAATCATCATATTCCATACATCATTAATTATAATTAGACACGGTTTAAAGAGCTGTTTGTTGAAACGTTGTGAACATATTCCTTATATATGTGTGTGTGTGTGTTTTACATTCGCTCAAGCTCTAGGGGTTTTCACGGCCGCATTTACAGGCGTTTTAAAAACAACCGCACCTGAGATTCTGGTGAGCACCTGGGAGGCTCAAGAATTACGGTGAGCGGTGGTGCAGCGCTGAGCGCTACGCTCCCGGCTGTGACCCGGGTTCGACTCGCGCTCGCGGCCAACACCTGTGACGAATTTCTGAACGGGTCCTGGGCCTCCCCTGGGTCGACGCAGCCTCAAATGAGTACCTGGTGCGGTGTGGTCGGGCGTGGTGTTGGCCAACCATCCCCCTTCGTGTGCTGTGCCGGCGTTCATAGGTGCTCGCTTACATGACTTGCCCCAACAGTCTGTCAAGACTATACGGGTGATCTGTGTCTTTGTGCTTTTGTCAGTTTTATTGACCTAGCTCAAACTGTTGTCTAATTATGCGTTCGATAAAAGTGAATGATACCATTATGGACAAGCTGCGTTTTTCACCTCAATCACTTTCAGTGCTGTTTGCTGTAAATGCCACTCCTTTGCCAATTGTAGGAAAGTTACGTTCGAATTAACTTGTTTTTAATCAGCCGGATGCCACTCAGATAATGAACATTGCTTTCCAATGGATCTCGACTTGATTAAAAGTAACGAAGCACATGATTGAGCACGCTAAGAAATTAATACAAGTAAGTGCTCATTTATTTAGATGACACATCTATTGATGTGTTTGTTCAAAATATATATTTATTTTGATTACCAAGTTAAGTGCCTCTTTCTGGATACCACATTAGATGATACAATGTGGCATTTATGTACACGTAATTAACAATACGTGCCTTAAATTGGCCAGTAATACTCTACATATTCAGCTTGGTTGAATGCTATGTTAATCTGCTATTACATTTACAAACTATGATTAACAAACCCATTGGCTCTGCCAACAGAAAAAGCACTCGGTGATGTCCGGAAACAATCAAATTTTTAGGCACTAATGTGACACAATTAGGGGCCATCCATTTAGTACGTACGCATGGAGGGGGTTAACCCAAATGTGTACGCTTGCGTATGGGGGGTCTACTGATAATGTACGTACGCACAGGAAACGGGGGGGGGGGTGAAACCTCGATAATAAAGATTCGGGGGGGAGTAAAAAGTGCGCGTGTGTACAGGGAGGGGGGGATGGGTCAAGTTTTGACAGATTTTTGCGTAGCTACTAAATGGATGGCCTCTTAGCAATAGCATTCAAGGGGGGGGGGGGGCGGAGTTAAATAAAAAACAGCACCTGCAGCATTTAGCTGACACTAATTTGACAGAAATGTGTTCAACTTAGATAATTGCCACCTATTAAAGCACGGCGCTGATGGAAAAGTGGTCGGAGAGCAGAAAGAGAAAACAAGCGAGCTCAGCTCTGAAAAGCCATTAAATGTTTAATTAAATGTAGGAACTCTGCTTAGTTGAAACGACCACCCTAGAGGGGGAAAAAAAGCTAAGGATGGCTTTGAGAAATCTAAAATAGTTCATTTCGCTTACGAGGCCTAAACTACTGTATTTACATGACAGCAAACCGATAAAAAAGAGTCTCAATGAGCTCACTGCAGGCCTGCATTGAAGAAAAACAAGTGCTAAAATATCGAAATGCGTCTACAGCGATGCAAAGACTGAAGCCGCACTGTCATCTGTCTAACGTCACGTAAACTAACCAACACACACCGCCGAATGTCACGCATTTCGGATGTCCCCAGACATTCATTAATTCTGTAATTTTAAATTAAAATTATTTATCGCTCCACTCGCAGGTGCTATTGAAAGTGTATGGCGACACGCAAACAAATCCGATATTTGAATTCCACGGTGTGATAAACACGCGCAGCATACGGACATCGCAGCACAATTGATCAGAGTTGACAATATCAATCCAAGGAAAGGCACAAAGATAAAGATTTCCCCTCCGTATCGCCTGTAACAGACTGTAAGGGCTGTTAGCGAGCACCTATGAAGGCCGCACGGTCAAGATCACACCAGGTTGCCTTTGTCTCCCCTGTGGCGATGTTTTTACACACCGCACCAGGTAATGATGTGAGGCTGAGTCGACCTAGAGGAGGTCCAGGAACGGTTCAAATAATCGTCAAGGGTGTTGGCCGTGAGCGGGAATCGAACTCGGGTCGCTGGGTTAAGTAGCGCAGCGCTGCTAACCGCTAAACTACCGCTCAAAGTTGACGATATAAATACAAAGAATAGGCACAGCACCTCCCACCACAGATGCACGCATGTCAATGTACAGTATTTCATTTCAAATCAGATTAGTGGGACCTCATTAAAAGCAACAGTGTGAGAAACCTGCCATAGGGTATTTTTAAAAAGTATTCTTCTTCTCCCCCAGTAGGCATAATTAAGACTTGAGATATTTAAGTACTGGTTCTGTCATTCATTTGTAGATTATCTCTGCCCCAGACATATGTTTTTGGTGTCTAAAAAAAAAAAGTCAGAGCAAACCCTTACTTTATTATTTGTGTTGTTGTTGTAAACTGTGATTGAAAGCAGACACAGTCGTGAATGTGAGCGGGCCAAAATAGTCCACCGATTGAGGAAAAGCATTAGAATGTCAATGCTAATTTGATGGACCAAAAAGTTACGTTTGTTTCTTCAGCAAAATAAAGTACATTTTCAATTAAATTAACAGAAGGCTTTTGGATAAAAAAAAAATTCTCACTTTCCTATATATATTGTGTATATATGCACATTCGCCAGAGCAGCCAGTATTAAATGACAACATATTTACGACACAAAAAATATATTCCAAATGTAATTATAGGGAATATCAAGTCAATTTGATGTGAGGCAGTGCCTATTAAGGCTGGTACCAAATGTATACAGTAGTCAGCACTATGCCCGGCCACTTTGTGCCTCCCCATGCTGCTGTTCATCATCAGTGCTCACTGCTCATGAAAGACCAAATCATGGGAGGTGCAAGCCAGTCCCACACAGCAATTACAAATGGTGTGCATGGTCAGAAATAGAATGCAGGTTTATTCCTGGCCATGCCAACAACTCTGCCTTCCCTCCTTCCCACAGATACACAAAGAGACAAAGATCCTCCGTATATCCATGCAGAGTGGTGGGGGAAAATACTGTTTGTGAGCACACGAAAAGACTCAAATGGGGGACGAGAGAGCGACGTGACTAGCACCATGCCAGACTACCAATATCTAACCATTTCTGATGTTTACACACATGACCTGGTACTAATTTGAGGTTGACTCAACCTAGAGGAGGCCTAGAAAATGTGCAATGCCACTAGCCAGTGATGTTAGCTGTGGTTGGAGATTAAACCCTGGGTCACCGTGTTTGTGGCGCAGGGTGAAAAACACCGTGTCACCGCTTGCCACGCACCAACATAAACACGCGTGCACACACACATACAACAAAAGACAAATATTCCCCGTGTAGCCTATAACAAACTGTTGGGGCAAGTGCTGTTAGCGAGCACCTATGAAGGCTAGAATGGCATATGGGGTAGGTGGCCAGCACCACACCCAGCCGCTTTTGTATCCCCAGTGCTACACACGGCACCGGATACTCATTTAATGCTGAGTGGACCTAGAGCTGGCTCAGGACCAGTTCAGATATTTGTCACTGATATTGTCTGAGAGCAGGAATCAATCTCAGGTCGCTGGGGTTCGTAGTGCAGTGCGCTAACTACTGAACCACCACTGCCCACACACATTAACAAAGACAAAGATCCCCCGTATAGCCTTAACAGACTTGGGGCAATTGCTATTAACGAGCACCTATGAAGGATGGCACGGCACGTGACGAGGTGGGTGGCCAACACCACGCTCGGCCGCCTTTGTCTCCCCAGTGGCAGTGTTTACACACTACACCAGGTACTCATTTGAGCTGAGTCGATCTAGGGGAAGCCCAGGACTGGTTCAAATAATCGTCACTGGGTGTTGGCCGTGAGCGGTAATCAAACTCGGGTGTTTGAGTTCATAGCCCAGCACACTAACCGCGACACTACCGCTCCCCGCACACATACACAGAACAACACACACACGTACTTGTGCCCGGTCGTGTGTTGGAGGTATCGATGAGCGTGTCGACGGGTCCTGCAGCTGGAGCTGGGTGAGGGTGAGGATGGGGGTGAGGGTGGGGGTGCGGGTGAGGATGGGGGTGAGGATGGGGGTGGGGCAAGGTGTGCCCTCCGCTGTACGTCCGTGACTTCCCAGCCTGACTGTAATCGGAGTCCGTCAGGAGAATGGTGGACTTGTCGTCCCCCTCTGTGGCACAGCACACACACGGGGGGACGTTGCGTCGACAACGGCGGGACCGCAGCGGTGGTTGTCATCGCTAAGTTCACCCTCGGTGGCTAGCGATAGGGAGGCAATACATTCCCATGCAGAACCAAACGCAGGCCCCCTGTAAATATAGGACATTCAGACAGCAGCTATTCCCCCAGTAAAGAGATCTATTGTAAATATTCAATAAATGGCTAAATTATCAATACTCTGGCGCCCCACTAAGATACTGTCGACCACACAGCACAATTACCTCACTAGACAGGAGGTCCAAGAAGTCTTAAAATAAAAACCCCATTAGATTATTGCGACGTTCACACAATTTCGTTGCTGTTACTATGTTGTTACAATGTTGTTGCAATGTTGCTACTATGTTGTAACTATGTTGCAACAGCACTTCTGTTTGTTATTTTTCCCTCGCACTGCTCAACTTTAAAATCCCCCCCCTGATACCATTGTCTATTCTCCCAATCTCTTACAGGCCTGCTCAATTTTATGAAACGTGTTAACTCTTACCTATTACATCTTTGATAGTGCTGTTTGTTGCTGGCCGATTGATGTTTTGGGCCTCTGGGCCTGTGATCGGCGACAGTGATTGAAAATGAGAAATAAATCAATGCCAACATTACGTACTTTTTTTAGCAGAAAAAAATGTAAACATTTTGACGCCATTCTCCTGTTGCATAAACGCCTCTCTTTTGGTTCACCGACACAATTTTTGACATATTTACACGACTAGGTTAAAGCAGAGTAAATAATGTAAAAGTAAAAGACTTTTTTGAAATGAATGAAAATATGATTGCCTCGATCGCACACAGGCTTTCCTTCAGCCCCATCCTTCTGGATTTGTAAAAAAGAAAAAACGCCATTAAACTGTGATATACACAAACTGTGTGCGGTCTTCATCATGTTAATTCGGGCACTTTGGGAAATGTTCTTTTGGCTTTCTAATACGGGTTTTTTTTTGGGGACCAAAATTGCAATGATTAAATCTTATACCCCCAAGGCAGCGTGTTAGTTGGCACAAGTCAGTGCAATTGCTTGGTGTTAAATTAGGGTAGTTGGCATCATGAATAAAAAACAACACATATGCCAAGAAGACACACCTGGGGGCAGGACATGCATTAAATAAACAATGTTGCACGAAAATGTCAAAATGCCAAGCCCATTGGCCAGGTGGGAACAGGACTGATACGTGATCAAGGTTACAACGTGGGCTGATGAACAGTTGGTACAAGCCCAGATCATTAAAGTAATTGAGCACCAACTGTTACACATCATTACAAGAATGTTAATTTGAATAAAGACCACAGTTGTTTGGACCACCTGCTCAGCTGTTAAGTATAACCAAGTGGGTTCTGTGCAAATTTCCGTTCTTTAGAAAGTTGTGGTTATGTTGAAATACTAAGTTAGTATTCAAGAAGATGAGGAAACATGTTGACCCATAAATTATCTAGTTCTTGGCTTTATACAAGATTATAGCATCCCCCAAGCAAAAAAATCATTACAAATATTTACAAAGTTATTACTGTCAAATTAGTAGGTTATAATGAACACCCAAAATGATACATAAATAATACTGATTATGAAAAAGGACACTACATGTTTCACAATTGCATGAACATATTACCATAATTAAAAAAAACACATTCTCATTTGATTATCCACTTCTTGCCAATAAGATGACATTAAGCATATAATCACCAACTCACAAATGATGGTCATCACTGTTTAGCAAATCACTTGGCAACACAAATATTCAAAATAGGAAAACAAGGCAAACATTTATTTTCCACAATGTTAAATAATGTAAACATTTTGTTGTGAGCTTTTCCCCCTATTCTGAAATATTCTAACAAATATCCTGCAAATAGTTACCTCAAGTGAAAACCACTTGCTACAATATTTACATAAATCGAACAACATTCTATAAGCAAATAGAAATAAATGTCCACGTAACTGTGAATGTAAGTCCTTCACATATATAGATGTGAAGCTACGAATAGCTTCCACAGATGCGGCAACATCTACCATTTACAACTCTAAAATCTGTCATCTCTACCTTGCCCTAATTGACCTGAGATATTTCCACAAGTGTACAGCACTTCAATCATCTATTAGAAAACATTGCAAATTAAGGTCGGATCGGATGCCTGACATTTACAACGCGGTTGGGTCCGCGTGCGGCGAAAACTAACGGGCAGCGTGGGGACCCAGAGCTGTGCGCGATGGCAACAGATGACGCACTCGCTGGGTCGACAAAGTCCCTTGAAAAAAAACCACGCCGTTATCGTTTGCCTGCGCTGGCATTTGCTGCGCCCTGTGTTTCGGCTTGCCACTGACCGAGCTGCTCCGTGCTGTCCTTGTTCTCAATCAGAAGCTGCCCCCGGGGGACGTCGATGTGGATGCGTGGAGTCTGCTGCTCCCTTTTCACCGGCGTGTCCACGGGGCGCGAGTTTTTGCTGCAAACGAGAGGCGCGCGCCAATTCAGTTGTGCAAAGATGGATTTTTCTCGCCAGGAGCAGGTGAGAGCATTGCAGCGAGAAGGAAGGATGAAATCAACAATACAAAAGCGCAAGAGTGTAAACAGAGTAATGCATCTTTACTCCTTATCTGAACAGTCAGGTGTATTTTTTTTTACACGAGACTGTTACACTGAATATCACTTTTTTTATGAGGGTCCTACTTTTGAGATGTATTCTTTGAGAGAGGCCAAGAAAAATGTTTTTGGTGGAGCTGAATATCTATATTTTCACTAAATTAATTGCTTTTTGGATATATTTAATGTACACATGTTTTAGAAAATTCATGCCCAGAATGCAAGGGAGCAAAAGGTTGCCACGAGCACAGTCGGCAGTTGACTGACATGGCCGAGGGCACGGGTTCACCGGCGGCTTCAGTCCACACTCTTCTCTGCTAGTGGTGACCTCGTGCTCTCCTGTTTTTGGATATCAATCATCTAACACAAATGTAATTGCATGGGTTCACGGACCGTCTCAGTCCACCACGTGCTCGGCTATTGAAGACCTTGTGTTCTCACGTCGGGTCCAGCTTTCAGAGGTTTTACCTCTGTAACCTGGGTTTAAATGTAAGCCGGCGAATGTTCTAGGGCGCTAAGCCCTGTCAGCTCTAGCAGCCTGCCGCCTATGGATGTGTTGGTCATTTCTGATTGGGAGGAACACTCGCATAGATTGGCAACCTACTTACTGTGCTGCAACGTACAGGCATTTCACTGTCCTCCAGGTTGGTGTCTTAGTAACAAATTGACTCAGTACACTTTGGTTACAAGAATGCACACTTTTTTTGAGCCATTCTCGAAATCACTTTCAGGTAATATTGTATATTGTACAACGGTAGTGTGTTTTTCTCCCCGCAAAGCAATGTGCTGTAGTAACTAAGATTTTTTTTATGGAGAGAGAAAAAAAAACAATGAATGCTGCAAAAAAAACTTAATATAAATTACTAATCTGTTTTATGTAGTCATTACATTATTATTTGAACTGCTTGCCAGATTTCCCGATAACCTGCGCGGCGCGTGCATTTAATAGAAATGAAGTCATGCTGGAAAATCAGTTTACCCAAATCTCCTGGAGTGACATTCAGAGCAAGAATAAAAAAGGGACGTAAGTGTGAAATAAGGAAGGAATTACGTTTTGAACGTGGCAATAACTTAATTGGTGTTTTCATAACAATTCGTTTTTTTATGATTGCGCACCAAATGTGTTATCTGCCACACACACAAAAAACAAAGCTTCTGGGGTGAATGCCCGGGGAAAATCATAAAGCAGTTCCTAGTCTATTGAGAAAAATTGTGGAAATGAGAACGACATGCAGACCCCGTTGTCTTTCTTTCCGTCGAAGGGATAAGTGACATCAAAGCAACACTAATCACCATCAAGAGAACAAGGAAAGTATCCTCAGTGGATCTGGTTACAGAAGACTTCGTGATCAAACGGGAAATATTCCTGAGCAGTTACCTTATCAGCATCTCCGCAAGACTTTTCGCATCTGTTAAAGCATAACATAAAGCAGAGCAAAGTTAAAGTGACATTTAATAAAAAAAAAGAACAACAACAAGGAAAGCGATTCCAAAAAAACATGTAGCTCGTAATTAAATCGAGTATTGAATTTGTTACGAAGCCGCCATGTCAGTGTACATTATTATTGTGCATGGGAAATTACTCTTTCGTGCATTTGCATTGGGAAGTGGCTGCACCGAACCGAATCAATGTATGAGGAAGCTACAAATAAAAAATATTTAAAGATACTTTTTTTTTAAACACGCTTTCATGAAATGTACTGTCCGAGCTGCCCTTCTCCCTGCCCCCTTCCCCCATCGCCCCTCCCCTCCTTCCACATCCCCCGCCCCTGGGCGTGGCTCCCCGAGGCTTGCTGTGACGTAAGGGACCACGTGGTGATTTACAGGCAACGTGAGTTGAGCGTGGACAATTAAAGCCGTAAAAAAGATTGTTTAAAAATATTTACTTTTAATTTTCAATTATAGAATATAGTATTCTCATCAGTATGACATACCTATACGAAGTTTGCAGTCGATAGCACATTGAGAAGTGTGTAAAAATTGAGTTACAAGATTTCTTTTTTGAGGATACGGCAGCGTGTAATAAAAACACGAGGACTCCTGAGACAAAAACACGTGAAAATAATTCTCATTCGCCGACAGCATGACGCCACCTTGGAATCACTTTCGAATTATATGCGTGCAACGAAGCCATGATGGTGCCCTGCAGAGTTCATATGGAAACACGTAAAAGATAAATAGCAATAGTTGTAAATGTACACTTTGTACTCACGCATATCGCTATAATTGTTGTGTATACACAGTTCTGCATTTCCTGGAAGTCGTTCAAATTCAGTGGTTCTAAGAATGTATTTCCAATCATGACGGGCAAGGGACTTTAGTTTGTTAGTTTGCGCCCTGCTCTTAAAAACTCCGTCCCAAATCAAATCAACAAATGCACGTACGGTCACATCTTTTAAGTCAAAATAAAAACCATATTTGTTCATCCTTGAGCTGGCTTGATTGCCTAATGATCGTTATTATCGTCTGGGTTTTGTTGTTGTTGTAAAGACTGCATAAAGAGCACTATATAATAGTACAATTTATTGTAGTGTTTTCCATGAATACTCATATATAGTGTCCTGTGCTGCCTATTAAGGCCATCATCTACTGGGCCAATTAAGGCCACAATCATCGCTGGCAATTGCCACTGGCAAAGTTTGCCGTGGCATTTCCAATTGTAAAAATATTGTTGCCTAAAAAAGTGAAAAAAAAATCTGATTGCAGTTCTCCTTTGTGGGCAACTGGTTTGGTGACTTCCAATCAGATTGCAGAGAGAATTATTTTCATCAAAAACATGGCAGCTTCGTGACAATGGCTGAGTGGGATCTGGATGTGATGCTGTGTGTGTGATGTGGTGAGTTTGTACTGGTTTGGAACCTCCTGGTTACACCAGCCCACAGGGGATTATTGTGTCCATCCGTCGTGCAGGGAGGGGCTGGGTGGGGAGGGAGGAGCTGGGTGGGGAGGGGAGGGGCTGGGTGGGGAGGGTGGGGAGGGGCTGGGTGGGGAGGGTGGGGAGGGGCTGGGTGGGGAGGGTGGGGCTTGGTGGGGGTAAGAGGGGTGGGGCTGGGTGGAGAGGGGAGGGTGGGGAGGGGAGGGTGGGGAGGGGCTGGGTGGGGAGGGGAGGGGCTGGGTGGGGAGGGGAGGGGCTGGGTGGGGAGGGGAGGGTGGGGAGGGGCTGGGTGGGGAGGGTGGGGAGGGGCTGGGTGGGGAGGGTGGGGAGGGGCTGGGTGGGGAGGGTGGGGCTGGGTGGGGGTGGGAGGGGTGGGGCTGGGTGGGGAGGGGCTGGTCACCCCGTGGTGACCTTATAAAACTCAACGTTTAACCTACTCACGCTGGCTTGCGGAATACACCACGCCGCCGTTGACCCTGGCCATTGACCGAGCAACCCAACGTTCCTACCAGCTCCCTCCGCAGGAATGTGTTTAAGCAGACACCCAGCTCCATGGGTTGCCCGCCAAGTTGCCACAGTTGCTCGTGGTTAACTTGTTGCTGATGACGGTTGCTGGCAACCGTTGCACTAACACAGCGGTCGGGAACCTATGGCTCGCGAGCCATATATGGCTCTTCCGGTGACGGCATATGGCTCCCAGACAATTTTGAGTTGAAAAAAATAATAATAAAAAAATAAAATCAGTTTGGAACTGATTTTAAAATACTTGTGATATTGCTTAATAATACTGTGCCATTTTAAAGTAAACAGAAATTTGTTTTGAAGATAACATTTCTCGGGTCACGGGTCCCGTGACCAGAAGTCGCATTAAAAGTAAGACATATTTAATTTATTATACGTTAAAAATACTATATGGCTCTCAATTAAATATATTTAGAAATATTTGGCTTTTATGGCTCTCCCAGTCAAAAAGGTTCCCGACCCCTGCACTAACACGTCCCTCAAGATATTGTGGGACTTACATTGCCTACCAATCCGGGTGATTCAATACATCGCTGCGAATCAGGGTGATGATGTAATTTTAGAATGAATTAGAGCTTTTGTTTGTTGTTTGAACCCAATGCAGGGGACTTAAACCCAATGCTAAAAACGTTGATTCTTACACGCGAAATTCTATTCCATGTATTGGAAGATGAATTAATATTAATTGATGAGTCGATGCATCATTATACCCAGCTTGCACATACTCATTAGAATTGCAAACATTTCCAGACAGTGTGTATAGTTATCTCACTCTTTCCATGTCACTGCAAGGTTATTCTTTATTGTCATCGTGTTTTGTTATTTTCGGTTATGCAAAGTATTTGTTTGGAACGTATAAAAAAAATCATCCTATGGACACAATTGGAAACAATAAACGTTGATGCATGCACAACCAGAGCCTCCATTTCTAGCAGTGATCAAGATTGTCGTGAATATGTAATCACATCCACGGCAGCGTCTGATTTGCATGGCTTATATTAATTCCGAGCACGTTACTTCTTATGGAATTACTGGGCAAATTCCACCTGTCAGATGCACATTCCAATTACAGGTTCTATTCTCAATCAAACAAAAAAAGTCTATAATAGTGTGGCCAGTGAGTAACTGGTGTGCGTTCTTGCATCCGTAAATTGCTGCCATCAAACTGCCTTTGATTCAGTAATAAGCAAAAAGGGTTCTAACTGCTTTCTAGTTCCCTTCCCAGTGAAGCACCTGTGCTGCTGGCATCATTGTGTAATGTGTGCATATGCAGGGGGCTGCCTCGATGGAATGGTTAGTACACTGCACTGTTCTAGAAGTCGCCGATTTCATATCATCTTCCCCGTACAAGGCAGTTGAAACAATGGGGCAGGTTTCCGAGATGCACAAAACAATTGCGACTGAGCAAATGAAGGTTGTGTTAAATAAATACGCAAAGGAAATAAGGAAGTTATGGCAGCTTGCTATATCGATAAATGTCAGGGGTGATGAGGAAAACAGTTCAGTGGTATAGTGTAACTCATCTGCTGAAGATTTTATATTAGTGCCACAATGGCAACCTCATGGCTCCAGTATAAGAAAACAAGAACATGCGAAATCACATTTTTCAGCAGCTGGTAATACATGGAAGTGATCAATTGATAAATGGAATTGTGGGGGCAATGCTTGATAATAATAAGAAAAAGAATGCATCAGTGTGGGAATCAAAACCAAAAACGATTCTTTTGGAAAGTTCACCATTTTTTCTTTCATGCAGCCATCTGGAACATAGCAGCCATGATCAAGTCAATGCTGTAGCGTTGCAATTATATCATTAGTGCACTTCTTACTCACTATGGTGGGATGCTGCCCCAGTGTGGTGCAAGTTTCTTAAAATCCCCCTCCACTTCTCTTCACCCAAAAGTATAAACGTGTACACCACCATTCATTGATTGGAAGATCGTAAAGTGTGGGTACTCCCACGCGAGACATCTGGCCATCGTGGAAGATTAGGACAAATATCCAGTTAGAGAAGTTCATCCTCGAGTTCCATCAATAGTGGAGGCCGCTGCACCCCGGCAGGGCTACCCCTTTTCCTTGGCTATTTACCCACTGTGTGGTTTGTGGGGGGGGGGGTGGTGTGCCTGAGCAGCTGGCGGTGGTCAGCGAGCCACTGCCACGTGCACACGGTTCCCCGCGGGACCGGCTCATGGCCTTGCGAGAACTAGGGGCGGCGCTTGCCTCGCAGACGCTTGAGCCTCTGCTGCCGCCGGCGGCGTCGGATGTAGACAAGCAGAGCCAGCGTGAGCAAGCCGAGGCCCAGCAGGCAAGACACGATGAGCAGCAGCCGCAGTTCCTGGCTCGGCGACAGGTTCTCGTTGTTCACCGTCACCGTCGCCTTCAGGAGTGGCGGGATGGTGCCTTGGGGTGGAGAAACGAGTTGGTGTCATGGCCAGGCGCAGTGTGTCGTGTTATGTTATTTTCTTCTTCTTCTTTCCCAAAGACAACGGTTTTTGTTCAACGTGTGAATGTACAACGCGCACTGACGAGGGCACGATCGCGGAGAGAGAGGCAAACGAATGCAAAAATGTACATGCGGTACAGATTTTGTGTTCGTGTAAACATAGTAAAAAAAAACGCTAATTGTGAGTGTATGGGTGGGTGGTGTTTTTGTTGATAAGGGGAGCAAGTTACATTGTAAACCGTGTAAAGAACATATGAGCAATTTTGTGGCAAACACCATCAACTTCCACCTTTTCCAAGCAAATTCCCTCACTCACAGCTGTCCAGAGTGGCCCGCCGGACTAGCCCACCCCCGGCAGCCGCTCCCTTCCCCGCACAGCCTGGCTTGCAACATGCCATGCTGGAGATGACGCATTATAAATCATCACAGCGGAGATGGCCTTCTTCCCAACGCAGTCACCGTTGTAAATTTTAAACCCAGCTATTTCCCCGTGTGTCGTGGGGTGGGTTGAACAAAAAAATTTGCTGCAGCAGATATGACAAATTAAACTCAATGACAAATCATAGCCAATTTTAGGCAGACATAATGAGGCAGCCTCTTATTTTTTTTGCATTCCATGAGTCATTAGTTATGGCTTTGAATTAAATTTGGTTGCAAATAATTATCCAATCGACTATTGGCCACTGTTATGCAATCTGCCAAAACAGGACATCTAGTTGTATTAATCACAATGAAGTTGCAATCACATATGGACACAAAATATTAGTTACTAATATGATGGCAATAGTTGAATCGCTCATTTTAAAATCTTTTTTTTTCTAAGATCACAATGAAAAGTTAAATCCTTGTGGTGCCACTCATCTATACATTGCAAAAATTATCTGAGAGAGTAAACTTGACAATGACCATAAAATCATAAAGATGACCAGCATGGGGGTAGAGCAGTGGACCAAGTGATTCACATACCAAGCTATGAACTAGGTGACCTGAGTTCGATCGCTAACCGTACCCCTGCCCAGTTTACCAACCAATCCTGATCAATACAGTGATTTACATTTGTTGAATTGCTGCACGTTATTATTTTATTTGTAATATATTTTATTATTTTGGTTACCTAAATCACTCTTGCGAAGTAAAATGATTCTGGTCTCTGGTTAAACAAAATAAACTTTGGTTAAGGGGGCCATCATCCAGCAGCGGAATGACGAAAGGGCAGAAAATTATTTTTTATTAAAGGTAAGTAAAAGGAGTCAAAATATATTAAAGTGTAGCAAAATAATAATAACACTATTCATGAAACAATTATAATGATGCTGAATATGTATTACATTATTAAGGAAACAGAAAAAGTACATCAAAGAAAAAATGTCAAGATCTGTTCATACTCAGTAATAATCAGAGTTGTATTCACCAGAGAATATTTGTATTGGAAAAAACTAAATTCTCGACACAAGTTTTGTATTCATTAATTTAAAGAATTCATATATTTCTATAACACGAGAATGACAACATATTTAATCATGGTAATTTCACGAAAAATTAGATGATTAGATGATGTGTACCATCTTTTCCAGTGTAGTGCATCATTATAATTGCCCTGTCTGCTGTACACCAAATAGCATTTATTAAAAACAAATTTACTCATTACAGTATCTCAAATGTACTTATATAAAAAAAATCCAACTAAAAATACAGTAGAAGCATTTTTGGCTCATATTATTATTTAGTTGTTTTCTTCAGAAAGTAAACAGAATTTATCTTAATTCATGACCTTGTCCAATAAAAACATTACTAATTAAATGTGCTGTGCCATTAATTTGTGTAGCAATGAATGTTCTAGCGACATTGCTTGTGAGTGGAGGTTAATGCCAAGCAAGAACGGCATTGCCAGTTTTTTTTATCTCTAGGTCATGTCCTCTGGTGCAATGACAAACAAGTTTTCCAAATATGGATAAATTACCAGATTTATCCTTCCTGTATCCTAACTGGCCAGATGGCGCAATGGTAGAACGAGCGGCTGGCAATTGAAAGGGGTTGACTCAGTCCATCATTCCTTTACGGTCGATAACATGAGAACCACTCTGTCGAGAAGTCAACAGTGGTTGTCCTATGTGTAGACCTGTATGTATGTATGTTGAACTTAGTTTGCACCGACCGTAGTCAACCGTACTAATTGGAATGGGGATTTCCCAACACTGGCTCAGGACTGCTCATTTTGAGCAGAGATGCAAGAACTGATGAGCAATACATCGAGCTGTAAAGCGGCAAGACCGCGCGCTGTGCATGTGGACAATCGTGTGCCTTGCTGGGCTTCATAAGCGCTCCTCACTAACCGCACTTGCCCCAACGGTCCACGAAGGCTATCCGGGGGGGGGGGGGGGTCTTTGCCTTTGTGGACAACTTCAACGGCGGTGGATTCCCACAACTTACTCCCGTCGTAGTTGAGCGTCGCAAAGTCGGCGCTGTGCTCGGCGCAGCCGGCGGCGTTGCACGCGCGCATGCGCAGCCGATACCACGTGGCCTCCAGCAGGCCGGCCAGCATGATGGGGGCGGCCGCGTCCGACGTCTCCAGCACCGGGCTCCAGGTCGCGCTGGACGCCCCGGCGCCCCCGGCCGCGGCCGCGCCGGGGCCTCCGGCGGGCGGCACGGCGGCCCCCACGGCCGTTCCCGGGGCGCCCGGGTTCACGCCCCCGGCGCCGGCAATACCGCCGCCGCTGCCGCCGCCACCGCCGCCTCCGCCGCCGCCGCCGCCTCCGCCGCCGCCGCCTGGACCGGCTGGTGCGTTGACGCCGGCGCCGCTGGGCTGGTACTCGAGGGCCAGGGATGATATGGGGCAGCCGCCGTCATCCCAGCCGCGCAAGTTCACGCGCACCACGCTCACGTTCATGGGCAGCACCAACTCGGCGTCCTTGACGAAGTGCGGTTCTGAGAGAGGGGAGAGAGAGGAGAGGGAGGTGGCGAGGGGCGACAACAAAAAAATTAACCCGTAAAAACAAAGTTTTTCACTATAAATCCTTTATATGCGTGACGGCTAGAGTCCTCTCGTCCTCTGGCTTGAGATGGCTGCCACCTATGGGTCAGATGATTGCCTGCCACCATTAAGCAATTGGTAATTAAATATAATTTATTTTTTCCTAAAAAGTGTAACATTTTGGAAAAAAAATTTCACGAAAATTAATTGTCACGCACAACGAGTCTGTGTGCAAAATGTCAGCTCGATTGGATCACGGGAACTGGGTTAAAAAAACACCGAAAGATTTGCACGGTCGTAAGCGCGCAAGCAAGCAAGCAAGTGAACCTAATATAAAGGATTTAAAAAGGGGTGGGATTTTGACACGCCGGGTTGACCCCCAGAGCAATGCGGCGTGTACAGCTTTGCTCGACGATGAAATCAAAGAAGCAAACTATTCGGATGAATTCGGGTGATTAGCTTATGTGGGCGTCGAGTTTGCCGGTACGAAAATAAAACCCCACGAAGTTAACCTGACAACACGCGAGGGTTTTCTGTTCCGCTTGTTAAAAAAACAAAAAATCATCGTTCTCAATTTGGAGTTGCGGGGGAAATGTTAAGTAATTAAGCGTGTGGGCGTACGTCGTGGCTGCGTGTACAAAACTCGCAGTTAACCTTAACATATACAAGCTACATTCTCTCGCTAATGAACACTCGCAGAGAAGAGACTTCCTGCAATGCTTAGTTATAATTATGGTATGTAAATAAGGCATCCACACGTGCGTTTTCAGCAACGATGTGAATGAGGTTGCGTGCAATTTAGTTGCCTGACCGAAACTCACATTTTTTAGGCAATTCTAATTAGTTTTATTTTTATTTATTGAATATCAATGTAACTGAAAGCAATAACCATCGTCGTGAAAGGAAAATGTGAATTAGTTTCGGCTTTAATATATTCTACTTTGTTCTGCATCTTGAGATGTACCTGCAATCGGATGCCATGTAAATAAACATTTAATTGTGTTGATTTGTGTACACAATTTAGCTACATTCCAGCTTTTATGATTAAAAACACCAATACTGACTGCCATGCAATACGCATTAATCTGCAGCTTAGCACGTAGGAAAGTTTACATCCAAGTATTTGGGCAATAAAAGGTTGCGGATCTCAGAAGTAGTTCTGCATTGTCTCCTTCCATGGGCCATTCTCAATCACGTGGGGTTGCCACTGCTCTGCGAGAGCTCCAAATGAATGAACAGTTGACCTTATGACATGACACCTACGGGACAAAGGAATAGATTTTTTAAAATGTCAAAAGAACAATGAAAACTGGAAGAACTCAAACAATCTCTTCACATGGCTGAGTTCAAACTAGATTGCTTTATCTTCTTGGTTCTTTCGGTAAAGTCACGTAGAAGGGAAATAATAAAATAACATATAATTAAATAATATAATAATATAATATTTTTTTTTTATTATTTCCCTTCTACGTGACTTTACCGAAAGAACCAAGAAGATGAATCCCTGCAGTCACGAAAGCTTTAAATCGAAATTTAGATTGCTTTAGTCTAAGAGGCACCGATATAGACTGAGAGGCCTATAGCATGTTGGTCATCCAGCTATAGACAAGCTGGGCGACTAAGACAAAGGACTGAACCGGGTTTAAAGAGGTGGAAGTTCAACAGGCGACAAAAGATGACGCAGAAGCAGATAGACGAGATATCTGGAGAACGGATGGCTCGGAGCGCACCTCGTTTTGCGTGTCCCCTCCGGCCGACACGGCTTCGCGATCGATCGAGAGCCCTTCCGAGCGTTGAAAAAACTGCGCTCCCAAAAGTTTTGGACGCGCGCTCGCTCGCTCGCACCAACCCCCGCTACCTCTGCCGTGCGTCTTGGCCTCGATGATCTCGCTGATGCGGCCAGTGCCCACGACGTTGCGCGCGGCCAACGTGAACTTGTACCACGTGCCGCAGCGCAGCCGCTCCAGGGCGTAGCGCTTCTGGTGCGGGGAGATGACCATCTCCTCCCACTGCTCGCTGCGGTCAACCGAGTACTGCAACAGGTAGCCTGGCGGACAGAAACGTTGCAGGGGGGGGGGGGGGGGTGCGCAGGGGCAAACCGCCGCGTGCCATCGCATTAGAGGCGCCGTGACGTTGGACGATGAGAAAGTAGCGAGGTGGGAGGGTGCGAATATATGTTGGTGTTGAGCGATGGACTGTGTATTGTGTTATTGTAGTCAGCACTCTTTGCTTGTCTAAGCTGGTTTTTTATATTTTATATCAGTGCGCACTACCTGCTTTTACACATGGTTCAGAAATATGGTCGTGAATAGGATAAAAAAAAACATGTAAAAATAATTAGAACAAAAAGTGAAAAGAGTGGGCAACAAAAGCATGGGGTAAGATCCGCGCTTCGAATTACATTGGGAGACAGAAATCGAAACGCGGGGATTTACAGAAAGTGTGCAGGTAAAAAAGTGTCATTCAACCAAACTGTGAAGAACATTAAGCAGCCCTTGGCCAGGACATATCCTGGCCAGAAGTGATGGTGGACGGTGGTCACGAATAAAGATGGAACGGCAACCAAGACATGGAACGTGTCAGAGAGCGACGTCCACCGAAGGGATGGAGCGATGAAGTGAGCTCGCGTGCAAGGCGCTCGGTAGATTATTACATCCCAGGATGGCGAGAGGTGGTAAAAGCTATCATCTAGCAGTGGATTGACCATGGCTGATGATGATGACGACGACACCTTTTTATATGACCCGGTGAGCACTGTACGCATGTCCATAGGTGTATAGGTGAATAGTAAAAGGCAGACGGCTGAATCACCAAGGAAATACATTTAAATGATTATTTTTGAAGCTATTGGAAATGGTATTTACTCATCATTTGGAGGAAGCACAACTGTTACGGTAACAAAGATGTGCTATTTTTTTATACAACCAAAACCTACTGTACGCTAGCACTGCAACACATATGCAACGTTCATTGACTGAAACATGAAAGCGCCATATAAATTAAAGTGGCATCGAAAATAAATAAAATATTTTAGCCATTTTACTTTTGTCACAATCGCATCTCTCCATCAGTTCCATCAGGGGACATCTTTTCAACAGTTGCGATAGTGAATCTCCAATGTATCCCCAAGTCAAGCGTAAAGACCCGGAAGCTGTGAAGCAAGGAAGCCTAGCGCTTTAGTAGACATCACGGACGAGATGGATGCTGGAGGACTTAATGGGCTCAGGACAGTTATCGAGGTTTAGAGGAGAGAGTGCATGGATGGGAAGACGTCGGTATTAAGTAGCGAAGCGAATGTAATACAATGAGAACTGTCGGGGCGGGGATGGCATGGTTAAAGCTACCGACACTGAAATCTATTACACTGAATTTCATTGCATTGTATATAATATAGCAATATCAGAAGAATATTAAACCAGAACCTTTCTTTAGCACGGGTGGGGTCAGCAAGCACATACGCAAATACGCAAACTCTTGAGCTCATGTTCTATCGCCTGATTCTAAGGCTTTGCCTTCAGGCGCTAGACAAAATACTGAAATTTGCAATGTAAAAATTACGAATAGAAATTAAGTGAATATTAATATTAAAAAGTAAAAAATGTACATCTTCTCCTATCAGCAAACCAAATTATTTTCAAACTTGTGAGGCGACCTCGTCGGGCGCACGCACAAGCACCAAACCCGTGGCAATAAATGATCACAAATTAAAAATAATTCAAATCTTAAGCCTACATGAAATGATTCATATGGCATGAAATTATTGCTATCGTTGTTCCCTGGACTTGCTTGGCTGTCGGGAGCTTGAGTCCTCGAGTGAGTGATGGTGCCCCACTGTCCGCTGGCTGAACTCCCCACACCACCGTGCTCTTGGCTGTGAGGAGTCTTAATTATCTGTGGTGCCATCGTACATCGTTTATGACGAACATTCTTTTCGGAGGGTTTTAAGACGTTTGCGTGTGGCGGGTTCAAAATGCTGCGTTTTTAAATCCTTTATATTAAGTTCGCTTGCTTGCTTGCTTGTGTGCTTGCGTGCTTGCTTACGGCCGTGCAAATCCTTCGGTCGTTTTTTAACCCACTTCCCGTGATCCAATCGAGCTGACATTTTCCACACAGACTCGTTGTGCGTGACAATTAATTTTCGTGAAAAAATATTTCCAAAATTTTACACTGTTTAGGGAAATTTTTTAAATATTTAATTACCAATTGCTTAATGCTGGCAGACAATCATCTGACCCATAGGTGGCAGCCATCTCAAGCCAGAGGACGAGAGGACTCTAGCCGCCACGCATATAAAGGATTTATAGTGAAAAACTTTGTTTTTACGGGTTCATTTTTTTTAGAGATGCCATTTGAATGAATGAGATGCCATTTGAATGAATGAGGCTATATATTACGATTGTTACGATTGTGAGATTCATCCCAAATGATTGTCTTAGAATATGCCTTAATTGCCAATCAAATTGACCAAACACCTTGTTGCATATGTTCCCATCAAAAGCCTGAGTGAATCCGTGATTGCATCTTTCCAGGCGACAATGCACGATAACGATGCCACGGAAAGTAAAAGTCATTACTACTGTGCGTAAACACGTGTGGCTCAATTGATCATCGTATCGGCATGTAAAACGCCGTTCAGTTCAGAGCACAAGTTACATCACGAAAAACAAACCCATTTGCAACATGAAGCGATCGGCCAGTCCGTTTTGTATGAGCAGTCACAACTGCACATCTTATATATTTATATACACTTTTACAACACTGAAATCTTTGCTCTTTCATGTGTATTCATGATCTCACCATGCCCACAGCATCACTCATGATCCTGAACGGCTCCTGTGCAGCCCACTCCTGTAACAATCCATCATTTCATTGCCTTTGTTCATCCCTCGACGTCTGTTCGCCCACTTTGCCGGCGAGAACACACGTGAAGACATGTAAGCTGGCAGCATTAACATATCGGCGTTCAAGTCCACAGCCTGTGGCCATGTTGTTTTTTTCACACACACACACATATATATTTTAAAAGTAGCTTTTGGAAATGTCAGTCAAGTGGAATTAAACAACAAAAAAGGGATAAGGTGGGGGCACTTCTGTAATGAATGCTGTCTGTTAGGAATACGTACCACGCAAGGGACTTCCTCCATTGTTTCCTGGGATCCAGGATAGAGTGATAGAAGAGGCACTCGTTTTAGAAACACTCAGCCTGGGCTGGTCAGGAGGCACTGTGGGGGTCGCGCACACGCACATATACACACTTAGAACAACAACAAAGAACAACCACTGCCATTTGCCACCAAGTGGTGCTAATGTCGCCACGATGCTTGGGCACTATGAGGGCATTTGAAATGTCAAAGGTGCCGCTGGTAGATGGTCACGGGACAGGCCCAGGGGTCATGGGGTTAACCGGACTGATATGACTGTCAGATGCACTGCCTGTATTTTAGCTGTCAGCCACTCTACTCGTTGATGCGAGCGTCGCTCCAGATACGCGCGTAAGCACGAGCACATACACACACACACACAAACGTCTCTCGTATAAATTTTGAAACTATTAAGGAACGTGTTGTTAATCCGCATACAAGTTGAAGACCATTTCACACTGAGCGTGTTTTTTTTTTGTTCACACGGGAAAAAAATATTATTCTAAGTATTTATTGGAATAGCCCTGATGCAATATTGTAAATTTGAATGCCAAAAACCAATGCTTTACTCTATTTCTTCAGCAATTGCGGTCACTGTAATATGAACAATGGACCTGGCAGAGTGAGACACACGCATGCGTCAATTAAAGGGAAACTTTGCGCAGATTGACCGTTGCCAGGGAATTTGTTCATGACTGCAACACAAGGGCTGAGTAGTCTCATCGTGTGGTCATATTTTTGCCGTGTGTGAAAGCGTTCTGGCGTGCATGAGCGAGTGTATGTGTGTTATGGGGAGTGGTGGTGGATGCAGCAGTTAGCACACTGCACGATGATTTTAGTGACCTCGATTTGATTCATGACCAGGAATAACATCGGTGGCAGGTGGTATCTCTCCTAGGTTGAATCAAGATTCAATGGGCATCTGGCGTGACACGTAAAGGTTAGCAATCGGAGGACAAAAGTGGCTAGGCATGGTGCTGGCTTTCTGCGCCGTGCAGGGCGTAATTTTTATCACTCAATATTTTCTGGAAAGCCACTGGAGTATAAGTTACACCTATTCATGATAATCCTACATTATTGCACCCTATACTTCTATGATCTCATGAACAGTTTTCTAAAAAAATTACGAGTACAAAATAATGGCGAGATGGATATAGCATGAGTTTTGGACTGTTCTGGCTAAAATTAAGCACTTGTGCTGGACAAGTTTTAAAAGATTTTCACTTCAATCTAAAACTCTAAACTATTAGGTAAAGCCCACTCAAGCCATCTAGCTCTTTTCAGAAGCGACTTGGCCGAAAATAATAGCTCAACGCAAGTGGCTTAATCATGTCGAAATTTATAGCAGCCAAATACTCTAAACCAGGGGTCGGGAACCTTTTTGACTGGGAGAGCCATAAAAGCCAAATATTTCTAAATATATTTCATTGAGAGCCATATAGTATTTTTAACGTATAATAAATTAAATATGTCTTACTTTTAATGCGACTTCTGGTGCTGCATGGTTTTTGCTGATGGCTTTGTAGTCTGGTTCATACGTGGTGAGGTTGAGCTTCGTGCAGGCGTGACCCGTGAAATTTATTTAAGTATTTTTAAATCAGTTCCAAACTGATTTTTTTTTTCAACTCAAAATTGTCTGGGAGCCATATGCCGTCACTGGAAGAGCCATATATGGCTCGCGAGCCATAGGTTCCCGACCGCTGCTCTAAACGCATGTTTCTAAATGTGGAGGGAAAAACCGGAGGACCCAGATAAAAATCCACGCGACAACGGGGAGAACGTGCAGGCTCCAAATATACAGGTGTCAGCTTTGGGATCGAACCCACGACCTCCTACATACCAGGTGAGGTAGTAAACATCTCGCCACTCTGGTACCCGATAATTGGTTCTTTACCCTTCTATCTGGCAACAAAACTGACAGTTTTGTTGCCAGATAGAAGGGTAAAGAACCAATTATCATATTTTTACTGGCAAATGAGGTTCCCATACTCTGGTACCCACTCAATACACACAAAGTGTTTTCCACAAATGAAACATAATACCTTGCTGAGCTTGTCGAGGAACATGAACCATCACGTGCACTCCGGTCATCCTCGCAGTGGCTTTTGGCTAGCCATCGAACAAAGACGGTCGCTGCATCACGCGCTTTCAGATGCCCTTCTGTAGCCGTCTGGAACGCTCTTTCTTTCGATATTAGGAAGCCAGTGGAGCTCTGCACTTTTAAATATATATTGAAAACTAATTTCCTTCGAACTGCTTTTTGTTTTTAGTTTGTTGTCCTTCCCCCGCACCAGCTCCGATTAGCACGGTTGGTTACATACGGTGTGAAAGAAGTTCAACATATTTACATACATACCAGTGTTCACTAACAGCGCTGGGCTCCCAACAGTCTACATGGCTGTATCGGGATCTGTTTGGAGGCTCAGGTTCTCACATGAATACGAACCACCAGAAACCTGGTGATTTGTATTCTATTCCTAGGCATGCACAAATGCAAGTGTTAATTAGAGTGTAAACATACCCAGACCCTCCCCTAGGTATACTCAGCCTGAAACGAGCGCCTAGTGTAACATTTAATTTTAATTTAAACATCAGTAATGGATGAAAAAGTCTATGGATGGGTTGCAGATAAACCGCCCTTTTGTTACCGTGCCAACCTTGAAAATGCTTGCTCACAGCCCCTAGCCAATGGCCTTGCATGGATAAAATATGGCTCCTGATACTTTTGTGTTTGTATATCTGGTTTAACATCTTTAATGTTTGAAAATTCAACAACATAAAAAAGCGGAAAAAAAATATGCACCCAATTAAGCAAGCTGAAATTGATATACAAAGATATTTTTCAAGTTACCCCCTTTACAAATGAAATGGTGCAATCATTAAATTGAATCTGGTCTCATATTGGGAAATGTTTTCAACTAATTTGCAAATGCTAATGCGCTCGCGGTGATTTTGCGAAAATGTAAAAGTTAAGTTGCACACGGAAATGTACCAAATGGGTCACGCATGCGAGCAAAATCTAGATTAGAGTGGATGAACTGAAGTGTTCACTAATTATTAATTAATTCGTGTTCAGCATCGTTTTTTTCAAAAACCCATTTCCAAAAAAAAACGAATCTCTGGGAGGACATTTGTGAGACCCGCGTGCATGAATACGTTGCCGTATGTACTGTCCTGAGACAGCCTCAACCAAACAAAAACACAACAAGCCATCGGCCTTTGTTGTGTGTGTGTGTGTGCACGTGTGTACATGCTTGTGGACAAGTTTGTAATGGAGAGCGGTAGTGTAGTGGTTAGCGCACTGCACTGCGAACCCGGCAACCCGAGTTCCATTGCCACTTCACGGCCACCAACACCGGTGACGATTATCTGAACCGGTTCTGGTCCTCCCCTAAGTGAACTCAGCCTGAAATGAGTACCTGGTGCGGTGTGTAAACATTGCCACTCAGGGAAACAAAAGCGGCTGGGCGTAGTGCGGGCCACCCACCCCCTCGTGTGCCGTGCCGGCCTTGATAGGTGCTCGCTAACAGCACTTGCCCCTACAACCTGTTAAGGCTATATGGGGGATCTTTGTATTTGTGGAAAGTTTGGGTCTAAATATTTTTTTTTCTTATAAACATATTCAATAATACCTGTTAAGCAACATGCATATGCAAATTCCCATGACTGACGTTACCTTTTAATATTATTACCTAATAGGGTGCAGGAGTGGCAGCACATGTGTTAGCGCACTGTGGCTTTTTACCTGAAGACACCGAGGTTCAGTTTCCCAGCCATGCATGGATATCGCCTCTGGCAACGGATATCTGAACCAGTCCTGGGCCCCCTGCCTATACCGACCCACGCTGACCGGCGTGGTGAAGTATGGTCAAAACAACCTCATGACTGATCCAACATCGGAAAGAAATCCTTCACGCAGCAGTTGAAAAAGGGTTGAAATGTATTATTATTTGGTTGTCATTATTACGTAATAAGTATAATTTTGGATTCAATATTGGATTTCTGCACGAGTTATTTTCATATAAAGTAGAACCCCTCTTAACGACCACCCCTGTTAAGGACTTTGCTTAACGTCGGGCCTCCAAAGAGCCCAATGTGTAGTGTATAATGTATAGTAGTGTAATGTATAGTAGTGTAGTGTATAGTATGTATAGTAGAACCCCTCTTAACAACCACCCCTGTTAACGACTAATCGCTTGATGACGGCCTCCAAAGAGCCCAACGTGTAGTGTATAATGTAGTGTAGTGTATAGTGTAGTGTATAGTAGTGTAGTGCTTCCATAGAGCCCAATGTGTAGTGTATAATGTAGTGTAGTGTATAGTGTAGTGTATAGTAGTGTAGTGCCTCCATAGAGCCCAACGTGTAATGTATAATGTAGTGTAGTGTATAGTGTAGTGTATAGTAGTGTAGTGCTTCCATAGAGCCCAACGTGTAGTGTATAATGTAGTGTAGTGTATAGTGTATAATGTAGTGTAGTGTAAAGTGTAGTGTATAATGTAGTGTAGTGTATAGTGTATAGTAGTGTATAGTGTATAGTAGTGTAGTGTATAGTAGTGTAGTGTATAGTAGTGTAGTGTATAGTAGTGTAGTGTATAGTGTAGTGTATAGTCGTGTAGTGTATAATGTAGTGTAGTGCCTCCATAGAGCCCAACGTATTTGCTTACCCACCATCCCCCTGGTAATGGTGGGTTGTGGTAGGCACAGTAAATATGAATGAATCCATTGATTAACCATGTTTATTTTCATGTTATGTGTTTATAATGTTGTGAGTATCTTTATGTATTAATATCGATTGTTTAAATATTATAAAGTACAATTTTTTTACTGAAAAAGGGTAACTTTAGATGCTATCGGAACAAATCAAGCCTTTAACGTGCATTTCCTATACTCACTTAACGACCAAAATGACTTAACAACTGTTTTCGTGCAACCAATTACCATCGTTAAGAGGGGTTCTACTGTAGTTCCACTCAGTGGTACTGCATGCAGCCAACTATAACAGTGGAGATGTGCGCTGCTGTTAGCAACAGAGTATCGAATTCACTGAAGCGGAAATGAAGCTCATTTATTGCACGCGTTACTAATCCCGTGCTAATTTCCATTCAATTAATTGTCAGTAGTGCCCACGATGGGCAGATAATAATTCAAACATCAAACGATGCTTGGCATTGATGTTAATCGAAATGATTTTCCCAGTGGGTCACAAAGATCAGGACAAGACTTTAGCAACACTGACTATGGGATAATTGAAATGTTGTTTCGTTGGTCAATCTGTAATCAAGAGCACTGCACCTCAAAATAGAGTTATAGAGGTTTCCAGCAGGGGTGAGCTGATAAGGCCCGTTATAACTGCTGCACATATCTATTTTTTGTCTTTTTCACCAAGTCTAGCCACTGAAATACGATCCAATTGACCATTCAATTGTAAATCTATGTCTACACATTACTCAGCGATATCCATCAGCCAAAAGTAATCTCCCGAAACAAGAGGTTTTTCTGATGGGTACGACGACACATAATCTGTTGGGTTAAACAAAACACATTTCATCTGAATAGTTGAGAGGCTCTATCTATATTCTCCTGTGCGTGACGTCATGATACATACGGGTATGTGTCTTGTGAGCATGTGTGGCAGTTTGTAGTTTAATTTGTAAACCGTGTTTTTAATTCACACTACAACACCGTTAGACTGTGCACTGAACTAAAAATAATACTTCCTGGATAATAAACAAAAAGGAAATAAGACATTTCACTTTTTAACAAGCATTGTGTCTGTGGCAGATTTTCTGTTTCCCTAATTGAGGCTCTTTTTGTATTCCAGCAGATAAGTTCAAGCAAGCCAGCAATTTCACACCGACGGGGACATTTTGCGACGACGCAACGTAATTGGCGTGCGACCGCCTTGTGCTTGGAGTTGCGATTTCGCACAAAGCCAAATAGCAATCGGCGCGCACACATACACACATACACACACACATACACACACACACATACACGCACACATACACACATACACACACACACATACACGCACACATACACACACACACACACATACACACACACACATACACACACACACACGCACACATACACACACACATACACACACACAATACCTTGGACCAGTAGGGTTATTAGCAGTGCGTCAGAGCCCCACGCGTTGGAGGCTGTACAGCTGTATTCTCCCGAATCTTCTGCTCGAACGGAGCGTAGAAGTAAGCTGCCGTTTGGCAGGAAGGAGCCGTGTTCGTCCGCAGGCACTGCCACTTGTGACGTGTCACTTTGTGGGGTGGGCGGTGGGTGATATGGTGCACCTCGTTATTAAATATAGATTGAAAACTCATTTCTTTAGAAGTGCGTTTTGTGTTTAGTTTGTTGTACTTCCCCGACACTTCCGATGAGCAGGGTTGGCTACATACAGCGCGAAAGAAGCTCAACATACATACGTATTTATTTCTTAAATACTACCTCCTAGACCAGTTTTATCCCAGTTGTTGCTTTCGATGTCATGCGACGAGACAAGGTAATGCCCCTGTGTTCGAGAATGGTCAGTGGAAGCAGATATCACAAAACTACACTCAAGTGGGGGACATTACTTTACTTTCCTATTGGCAATGCAACAGAGTTATGTTCATCAGATGACAGTCAAAATGAATATTTTTAATTCTCAGAGCTGGAATTGTCAAATTATGTGCAAAGCTACATTTTATATGGTGTCTTTTTGTTGTGCAGCCGCTGGTGATTAGGCACATTATGTTTCAGAACCCCTGTTTAATCTATGGCAGCTGCACGAATTTGAATCCAGGATCTCAGTGGTACCCAGCGCAGCACTTTAACCTCTGAGCCAGTAATTTCTGTTTGATATTTTGAAAATAGCGATACACAAAAATGTTTCCAGGAAAAATAAATAATTGGACGAGTTTGATATCGTATATGAGTAAGACATTTAAAGTGAAAGATTTTTAACGTCTCATTCTTAAAAGCATTGGAATTCTTCTTGCAGATAATCGATTAAAAAAGTAGAACATACATGTGAACACACACACAGCTTAGCATATAGCCCACCTCTGGAACATTGATGGTTAAGCACAAAATAGTGTTAACAAACTGTTGGAGCAAGTGCTGTTAGCGAGCACCTATAAGTAGTGGGTGGCCAGCACCACGCCCGGCCACTTTTATCTCCCCAGTAGCGATGTTTACACACTGCATCAGGTACTCATTTTATGCCGAGTCGACCTAGGGGAGGCCCAGGACCGATTCAGATAATTGTCACCGGTGTTGGCCGTTAGCGGGAATCAAACTCAGGTCGCCGGGTTTGTAGTGAAGCGAGGTAACCGTTGCACTACCGCTCTCACACTGGTAAAGCACACATACACACGTAGATACACTTAAAATTCACGAGGCCCACCTTTCCTTCGTCCATCGGACAACAGGTGTGGGCTCCCCCACAGAGCGGCATGGGAGCTCCACGTCACGCATCCACGGCGAGGAGATGGGGCCACCAAAGGACAGGATGCGAGCAGGAGCTGCCAAAAGAGTTGAGGGCACATAAGTTGAAGAGCGAGTAAAGACCGAAGGATGGCCATATGCTCTCCTAGAGTAAAACCGAAAAAATTGGTCAGAATTTGAGTATCCTAAAAGAGTCAATGTAGGCTCACCAAAAAAAAATATAAACCCAGTATCTAAAAATAGATGTTCATTTCAGGCAGAGGAACTGACTGGGGGAGAAATTCACAGGATATGGCGACTGAAAATGAGCCGAGGCTACGGGGATTGAGAACACATCGTTTTGTAGCCGCCACTACCGCAGCGACACGGTCGTTCAATGAATGAACAAATAATTTCCAACTGTGCCGCCTTATTTCCATCTGAGAGGATCCTCTTTTCCATGCAGAGCACCACTACATCTATTGTTCATGTTTTGATGGGTAACCGAATGCTCAGACATCAATAGCAAGTGGCATCGCTTTGATTAAAATGAATGCCCTATCTGTAATCAAAATGAAATGATTAGTTAAAATTCAAGGGAATACTTTTATAAATATGTAAAAAAATATATATATATGGATTCCCTTGTGTATCTAATTATTTTCATCGTGAAATTTCATAAGCGTTCATAAGTGTGTGTATAGAATTTTACGTGCAGCATAATGAATCCAATAGAATGGAATGCGCACGGGCGGACGAGAAAAAGCGTGGCGATGTCATCGCACGCCGCAATTCTACGCGTTACATTTCGCACAACGCAAAGGGGCACCCATCTAAAGCACGGCAACGGAACACGGGCGGAATCGCGCGATGATTACCCACGCACGCCAATATGGCTCGGCTCGATGAACCGACCAGCTGATAAATAAGGAAAGCAAATAGATGAGTAAATAATGCAAGGGCGATTTCGTTGAACGAAGTGTCGTGTACTATACCATTCGGAGACGGCTCCACGCTGACACTCTCCGTGTTGTTCCCTCGCCCTGCCGATGTGACCGCCGCCACCCACACGCTGTACTGGCGGTGCCGGCTGAGGTTGCTGATGGAGTGGTGGGTGCTCTCCGGGCTCACCTCGTACTCGCTGATTAACTGTAGAAATAATAATAAGAAGAAGACTCAGAATAATGTAGAGGCCCATCTATCTGCACTCTCAGTCCTGAGGGTTTTTGACAATATTTGATCACCCTGGGATTGCGCGTTGGTGAATGGGAACACGCCATGACCAGTTCAGACGTGACTTGCCACTAATATTATCTGTGGCCAGGTCTTAAACTCAGGTTGCAAGATTCAGTCTGCAGTACGATAAACATTTTTCCACTCATCCAAACAGGTATATATATATAGTAGCTATATATAATGCTCTGTGGTATCACAAGTGTTTGACAGATGTATTGATATTTTCTAGAATGCAAACACTTTCAAAAACACATCAATGCATAACCCTCCTGAAAATAAACATCTGCAGATTTAGTGATACTTTGTTGGATTAATAAAATAAATACAATTACGTTTCTCTTAGTTCACAGTTTAGCTAAATAACATTTTTTATTCAAAGATAAACCATCACATTACTGTTTAACCACGATTCAGTAAGTGAAAATTAATAATGAATGGGTAAAATCACGGGGCCCAAAATTGCAAATCATAGTCACAGAAAATTATGCGAAAAAGCTTTTGTTTTGTCGACTTGTAACTGATGGGATATGTTGACAATATGCGGATGCAAAACCACTCTAATGAATCAATTATACATGAAAAAGAACACGTCCTCTGGCATTTTAATGTGTGTGCAATGCCACGCCGTTAGCATCGCACTGTCCTTGTTTCAAATTACATTTGGCTGGACTTTAGCATGACCAAGACGAAGTTATGACAAACCCACCAGATTTTTTGATTTAAAGCTTTCGTGACTGCAGGGATTCATCTTCTTGGTTCTTTCGGTAAAGTCACGTAGAAGGGAAATAATAAAATAATATTAAAACATAATAAAAATATTTCTCACGACGTTTCGGCCACAACGCAAGCAGCCGTCCTCAGGCTGAAACGTCGTGAGAATTATTGTATTATTTTATTATTTTTATTATTTTATAATGTTTTATTTTTATTATTTTATTATTTCCCTTCTACGTGACTTTACCGAAAGAACCAAAAAGATGAAACCCACCAGAGTTCATCGTTGCTCATGCATTGTCACGCCACTTAAAATAAAGTAGCGTGCAAAACAGTACATTTAAAACGTTAACACGTACACAGTACAGTATTAAACAATGGTATGAATATATTAGACCGGTTATATTCAACTTATGAAATATGTTGTTTTAAATAATGCATGTGGACATTATTAAAAAGATTTGTCTTATAACAAATGAGTTCAGCATATTTCAAGTTAAAGTCATTTCGAAGACGGAAACCTCTGCAACCACGTCCAAGATAACCCCAAGGATTTTCACGTCTTAATGTCACTACGTTGTAGAAATATTACTCCCCGTTTCCCCTAAGCCCCATTTAATGAATACAAGGTCACCCAGTAGTGGCCAGTAATGCGATTTAATCCCACTCGACACGGACAGCTTTCAAATCAATTTCTTCCAAGCCTGAACCACATTGGAATCGCGCCAGTTAACCTTTTCGACTATAGAACACCGTTTTCTTCATATATATCTCACCTGCACGAAAACTAAATTAGGACAATTATAACGCGTGAATTCAAAGCCCTTCGTTCTCAAGGTCATTTTGTTTTCATGGCGAGAGGTATTCAAATCTGCAGCTGTTGGACATCGTATGAGTTATATGGGAAACACTCTCATAGGGTTACCACGCCACGCTGAGATGAAGTTCATCTTACGTGGTGGCTGTCAGGGATTGTGGTGAATTTAACTGCTTCGTCAGCACTCAGAGAAAGTAGGGGCGCGAGTTGTCTTGAAATGTTTTAAGATAGATATATTTTTTATATCACAACGTGAACAGAGAGGTATACACGCTCATATTCAACGGTGATTACATTTAGATACCAACAATTACACGAGGCCTATTGTTGACCTTGACAAATCTGCGACGTATTTCATTAGAACCAGAGGCAAGTGTCAAAAAATTATTTTCAAATTACAGTGTGTGGTATCGTTAAGTAACCCAAATGACTGCCTCGCGTAATTATTCACCGCGTACGCTATTATGACATCAGCTTGCGGTTGAAATTTTTGTAATCTATAAGAAAACGGCTTCACCCCTCGCCCAGAATGCCAAACTAATTTCAAGGAAAAAAAAGGAAACCAATTAATGCCTCACGAGCAGCAAACTACTATGGTTTTCATCTCATAATGAGCACATTTACATTATTAGACAGAAAACAGGTGATAATATAACGCGCCTAACTGCTACATCTCAACGCAACATTCAGGGGTTGCCTCCATGCCACCATTGTGTCCACACAGATGCTCAGGCTCTTCATTATTTTCCCTTTTTGTAAGTCCTCGCGCAGAGAAACCTACGGCATCCATTTTAAAATGTGCCCTTTTTAAATAATTGATGGGTGCGCAATATGAAGATGTGGGAAATACAAGAAAAAAATGTTCATGCCACCAGCTGACTTGCGGAAGGGCAACAAAAAGCTACCTGTCGTCACTGACCAGTCTTGTTTGACGCGCGGCATGTAAAATAGTCCAATTAAAATAAGTGCCGCGTTTTTTGCAAATGAAAAACAACCTGCAGGTGTTTTGTTTTACATGCAAATTTCACAAGGGCATTGATTGCCTGCATCAAAGTGACTGCTTATCACTCAGAGAACCATAATAGGAATCTTTATTTGTCACTATAATTGTTTTTCCTGGAGGAAATCCGATGGGCTACGAAACTTTTGGTCACGGACGTCCAGGTGTGTTGTGGCATAGAAGCAAAGCCACCAGTGTGGCATTCAAAATCAAGCGTCGGGTCTCACACATCAAACGTGTATGCGTCTATGTATTGTGTTGGGTGTTGGGGGGGGGGTGGTGCAGCGGTTAGCGCGCTGCGCTACGAACCCGACCACCTGAGTTCGATTCTCGCTTCACGACAAACACCAGTGACGATTGTCTTAACCGGCCCTGGGCCTCATCTAGGTCGACTCAGCCTCAAATGATCACCTGGTGCAGTGTGTAAACTTCGCCGCTGGGGAGACAAAGGCGGCTGGGGGTGGTGCTGGCCACCCACCCCCGCGTGTGCTGTGCCGACCTTCATAGGTGCTAGCTAACAGCACTTGCCCCAAAATTCTGTTACAGGATATACAGGGGAATTTTTGTCTTTGTGTATGAAAATAATTATCCAGCATTACAGGAGGAAATGTTATAGGTGCAATGAGCAGCACATTCCTTTACACATGGTCACACGGCTGTCCGTTTCTACGTGATAAACTAGGAGAGTGTGACAGAACTGAGTCATAAGCGCACATATTTTTGCCAGGTTTCTCACTGAGAATTTTTTTGATAGAGAGAATGTCCCAATTCAGATAAAGGTCTGGTTTTTGACACATAGAGTGGAACCCCACTCAAAAATCATTCCATAATATAAGTTTTTGGGTTAGATCGCGTAAAAATAAATGTGTTGTTACACTCGCCACCACCAGACACAGCCAATTATTAAGGTTTGTCACGTAAATAAAACATGCCAATTCGTTACTAGTTCAGCACACCGGTCTGTTGGAGAATAAATGTTGTGGGTTTACTCTTCAACACACCGGTGTGCTGAACTAGTACGTGAGAAACCTTACTAATTGGCTGTGTCGGGTGCTGGCGGGTTTAACGACACATTTCTATTCACGCGGTCTAACCCAAAAACCTCTATTATTGATAACATTGGTCGCGAAAACCTCCGTGCCAAACTCAAAAATAATTCCAGTCTGCGTGGACAAAAATGTGACCTGTTCAAACCGCCGGTGCGGATTTAATGTGTTTCGATGTCAATGCCACTTCATCCCTGTTGCTGACCCCTGATGTTTCGGCATGGCCAAGATGTATAAACTTGTGATGCCGAGTGTTTTTTCACGAAAGTGCATCATCAACGTGTTTGAGGAGTTCAGGACTTACGGGGTGGGGTACGTAAGGGAAGGCGCACACCACGATGTACTTGCGGATGATCCCGTTGGGCTTGGCGGGTGGAAGCCAGGACACCACGACGCTGCTGGCTGAAGCAGGTGCAGCCTTAACAGCCGCAGGTGGGCAGGGGACTACAAGAACAAGAACAATGTAAATTAATGAGTGCAATTAGACTTTGTTTGGCTTGTAACACTGTCACAAATTAAGTAAAGTAAAAAAAGAAAACCTCTGCGTTTCAGACCGGGGAGAATTTTTGTTTGGCAGTCCTTTCACAGTCACTGTGATTGCGTGAATCAGGTGGCTCTTCGGTCAGAAGACGCCTCATCAAGCCTGCGCAGTGGCAATTACGCTTCGCACTTTCGTGCAATTCGGTTATGATTGCGGTCTTTTGGAGCTCAGCGGACCGTGCCCAGATTTACACATCGGAGACGCGCCGCCGTACCGCGGCACAGCTAACCCGTATCGATCGGCTGCAAAGGCTTCATTTGCGAGCAATAACATTGATTGAATAACTCTTAAATGGCAAATCTCGCTGATTAAATTGCATTGTGTGCGCTCATTTGCATGACGTGGCATGAAGCGCTTCCATGCAGACCCACTCCCCCCCCCAAACAAAACTAAATAAACGCGACTCCTATCCCACAGCACGGCAGGGCTTCCCCAAAAGCTCTGTGTTTCACACAGGATTTGTTGCATTCCTTTACCGATCGTCGGGATGCAGGGCAAAGTGAAAATCCTGGTTTCGAATCGGCAATCGTTTCGGAAGGCTCGCGCCCATCACGGGCAATGCCCGATGAGTTGGCCTATCGTCCCAGCTTCGTGTTCGCCTCCGCTCCTTGAATCGCGCTAAAAACGCGCCCTGCGAAGACTACGACTGCTGCTGCTGCTCCCAATATGCTCGGCAGTCGCTGCTAACGTGCACCTGTGCACGAGCAGCAACGGGGCTTCACGGGGCAGGGCAGATGTTAGCAATTAGTTGCGGGAGTGCCGTAGCTCCCGAGGGACGTTTAGAATTGAACCGTTCCCCCCGCCCCCCCCCCCCACACACACCGATGACCTTGATCGATAGCGCCCTAATTAGTATCGATACCCATTTGGGTAGCAATAGATAATGATAAAGTTAAGTGTTACCCAGACGACAAATATATTACCTTTTAAAACAAAGATATTAAGGAGATGTGTATTGGTATATACAATTTGGAGGAATTAGAATAGTAAAATAAACACAATGTCAGGCAACATATGAAGGTCTTACCTCATGTTATAATTAAAAATGTAATAGGTAAAATGCATTCATCTTAGTGGTGACCATCAAAAACTAAGATATTATGGAACCGTCACAGCACGCTTGCTGTATCAAGCTTCAAATCTAGAATTAAGTGCAGGGCAACACCTTTACATTTGTATTTCTACATAGCCAGTGCATGTGTGTGTGTGTGCCTCAAATCAGTAGTGGGGAGCGGTAGTGTAGCGATGAGCGCGCTGCGCTATAAACCCGGTGACCCGGGTTCGATTCCTGCTCACGGCCAACACCAACAGTGACGATTATCTGAACCGGTCCTGGGCCTCCCCTAGGTAGACTCAGCCTCAAATGAGTACCCGGTGCGGTGTGTAAACATCGCCACTGGGGAGACAAAGGTGGTGCTGGCCACCCACCCCCTCGTGTACTGTTCTGGCTAACAGCACTTGCCCTGGTAAGGCTATACGGGGGGATCTTTGTCTTTGTTTTTTGCAATGGAGCCATGTGGGGAGTGGTAGCACGCTAACCGTTGCACTACCGATTCCTGCTCATGACCAACTCCACTGACAATTATCTGAACCGTTCCTGGGCTTCCCCAAGGTCGACTCAGCTTCAAATGAGTACCTGGTGCGATGTGGATCTGCGACACTCCTGCAACTAAACATCGCCACTGGGGAGACAAAGGCGGCCGTGCGTGGTGCTGGCCACCCACCCCCTCGTGCGCCGTGCTCGCGCTCACAGGTGCCACTCGCTAAGGGCACTTGCCCCAACAGTCTGTTTTGGCCACACGGGGGGAATCTTTGTCTGTGGTTGGAGCGCCGTGCGTACCGTCCTCCTGCGTGCAGACAAAGGTGGCAACGCTCCGGACTCCGTCTCCGGCGCGAGTGAACGCCAGCACCTGGAGGCTGTAGTTGGTGAACTTCTCCAGGTCCCTGAGGTCGGCTCGCAGCTGGCTCGCGGTCAAGTTTCTCACATCCCCAAGCTCTGATCGCACAATGGTGGACCACGATCAGTTGGCTCGCGGTCAAGTTTCTCACATCCCCAAGCTCTGATCGCACAATGGTGGACCACGATCAGTTGGCTCGCGGTCAAGTTTCTCACATCCCCAAGCTCTGATCGCACAATGGTGGACCACGATCAGTTGGCTCCTGGTCAAGTTTCTCACATCCCCAAGCTCTGATCGCACAATGGTGGACCACGATCAGCTGGCTCGCGGTCAAGTTTCTCACATCCCCAAGCTCTGATCGCACAATGGTGGACCACGATCAGTTGGCTCCTGGTCAAGTTTCTCACATCCCCAAGCTCTGATCGCACAATGGTGGACCACGATCAGTTGGCTCCTGGTCAAGTTTCTCACATCCCCAGGCTCTGATCGCACAATGGTGGACCACGATCAGTTGGCTCGCGGTCAAGTTTCTCACATCCCCAAGCTCTGATCGCACAATGGTGGACCACGATCAGTTGGCTCCTGGTCAAGTTTCTCACATCCCCAAGCTCTGATCGCACAATGGTGGACCACGATCAGCTGGCTCGCGGTCAAGTTTCTCACATCCCCAAGCTCTGATCGCACAATGGTGGACCACGATCAGTCCCCGATAATAATAATGATGATCATAATGTAAATAAAAAAACACGAAGTGACACAGATGCTGAATAAAACCGATCAGTGTTTTGAGTGATACCGCATTTGGCAGCGGCACAAAAGCACAATTAATTAAAAAGAAAGTCAATTCATTTGTCATTCGCATTCAAATAACAAAAATAGATATAATAGGTAATATTTTAGGTAATGACCTTTCTTCATAGCTCTTCAAAAGAAGAAGAACAGCCCCTTGCCTTAGATGTTACTTAATTCGATATTTTTTATTATTATTTAGGGCAGTGCTATAGACAAATGTGTTGAGTTTTTGAACAAATTAGTGTGTCTGTATGTACGTTGAACTTCTTTTGCACCCTAAGTAGCCAACTAAGCTAATCGGATGTGTCTGCTAATCGGAGTACTGTATCAAAACCAATTGAATATCAACAGTTCATGGCAAAGATAAGTATTACATGGAACATATAGTAACAGTCCTGTATTACCTTTCGAAAGTAGAAATACAGAGTTATCCATTTATAGATACCCCACTGATTTATAACGAGCTTCTCAACAGGTGATTGAATGTCGTGAAAGCGATGGGTCCATATCTTTCGAAGGAGAATCATGAAATATTTCAAAAGTTTGGTGGGAGATAAATACAGGCTTTGACTTCTCTATAACATCTTGCTATTCTTTTAGAGGAAACTGGCACTATTTATGTGTGTTGAACAACTTTAGCACCGTACGTAGCTGAGCGTGCTAATCGAAAGTGCGACACGTATGTAGTACATGTAGGATAGATAACAAAAGGTTAAATTAAAAGTGTTTTGTTCAGAAAAATTGAAGGAACTGGAAAGAGAGGAAGACCTGACAGAGAATGGCTTGGCGACATCAGAAGAGATTGGTGGCAGAAAGTTGTGGCACTGCTTGATCATATTGGCACGAGACAGAGGAAAGTGGAAATAAAACACGTTCCTTCGGAGTGGGCAGGTAGGAACTTGGTTGGACAGCGCATTCGTGCACGACAGACAGACAAATAATCCCTGGTGGGCAGTGTGGAACCTGTTGTTCGTACCTGTATGTATAAAAGATAACTTGACTTTAGGTAGCCAGGCAGACAGCCCCCTGAACTATCGCCCCCTTAGGCCCCTCCCCTGACCACCCCCCCCCCCATATCCTCAGGCCCCTCCCCTGACCCCCCCTCCCTCAGGCCCCTCCGCTGACCCCCCCCTCAGGCCCCTCCCCTGAACCCCCCCTCAGGCCCCTCTCCTGACTCCCCCCTTCCTTAGGCCCCTCCCCTGACCCTCCTCTCTTAGGCACCTCCCCTCTCCGTCCCCAGCAGTAGGTCTCCACCAATCAAAGAGCTGTTTGTAAGGTCTCCACCAATCAAAGAGCTGTGTGTATTATATATTTATTTATGCACGACAGACAGTCAGACAGACAGACAGCTACATAATCCCTGGTGGGCAGTGTGGAACATTGTTCCTCCCTGTATGACAAACTTTGCAGCGGACACTTAAGGGCTAGCTGCGCCATGGACCGTGATGATGACTATTTTAGTGGGGTATCTATAAAAGGATCACCGTGTATCAGAACCGGAAAGTATATATTTCCACACATGCAAACCCACACAATTAAGTTGTGGTGATCATTTTTCAGGACAGGTCAGAACGAAAGAGGACCACATTCCCATTTTATAAATTCTTTTATGACATCACTATGTTGCTGATATAACAGTAACAAAGTGCTTTTATATAACAGTGATTTTACAAGCACTTAATGAAGAAAATGGAATAAAAGCTGAAAGGTCATCAATGAAGCACGGTAGAGAGGTACGTATACAAATTAGAGACGTCATATTGGGCATTATGAAAAGTAGGTTTGAATTTGTTTAATTTGTTACACGGATGATCCCGTTAAGCCAGTTTTACAAGGGAGATCCGTGCGTAAACAAAACACATGCAAATCAAAAATACAAGTGCAAACATAATATGCCGGGGTAACAGGCGCCAGAAACAGGTTGGGTACATGTGCGAGTAATCTCTGTGTTTTGGTCTCATAGTGGGACTTGAGCAGGGCACATTGCAAATGGGGATGATGGCTGGTTGTCGTGACGTACACACCACTACGGAACGTCAACCACAGAGATGGAGCGATGTGATCAGCTTTGTGCGCAGGAGCCAGATGGACCATGAGGAATAGTGATGATTTGTGGATGCCTTCATCCAGCCGCTGATAGATCATAGCTTAGCGACGATGACTACGATGTGCACAGCTGTATGTATAATTCTTTATCGGTTTATTGGCTTGTATGTATGTTTAACTTCGTTCACACCATACCGTGGTAATCGGAGGTGTGGGGGAAGGACAACAAACTAAACGCAAAAACACTTTTGGGGGTCGATGATTGTGAATAGCATGTTGATGATCGAGGTGACAATGCGCATTGTAAAAACATAAAATCCACAGTCAGATGCGCAGTGTGCCGGTGTCATGGTCCAAAAGTGCCGAGATTCGAAAAAAATACCGATATTTTACTCATTTGGAATTACACACAAAGCAATCATCGCCCCCCCCCCCCAATGGCAGAATAATGGCCATTTACAGGCCACTGCTGCCGAGTTGCCATGTGCTGCGAAGGGATAGCTGCCATTAGGGGTGCCCCCTTTGGATGCTTGAGATAAGATGTGATGTAGAGCGCTTTCAATTACTGAGGAATTTTCACGCCATATAAATTCAAAAACGATTATTTCCTTCGTAATATGGTTATTAATGATGATGAAAGAGACGAAAGTTACGATGACCAAAATTACAATGATGATAACAATGATGATTGTGACCACTATGACAACGATAATCCACATCACTCCGAGTGGAGTTGTAGGGTATACGTTGGGGGCAGATTCTCATTTAATTTCACAAATGTCACGCAGGGCATACACGCTGCCCCAGTTTCACAAGTGTAGTGACATAGAATTTGTGACTACGTAGCATAGCGCTGGCTGCTGGCAGGGAAGGGTATCTGCAGCTTGTAGCAGCCCTGACTGACAGCAGGCCACGTGATAGACCCGAGAGGGATCTAGGGGAAAGGTTACAGAAGGGACACGTCGAGAGCCCGCTAGTAGGTTCCAGAAGGGGGGCGTGGCCGGGCCGGAGCGAGGCCATGCTAACAGGATAAAAGGGGCCCGAGCAGGAGCTCGAGGCTGTCGTTTGGAGTGGGATCCCCGTTGTCATCATTGCTGTTGAAGATCGTCGCCTTCATCGCTGTCGTCTCCACTTGATAATTGCGCTGCTAGACGTAGTTGGCTGTCCTAGCTCAGCGCCGTCAGTGTCAGACGGATAGCGTTGTGTGCAGGCTGGCAACCAGTGTAGAGTTGCGTATAAGCGAGAGACAGAGAGTGTGTAACAGTGTACGGTGTGTATTGTATAAAGTGTACAAAGCGTGCTCGGTGTTTAATTAAAGATTTGCCTCCAAGAAGTTACGTCTCCAAGTCAGTCACTACACAAGTAAAGGGGAGTCCACATCGCTTTGTTGTAGAAATAAAAAAATCCGTTTCAATCAATTATTAAACGGAAAAATGAATACATGAATACGAACATATTTGCTCATAAAAAGTATGAGCAAGCGTGAAAATTCCCCTGGCAAAGTAGGATGACTTAATAAATTAACAACACCACGAATACGCAGAGAAAGGTGCAGACAGAAAGAAGCAACATCCAAACATAAATACACAATTTCATATGCACACATTCATAATATATAAAACCATATTTTTTTTTCATACAAAATACATACTAATTTAAATCCAGCATGGTCCACTACGTTGATATGTGAAACATTCCACCGCTATTTAAATATACATACATTTAGGATAATTAATGGATGTGACGTGGTTTTTTTTCCCTTTCAAGTTTATAATCCTGTTCAGAAATTGGTTGTGGTTATGTTAATAATGCAAAATTAGTGTGTGGCCCCCTTGCACTGCTCATCTATCACAAACTGAAGCTCTTCATTATACAAAGCCACTGCCCGTGAACTTTTGCTGCCAAGAATATCCATTTGAATGTACAGCTCTGTGTTCGCTGCTTTGCGTGGCCATCAATATTTAATTATCTCTATGCCATTACGCTGCCTCGATACATTTGCCTGATAAAAATGGATGCAGCACATCAAGGCACATCCAGTCGTCCGAAATTAACTGAATTATTCAATCTTCATCCAATTCACTGCACGTACAGACCCCGGGTTTATTTTTAGTGTTACACATGGAGTAAGGACGAAAATTAATAATTCGCCGCAGTGGAAATAATAGCGAGCAGTAAATTACCCTCACTGTATCAGATAAATGTTATAGTGTTTTGGAATTCTTTGTAAAGAGGCAAAGGGGGAGAAAAAAAAACCAAAACCACATTGTGTATAAACTGAGAAATTGGTTTTTCAAAAGCATTATGTGTCACAATGGGTTATTTTCCCTGGGCGGTAGCAGAAATGCCTAGTAATTCATTATTATTGTTATTAGTTGTTTCTTCGCCCTCTCATCTGCCTGCCATTTCCTGTTACCTTGAAGAGGTAAAGCAAACTGTAACATTCATGACCTTTGAGCGTACGGCATTTTAGCGTCCGAATTCATTACGCACTGATTTCAAGCCGGTAACATCTGAACAAAGTCTGGTGACGAAATGTTTGCGTTGTTATTGGACATTTCACGTGCGAGGCTATGCGTTTACCATATACATTTTAAAAGGAGCACATGAACAAACTAACATGTATTATTCCGTAAGAATAGCAGTCTTTTTGATTGTACAAGCTTGCTCTACTGTGTAGCAAATGAAAAAAACACATCTAACTGCAGTGTTTATGTTAATCTCTTAAAGGTTTATTTTAATCCAACACCATTCAGTGTCTAAATAGCAAGAACCTTCACCGTCGCTTTATAAAACATATTCTGTACAATGTATCGTGTCATGTAATTAAAACAAGCACGGGAAGCTAAATAATTAAATTATCAAGGAATTACATAAACATTAGCATCATAAATAACCTTTGTCAACACACATCCTAATAACTTTCTGAATTTTTTTAAATCTGAGTATTATTCACAAAGTTACTTCGTTATCACTACTTTTATTGTATATAATGAGATCACCCTTAATATCTCTGATCTTGTCACATCTCTCTCTAGATGTACGTTCGGTTGATTAGCGCCTGGATAGATCATCACTGGGGCTTGCCAGGTGCTGTAGGTGTGGGGCTGTGACATGGACAAGAGATGGCAGTGCTGAGAATCACCCTATCCCCTAATATGCATAGGATTCTAATGGGAATTCCAGTTTCCTCTCACATGCCAAACATACATCTATAGCGTTTGTCAAACATCCCAATGCAGGACAATCTCGCTAAAGTATCTTGACGCACAGTGAGGTTTCCTTTAGTAAATAATTGGCATTACGGTACTGCTACGAATAACACTATCATTGAATTAATTTTATACCTACGTGACTTTACCGAAAGAACCAAAGAGTATACTATAATCGTAGTGTAATATTTGCAATATTTTTACATCTAAAAATGGGTTCACACTCATTTTAATTTTCCTTCTTGGTACCTAACACAATGTTCTTCCTGACAAGCGGGCGGTATGGCGCAAATCACGGCGTGAGCACACCCCGATGCAATCGGGCCACATTCAAGTGCCAGCACAGATAAAGGTTGTCCCATTCAAGAAGTGAAAACATTCGGTTCTTTTTGGAAAGGTGGCGTGAACTATGCACATCGGCGCGGAGACACGTTTTCACCGCTTCCATTTGCGCAAACTCTTTTTCGCACACTCATACTTCCTTAAGAAGTACCGGCAGCCAAATCTGTTTCACTTGCATACAGCGTAAGGCACGGGGGTACCAAACTTTTTGGCATCGAATGCCAGATTGACTACACTCGTAGAACCTTGAGCCACAGACGCATAGTAAATAAAGCGTCAAATGAAGAGTAAATGACTCTCGATTTAAAGCTTTCGTGACTGCAGGGATTAATCTTCTTGGTTCTTTTGGTAAAGTCACGTAGAAGAGAAATAATAAAATAATAAAAATAAAACATAATAAAATGCAATTCTCACGACTTTTCGGCCACAACGCAAGCAGCCGTCCGCAGGTGAAGAACAGGTCTGTCGGAAAGACAGCGTCTGAATGAACACCACCAAGCTTGGCAGCGTATATTTAAGCTGGGTTGGAGGAGGAAGGGCGCCTTGACAAAGGAATTTGCCTCTGTTGATATGTTCATTCAGACAGCTGTCTTTCCGACAGACCTGTTCTTCACCTGTGGACGGCTGCTTGCGTTGTGGCCGAAACGTCGTGAGAATTGTATTCTACGTGACTTTTCTGAAAGAACCAAGAAGGAGAGTAAATATCTAATAAACAAATAAAAACGGACAAAGAAGCAAAATGTATTTAGAACATCTATAAAAAGAGAGATAAAGAGAGAGTCAAAATAAAGCTATGAAAAGATATAGGAGAGGTTAACGTAAGGGATAGAAAAATTAACCCGTAAAAACAAAGTTTTTCACTATAAATGCGTGTTCAATGGGCCACAACCCAGCCCACATTGGTCTTTGAAACGGGCGGCTAGAGTCCTCTCGTCCTCTGGCTTGAGATGGCTGCCACCTATGGGTCAGATGACTGCCTGCCACCATTAAGCAATTGGTAATTAAATCTAATTTTTTTTTACCTAAAAAGTGTAAAATTTTGGAAAAAAATTTTCACAAAAAGAAATTGTCACGCACAACGAGTCTGTGGGCAAAATGTCAGCTCGATTGGATCACGGGAAGTGGGTTAAAAAACGACGAAAGATTTGCACGGTCGTAAGCGCAAGCAAGCAAGCAAGTGAACTTAATATAAAGGATTTAAAAATATAACAGCTAGGAGATATATTCAGAAAATATATGACAAATTGAAGTGACAGAGAGATGTGTAAGACATGAAGGTACAGCACTTACACGCGCTGACGTCTAACACCGCCACCCATCGCACATCATCTGAATGGCCGTTCAGTCTAAGATAGTTTACTTTACAGTTTCACACTTGCGTGAAATAATTAACTCCATTCATTTAATGTTGACGTTGTGGTGGGCTGTATTAATAGTAAGTTTGAGAGCGATGCTGCAGGTTGGATAAGACGAGTCGGTGGGTGGATCAAAACCGCAGGCTCTAGTTGGGTGTCCCTGGTATAAGGCAACCATTTCACTGTGTAACAAAAAACAATAATTTGTTCCTGGCTAGTAAGTGTAATTTTCAAAGTGCTTATGCCTCAAAAGTACAGAAAATGGCTATTATTCCCCCACAAACGTTGCTTTTGTGACCAGGACAGTGATATTTTGAAATGTATCTATTTTCAATGAGAAAACGCGGTGTGCATTTGTGTCATTCCTTCACATAAAGTCCTGGTCACAAAAGCTAAGTTTGTGGGGAATAATAGCCATTTTCGATGCTTTTTAGGCATAAGCAATTAAAAAATAACACTACCCAGGGACAAAAATCGTGTTACATAGTGATATATATCAATAACATTTTTCCGTCTGTCTGTTTTTTCCAGATCAAAATTAATACTTATTTTTGTAGCACATCTTCCAAAATTGACCGTTGAATAATCTAACGTAAATAAATAATAACATTGAATCCACTTTTAACCTTTTGCATCTCATCAGCAAATTCAGGTTGCTGAACCGCCAAATGTAATTGGCAAAAACACTCCCTCAAAACAATGGGACCCTGTCTCGTGCCGAGACAGCTTTTTCATGCTTTTATGTAAACGTATTCTTGCCAGTTGAGCTTAGTTGAAAACAGCTGCTTACATTCAGTATCCCATTACCTTAAATTATAATGAAGTGAACAAAGAAGTGTACTTCTGTACGAAAAAAAAATCTGTTTATGAGAAGTAAAAAATATTATAGGAGGTAATGTTCTGAGGCATAGCACGCCATTATCAAAATGCATGCAGTTAGAATGTTGAAGATAAACACTGGGAAATTTCATCCCAACTGGCGGCACATTTGATGGGACGGACAGCTCGGTTACTCGCTCTGTTTGCCATCATTTGCGGTTGTTTTTTGTATACGCCACGATGTCACGACTTACCTCCGTCGGGAAGAACGGGATAGTAAATGACTCGATATCCCTGCAGGAGGCCGTTGTGCGCGTCACGGGGCGGAGGCGACCACGACAGGGAAATGGCGTCAGCCGATATGGAGGCGGCTTGAATGTTTGCGGGAGGTTTGCTTGGCACTGCAAAAAAAACAAGTCAGTTACCAGCGGCCCCCCCACTCCGTTTGATCAGTCAGGTGTCGCGACGAGCGAACCGTGGGAGCTACGTGTGAAATCAAAGGTTTAATTGTACAAACGCACATCACAGGCCCTACATGCAAAAAGCGATCATGTACATTATCTGCGGTTCGACCGATTCATCTTTTTTAATGGAACTATTTCACGTGCCAAACTGAGGAGAGATGTTATTCTTTATTTCCGATTTGCACGTAACCTTTGGTGTTATGACTTAAAAGCGATTGGAAATGTGCCGTATGTAAAAACTAAATAATCATATTTTAAAAACCTAACTTTGAATCAATCAACGGCAAAAGAATAGGAAAATGCAGTAGAGTCCCAGTGAGAATGACACATGCATGGCACTGCATATTTACTAAAACAAGGAGTTATCTCCACGATCCGCCACATTTACAGAATAGAAAATATTAGTTCATAAAATATGGAGAACATCCACAAATGTGTGAAAATCAATGAGGTGGACAAACTGAAGGTAGGTGGACAAGCGATAGGAGTTGTATTCATCAATAAACACAAACAAATCAGGTCATGTGAGGGATGTCCATTAGAGCATCGAGCATAATGCCTATAATAGAAAATGAGCTCAGAAATTATATGCAGAACTTTAGTTAATAATTGTCACTAAAGGCAATGTGGACAGAAAAAACACGTAGAAAAAATGGTTTACAATAATACACGGAAGGAAATTCAGCTTCGTCATTTCACAAGAAATGTTTCGCCAAAGAGACTATATTTTGTCTTATCATAATGCATCTATTATTGTACACGTTTTTAAATTGGGCTCGAACAACCTTATTTTATCATACAAATCAAAAATATTGACTCTTCAACCATGGAATAAAACCTAAGCATCTTCCCACAATTTGGGACTATTCCATTTGACGGGCTTACATTCATTTACGAGGCAACGAATGTGAAAATAATCATCAATTTACCCTCCTTGAATTGCTTCCTGCTGTGAATATCCGTCTCCTTTGACTCTCCCCCGTTACCCATTCATGTAACAACAGAAACTCAAGATGTACTGTTTTGCATTTTGTCTGCGAAGAAGCCGCACGCATTTTTCAATCTAATTTTGCCAGCGAATTTTGCTGAAGGGAGAGGGAATGGAATGGGGGCAGAGGGAGGAGGGGGGGGATGAGGATGAGCAAGGAGGAGCTTCCCTCTCTTGCACGTGAAGGGGAGTGCCAGATAACGTGAGCCTCTCTCAGCCACAGTCCCCCAGCAAATGGTTCTGGCCAATACCCCTGGAGCTGTGACCCAACATCAATAACATCCCTTTGCATTCGCAAACCAAATGTTCAAACGCTGAAGTTGTCGGTTGTGCAGCGCGCACAGCCGTGTCAAACGGTGCATCGATTCAGCAGTGAAAATTGCACTCTTAGCCTTGCAGTCCACGCACCGAATTGCCCGTGCGCGCCGTCGTCATGATAAATTATGCAAATTGTATGCTACTTATATTCTCACTTTCCATTGATTGAGGCCATTGTCATCAATTAGGCTGTACTCGTGAAATTAAAAAGCGAAACAATGCCAATGGGATGGTAAAAATGTGACAATAGATTTTTTTGATATTCTTAGGTTTTTTCGGTAAAGTCACGTAGGTAAAACATTAAAAAGTAAAATAAAATAAAATAAAAATCACGACGTTTCGGAGGCAACACAAGCTTCCGTCTTCAGGTGGAACCGTCACAGCCACGACAGCTGTATTTTTACTTTTTAATGTTTTACCTACGTGACTTTACCGAAAAAACCTAAGAATATGAATCCTTGCAGTCACGAAAGCTTCAAATCTAGATTTTTTTTTGATCGAATCGCGATTAGGAATTGGCATAGTTCATCGAATCAAAAGGGCACTGGGTGGAGAAAGGGAAGGGATCATGCCATGCCTAGTGCATACCGACTGTGACTGCCAGCTTCTGAATCATTTGGTAAAACAAAAACATTGTGAAAAACAAGAAACTACACCCTAAGACTACAAAACTCCTTCTTACACTTGATAACATTCGGTTGTAAGAAGTTGGGTGATGTTTAGCATTGTCTTTTTAAGCTTTTCCAATTATATCCCATTATGTGCCTTTGTAAGTATGTGAACGATGTCTAATCCATAGTTACATATTAGTTTGAACGAGAGACAGAATTTGGCATCATGTAGACACTACTTTGCTCGAACCTGTGTAACCGACATGATCACAGGCTGTGCCTTAAGCTGAGATCACAGCTGAAAGCTGTAACAGCCCAGGCTGCCAGAGGCTGAACCTCAATGCACTTGATCTTGAAGTAGTGGTTTTCAGTCCAATCTTCCAATATTCCTGCCACACACAGTGTTGCGGTACTGGTGGCCTCGTGCAAATTCCCGCACGTAATGAATATGAATGCGAGTGAAATCGGGGGCCCTCTTTAAAAACGTAGAGCAATAATTCGGCCAAGGATTTCAATTGCTATCTCAACCAAACTCCCCGATTCTCCCGTGAATAAATGATCAGAAGCCCATAAACACGACCGGCAACACATTTGCGTTGATGGATGCGCCTTTGTGGCATCGATTAAATAGCCGACACCCAATGTAAATGATGTACAATGCAATGAATAACAAATAAACCCGTTGCTAGAAATACTCTCCCAATCAAGCTCCAACGGTGACTCGGAGATCTGTGGTTGCTTCCAATGTTAACTCGACCCCATTAGCTGTTGTCCTGTGTTACGAGGCCAAAAGTAGACAGTGTGTCCATGATGAAGTTAGCAGGTAGATTGAAATTCTGCAAATCCACCCTCCAATTATCTGCTCTTCCAATAATCCATCACTCCCCCCCCCCCATTGATACGTGGAAAATACTATTATCTACACAAAGATTCGTTCTATTAACCATGCACACATAAGGGGTTAACTGGGTTACCTGCAGAGGCCCCTTTTTCCAGTGTCAGAAGTGCCAGAAGCGTGCGTTCATGTGTGGTTGCCCACAAAGTTTTACTTTGAAGTTCCATTCATTCCTCAAAACATCTCGTCCCACGCTAGCGATATGTTAACTAGGATGCAGAAGGTCGTGGGTTCGATCCCGACCCTGATACCTGTACATTTGGAGTTTGCATGTTCTTCCTGTAGTCTCGTGGATTTTTCTCCGGGTCCTCTGATATTTCCCTCCAAATATAAAACCAACACGCGTTTAGAGTATTTGGCTGCTATACATTTCCACATACAGGATAACGAAGTTGAGCTATCCTTTGTGGCCAGGTCGTTTCTGAACAAGGACTATGTAGCTCAGTGGACCTTACCTGGTAATAAGTATAACCCGTAAAAAAAAGTTTTTCACTCTAAATCCTTTATATGCGTGGCGGCTAGAGTCCTCTCGTCCTCTGGCTTGAGATGGCTGCCACCTATGGGTCAGATGATTGTCTGCAGTATTAAACAATTGGTAATTAAATATTTAATTTGTTTTCCCTAAACAGTGTAAAATTTTGGAAAAAAAATTTCACGAACATTAATTGTCTCGCACAACGAGTCTGTGTGCAAAATGTCAGCTCGATTGGATCACGGGAAGTGGGTTAAAAAACGACCGAAAGGTTTGCACGGTCGTAAGCAAGCAAGCAAGCAAGCACGCAAGCACGCAAGCACGCAAGCAAGCGAACTTAATATAAAGGATTTAAAAAAAAATCTTTAATTTAAAAGTTCATGATCCGCGCAGGCGAGATTCTCACCGTCCTCCAGCGTGGCGGCGTAGGCCTCAGAGGATGATGGGCCGCTGCCGGCCAGGTTGAAGGCCTGCACCATCACGGCGTAGCGCGTGAACTTCTTGAGGTGATGCAGCAGGCAAGACTCGCGCTCGCCCGTGCTCTCCAGCCGCACGATGTTGAACTGCGACAAGGCACCACTGCCCGGCTCAGCCTCGCGGTAGCCGATCTGGTAGCCCCGGATGACACCGTTGCGCAGGTGCCCATGCGGCACCTGAGCGAAGACGGCAGGTGGGGCAGAGGCAGAGATACGCGCAGTGAGAATACTCAATCAGAATCAGAATATTAATTTTTACTGGAGAAATCCGATGAGCTATATTTATGTAAGTTGAGCTTCTTTCACACCGTACGTAGCCAACCGCGCTGATCGGAGGTGCGGGGGAAGGACAACAAACTAAACACAACAAAAGGAGATCTAAGGAAATGAATTTTCAATCGAGATTTAAAGTGCAAAGCGCCAGTGGCTTCCTAATATCGGAAGGAATTGCGTTCCAGATGGCCGCAGAAGCGCATCTAAAAGCGAGCGATGCAGTGGCTGTCTTTGTTCGATGGCCAGCCAAAATCCGCTGCGAGGATGACCGGGTGGGTCAGAAAGATACAACAACAAACAATACAAACACGATAAGAGTGCAACGTATAGGAAAGGTCAGCAAATCACGCAAATTTTTTGTTGTATTTTACCAGGCAAAGCTTCACTGAGCTATTAGTTTATTTTTCAGAAGCAACCTGGCCACAAATGATCGTTCAACAAAGTGGCTTATCATGTGGAAATTTATTGCAGCCAAACAATCTAAATAATCACTCGCATGGATGTGGATCTCTATGGCAACACATACTCAGACTAGCTCTCGTATTTTCTCAGATCATTGAACCGTTCTGTCATTGCTGAAATTCTGAGCTTGAACGTGGGCAACCTCTCTGTGATTATTACACCAGGTATCAAGCGTAGGCAGTTGATGGTCTCAGCCAATCTTTTTTATTGTTTTTGTTACGTTTCCCCAGGTTTTTCCCGGTCTGTGCCTTCAGCAGAGTAGAGACAAAGTATCCATTTGCAGCGTTTGCAGAGTAGAGCACTGCAACCCTCTGTGTTAGAGAACGGCCCACAGAAGTGAATATGACAGAGCTACCTCTGAAATCCCTTCAAGTGACCTTTGATCCAGACACTAAGGGGAAGCACTTTCCCGCAGACCATGCCACATGAAAGCAATATTAGTTCCTGACAGTAAAATCAATATATATGCTTTATTCTCAGAGCCAGAATACAGCCCAAATTAAACACAGATACAAAATTGAAGTTGAACGTTTTTTGTTTGTTTGTTAGTACAGTCATTTGGCTGAGACCATAAACTCAATATATTTGAGAACCCTGCTTGATCACGAGTGGCTGCCTAACCCCGGCGCTCGGATAACAGTGGCGTTAGCTCAGTCCTCTGACTTCTGAGCCACACAGCCACCTCTGGTCTCTGCCACTCTTGAATAAATACACGACAAATAATACAGTTTTTAGGTTTTCGTTATTCTTGCACGCTGAACTTCCTTTAGCCGCATTTTAATGGCTAAAATACACGAATATGCGGAGAAGCAGAACGAGATTATTTAAAAGAGTGTGCAGAGGTCCATATTAATGAAGTGACTTAATGAGGGTATGCGGTGTCATCCATCGGAGCTGTTCCCTGACGTGATTTAATTCTCTACCAAGGGAAGGCATAATTTACCTCATTAACTTACTCCATATAGCAATATGGATATAATTAGCTATAGTATTATTAAATGCATGCCATTTTTATTATAGTCAGTGTTCGGAATAGCACAGTTTTTGTTTTGTGTGTGTAATATTAACGGTGTTTATTCATATCTCTATTATTAATCAGTTGTGCGTGTCACCAAAAAGTCAACGACAAGCAGGGTGTGGTGACGTCACAGCTTGCATAACGTCCCAACATCTGGCAGATAGATTTACGCGATTGTTATTATGCTTTAATTTGAAATGCTGTTTCATATTTGTAAATGTAAGAAGCCATGAGTCACCGACACTACATATTCTCATGGTTGAGCGTTATCACCCCTTTGCTCAAACTAAGACACCGTTAGGATTGCTGGCATAAACTGATCACAACAGAAACTCAGAAAACCAGCAATATGAGTGGCATTGCCTGCATTATACCTGAATAAATATCTTCATGTGTTTCTCACGTTCACAGACTTGGTGTGCTGACGGTAGTTGCATGGTGGCACAATCGAGCATCATAAATGTGACCCATCACAGTCAAACTTAGAGCTGTTCATCGTACAGATTCCAGTGGGCATTGATTCTTTAGAGAATTCATGACAGCATTTAGGCACTTCCCCCCCCCCCCTCTATTTTTTACTTCTCCTGCAGGGGTACCAGAGCTTTGGAAGACACCATGGTTGTAGAGTTTATTGAAATGATTCTAGATTTGAAGCTTTCGTGACTGCAAGGATTCATATTCTTGGGTTTTTTCGGTAAAGTCACGTAGGTAAAAAATAAAAATTAATAAAAGTAAAATAAAAATAAAATAAAAATCACGACGTTTCGGAGGCAACACAAGCTTCCGTCTTCAGGTGGAACCGTCGCAGCACGATTGCCGTTTCAAGTAAATGAGCAATCGTGCTGTGACGGTTCCACCTGAAGACGGAAGCTTGTGTTGCCTCCGAAACGTCGTGATTTTTATTTTATTTTTATTTTACTTTTATTAATTTTTATTTTTATTTTTTACCTACGTGACTTTACCGAAAAAACCCAAGAATATTTATTGAAATGGTTTATTTAAACGTGCAGTTTGAACAAGTTTACATTGCACTGTAATCCGTGATGTGTTTGTGCTGGTGTCAAACCCCTTTCATGTCCTCTTGTGTGTACCTGAATCGTTTTGTGAATAGAATACTTTTGAAGAGAAACAATTATGGTTGTAACGTGTCATTATCGTATGCTACTTTACATAAGCAGAACACGAATATGTTATATCAATAGCAAAGATCGATGGAAATTTAAGATGGATTGAAGTGCTGTAACGTATCCAATATAAGTTGCGTAAATGATATGGAGCAAGACGAGAAATAAATTTAGAGTTATATTTATAGAATAATCAGAAATCAATTAAAAAGTACACAATAGATTAACCTTATACATTTCATTTTAAAAAGCAATGGCTTTCATGATGATTTAATAACGATTATACCCACCAACAAAGCAAACAAGCTTTCATAATATAGACACGTACACACGTCAAATAAAGATGATAAATTAGATGTGGAAACATTGTGGAACTGTTGTGACATGACATTACACATAGGCTGTAAATACGACCCCAGATTTATTGGCATTTGTTGATATTTGTCAGCGCCATTTGTAGATGTAACATTATGGATTCACAAACTATTCAGACTTTACAATCGTCGAACATAGCTAATGAGGTGAAACACAAAACATTACCTTCCATGTGACACGAATGCTCTGCGAAGATTGAGGCTCCAATATGACTTCTAAAGGAGGTCCATCTGGGGCTGTGGCAGTGATATGAAAAGTAAATAAACATGTTATAGGCCAGACCAATGAAGCTTGCAGAAGAGATATACATAACATGCTCGCTAGTCAACTGGGAGGTTATTTTCTAAACGAGGGTAAGGAGTCCGATATGGCTGTGAAGCATATTCAGTAGTGCCCCATGAATGATGAGTTAATGTTCCGTACACTGACTCAGAGCTACAAATTAGTATTTTGAGCTCTACATTAGCGTGGAGAGATGAACAATTCGGGCGCTTCCCACACAATCAGACATACACACAATATAATTCATGCACATGCACATACATACCTACATGCAAACGCACTCAAGCGATGAACATGCTGCCCAACTAGGTTTTTAAAAAATATGTTCAAGTAACGTAAATATATATTTGGCTATTAGTCATTCTGTTAGCAACAACCATTGGGATATAAATTGGAATGCTTTTTCATTTTGCAACAGTACTTGTGCACCTGAGATCAGTGTGCTTTTTGTTTTAGGATTGACAACATACAGAGAAAAAAAAATGATGTCTGCCTTTCACATATTGTTAAATTGTGCCATCTAAATTGGAACACTGGGTTAGTGCAATTGTATGTACTTGATAAGCATGTCATTCCCATCATATCAACCAAAGTGGTTTTTTTTGGGCCAGTGTCTCAATGGGACACAAGTGGATTCAACTGCATACTAATATTGGTACACGTGGGGTTTGCAAGTGTCAGGCAACGCATGCTGTGGCGTCCAGTCTAGGCAGTCTCCATTAAAGATGGGTTTGAATTTGAATTAAATAATATTTAATATTTTCAGATTTATAGGGCAAATTTAGATTTTTTTTCTTCAGATTTAAGGATCATTTATGCTATGCACTCTCGCCAAATGTCCATGTGCTAACATCAGTGATGTCGTCCAATGCCATACATGGCACCATTTTTTGGTGCCATATACGTCATGTTGTTGATGCCACTTCGGAAAAAATATCCAGAAAGTCCAAAATGTCGTGTCTATGTTCGCTTTTTGGATTAATCTCCAAATCTGGAGCACATCCCTAACCCTCTGTTGACTACCGCAAGAAGAGAGTTAGTACAGCAGCGGTCGGGAACCTATGGCTCGCGAGCCATATATGGCTCTTCCGGTGACGGCATATGGCTCCCAGACAAATTTGAGTTGAAAAAAATAATAATAAAAAAATAAAATCAGTTTGGAACTGATTTTAAAATACTTGTGATATTGCTTAATAATACTGTGTCATTTCAAAGTAAACAGAAATTCGTTTTGAAGATAAAATTTCTCGGGTCACGGGTCCCGTGACCAGAAGTCGCATTAAAAGTAAGACATATTTAATTTATTATACGTTAAAAATACTATATGGCTCTCAATGAAATATATTTAGAAATATTTGGCTTTTATAGCTCTCCCAGTCAAAAAGGTTCCCGACCCCTGGTGTACCGGCTTCTTGGGTGGTGATGGGCAGATCCTTGCTGGGCTCACTCGCGCCGATGCGGTTCTTGGCATACACACGGAACACGTAGTTTGTGGCAGGATGGAGGTCAATGATGGTCGCTTGGTTGATGGTGGACGAAATGTCCTTGGTTCTCTGCTTCTGTTCCCAAGTTTCTGGTTATAAGCAAGATATCACTCACCATCATCATCATTGTCATCGTCTTTATTGGCATCATGATCATACGTTTTCCTGAGGTCATGACAGTGTTGAAACGAGCATATTGTATGAACACTTGCATAAATAATTGCGTTCTTATATTAATTAAAATGACATCACTCTTTTATGAATTTTAAAAATGTATAAAGATGGGTGCATTTATTATATTTATCACGTATTTATCTAAATGTATGCAAAGTTCCTCTTACATTGAGCTCTGTCTTGCCATGGAGAAATTCCTTTGGCCTATTTATATTCTGTATATTTCATATATTAGAAATTCCCAAACACCATTGCATTAATTACAATAGTGATACATTCATATGGCCAAGTTATCCACAATGCAGGCCTTCGAGTAAGCTGATTATGTCACAGGCATGCCTTGTCAGTGGAATTGTGTATATTCAGTGTGTTCGTACATTTTCAACCACGGGTTAACGGCACAAGGAATCTATGCAATTCATTATTTCGAAAAGAGCTCGCAAAATCAGTTTGTGATTTCCATTGTGCCCAATAGCATCAAATTAATTACTTAAGGTCAAAATTGTATGTCGTGCCTGATGTGACACACGAGCAGATCCTAACAAAGAACAAAACTATCAATTTTAACAGTGGTGACACAGGGGGAAATGCATACGTAATGGACTCCTCCATGTTTTTTTGTTAAGGCCGGTTTGCCAGCAATGGCTTTAAGAGCATTTATTTTGGAGAATTGAGCGTTACATGGGGGGTGATGAATGACTTCAACCTGCCCGCTCCAACTCTGGGCCTCCACCTTTCCGCTACAGCTGTCACCGACCTGCCTTAAATCAGTGCAAAATGCCACTTATGAAACACCCAGCAGGCATTCACCTGATCTGTTCTTGTACTCAATGTCAAAGGCGGTGATTGGACTGTTGCCGTCAAAACCGCTGGTCCATCGCAAGGTGATGGTGCGAGCGTTCACCTCCCTCACCTCCACCTCTGGGGGGTCCGGGGGCTCTGATGAACATGAAATCACAACATGAACAGCTGTTACACACGGTGGCCTCATTTCCCAACATCAAGCGGCGTCCCATTGCTTGGGGGACGGCAGGTGGGGGGGGGGGGGGGGAGTGCGGTGGGGCGGGTGGCGGGTGTGAAGGTTGGGGAAGGTAGGGACATTTTTTTTTTAAACACCTTAGATTGTATTCACATTTCTGCAGCCTTACAAATGTGGCCTTTGATGGTTAATCACAGTGTGGTATCTGCATTGCATTAATAAACCACGCTCTGTTATAGAATGTGATATGCAATTGCAATGCTTTCACTGCTCTGAGTCTATATTTTGTTCCACCGCAAAGAAGGTATTCCGCCACCGGTGTGGGAGATGTCAGTGCATCAGTCGGCAAGAGACAAGAGGATGGTGAGTAAATGTGGCATCAGAAATCGGAATTAGAGATGAGAATGCCGACCTTCTTCTTGGTTCTATTCGGAAAAATAACGTAGAATGGAAATAATAAAATAATAAAATTAAACATAATAAAATAATTCTCACGACGTTTCGGCCACAACGCAAGCAGCCGTCCTCAGGTGAAGAACAGGTCTGTCGAGAAGACAGAGTCATTCAGACTCTGTCAGAGACATTCAAATTCTGTCTTCTCGACATATCTGTTCTTCACCTGAGGACGGCTGCTTACGTTGTGGCCGAAACGTCGTGAGAATTATTTTATTATGTTTAATTTTATGATTTTATTATTTCCATTCTACGTGACTTTACCGAAAGAACCAAGAAGATGAATCCCTGCTGTCACGAAAGCTTTAAATCGAAATTTAATGCCGACCTTAACGCAATAACATTCCTCAAGACCTTTTTGTAGGAGGGTCCTGCGTCAATTATGAGTGTTTGGCATGTGGAAAGGGTGCCAGGGAACCTTGGAGAAAACCAACAAAGTGAGGAGACAGCCCTTGAAGCTCTGCAATTAAAGATGCAATCCACGGATAGATCCAATATATTGAACCATCTGTGGGTTCGACCCATTGCTGTACTCCCTTATCATGGCCACCTTGCAGTCCTTTGCTTATAACACCTGGCATGAATTTATGAATTTTTACCGAGGCACTAACCTGGCTCAAGCCTGCTTATCTCTGAGTTCTGAAGATATTGGGTGAATTCAGTGTCAATATGATTGGAAGCATTTATAGAACCTGGCACCCACAAGAGTCATGGTGATTCACTATGAAGTAGCAAGCATTTAGAAGTGAAATACATCCACAAATCTCGCTGTGGACATTCATACCATGCGATGTCAACATTAATTTTCATTGGAAAGCACAACGTGTTAAACAAAACGTTGCGCCTGAAAGACACACATCGGAATAAGCGAGTCAGAAACGCGACGTCAAATACCCTCGGCAAATTATATTACCCGGCAACGCATGGTCAATCGTTACAGAGTGCACACAAAATATACGTGCCGCGCGTGCGTGAGGGATAACTACACTCCCGACGCGCATGAGTAAATCTGCACAAGGACACGTTGGGGGGGGGGGGGGGGATGCTACATTAACTCACCTTGCACGGTGAGCTGGATGAGCCCTCTGTCCTCGCCGTAAGAGTTGATGGCGTGGCACGTGAAGAAGCCAGAATCTCCGCGTACCGTAGGCAGTATCTACAACACAGGGAGCGACGAGGCAACAGCCCCAGGTTTCCATTGCTAAAAAGGCACTGCATCATTTGTTGGTTCTTTCGGTAAAGTCACGTAGAAGGGAATTAATACAATAATAAAAATAAAACATAATCAAATAATTCTCACGACGTTTCGGCCACAATGCAAGCAGCCGTCCACAGGTGAAGAACATGTCTGTTGGGGAGACAGCGTCTGAATGAACAGGTCTGTCGGAAAGACAGTCGGAAAGATAGACCTGTTCATTCAGACGCTGTCTTTCCGACAGACCTGTTCTTCACCTGAGGACGGCTGCTTGCGTTGTGGCCGAAACGTCGTGAGAATTGTATTTTATTATGTTTTATTTTTATTATTTTATTATTTCCCTTCTACGTGATGACTTTACCGAAAGAACCACGAAGATGAATCCTTGCAGTCACGAAAGCTTTAAATCAAAATTTGCATCATTTGTCTCAGCGGGCCTGAATTTTCATCTCCTGCTTAAATATAGATAATACCATTGCTAATAATTTGAGTGAGATATATAAAATATATATATTGCAATGCATTGCCCACGTAAATGTGTTATTTATTAACGCCAAAGCATCTCATTACAATGCTAAGCATTGAGCAGTGCTCAACATTTGTGTTGGTTCTGCACCAGTTGTGGAAATTCCACATTGCTATTGTGCAGTTAGGTATCTTTAAAAGAAGCGTATTATTAAATAAATACAATTACAATTCCTTATAATGGAAACAAATAGCAATGAATAACAATTGAATGATTACCAATCTATATAATTACAATACCCTACCCCCCTCTTTGCCTCGAATCACTGCACCAGATTGAATTGAATTAAATGATGACGTCACCCTGATGCTGCTGCTCTATTTAAGACCGGAAGCAACAGGAGAGCTTCACCATTCTTGACCGATGAAGCTGATTGTAATTATCAGCGAAACGTCGTACTCAATTTTAAAATGCTTTTGATTCTCTCTTCAGCACACCGGTGGGCTAAAGAAGTAAATTATTTTGTCCTTTGAAAAACGTGACACATTTTTTACTGTTTGGCCGTGTCGGGTGGTGGAGGGTTACGACACATTTATAAATAACACGATCTGACCCAAAAACCTATATTATGAATTATGAATCTTTAAAAGGTTTGCACTGTTATCTTTATACCAATGGTGCTTGCAAGAGGGAGGGATGATCGGTTGGATTGACGATCACCATCAAGATCAACTATGATCTATACACTCCTGGATGAAAGCCTCACAAGCCATCAACATCCGTCATGATCTCACTATGCAACACTCCATGCAGCTCCTGCGCATTAACTACTCGTTGAGAGTATTTGACAAGCCACTTCATTGGGCTCTCACTTGTGACCAGGTCGCTTCTGAAAAAGATCTGTATAGCTCAGTGGGCCTTATCTGGTAAAATACAAAATTAGTAGCATAAATAGTACAGGAATATCGTTGCTCCATCTCCTTACATATGGTGCCCTGGAAGGAGGTTCCGTCATTTGAGTGAATAATAATCTGAATAACAAGTTATGAATAAGGGTTTGGAATAATTTGCTTTAGCAGGCCAGATATTTTTTTCATTCCATATGTTGTTGGATAATTAATTTTGCATGATTGCTAATTGTGACTCGCTAACTTAAATTTTTTTACATTTGAATTACATTATGTGGATACTTGGACAAATACAATATTTGGCAACCACAGTTGCTGTCGTGTTTTTCTTTTGATTGCTTTTTAAAACATTAAAACAGCCGTGGATGAAAAGTAATACAAATTAAACATCCCTTACAATTATAGTTTGAATACAAACATGAGGAAAAAGTTACCACATTGTTTTCCATTACTTAAAAAGTTGATGAGTAATAGCGCATCACGCTTTTTTTTCAAACTAAGGTAAATCCATTCCCTGTGTATTCGTAAATGCTTGCACAGCTTTTCAGAAGCTTCAGAAGTGAGGCACACTTTGAGGAATGTATTACTCTCATTCTGTATCAGAGGCATCTATCCCCACCGACTTTAATGCAGACTCATATGGGGCTAGAGTTGGTGGTTGTTATGCGGAAAGGGAGAAATACATGCAAGTGCTATGCTGTGCAGTGTGTATCATGTAGGCGTGTAATGGTTCACCCCAGGGGCGGTTTCTTCATTAGGGCGATTGGGCGACGCACTACTAATGTCATTCAACCACAGAGTCACGCTAGCTGTCACTGTGCCTCTGGATATAGTCCAATCAGCGTCATGTCACGTTCTGTGGAGTACCGCCTCTTTTTGGGCGATTTCACTCCGGCTGAGAATCGCCCCGAGTGGCCCCATAGACTTACATGCAAAGATGTTTTTTTTCGAACGGCGGGCGCTCCAATGCATTCTCTATGGCTTCCGGGAGGGCTCGCCCTAACGTGCTTACGTCATCATACGTGCTAACGTCATCATACGTAAGCACGTTTCATCCAACAATATAATTTATCGCCACCTAGTGGAATCTTTAATAAAATAAACTTGAGTGGTTTGTTTTAATAGTGAGTATAGAAACAAACAAGGAGATGTATTGTAAGAGTCACTTTATTTTTCATTAATATTAAAGTAGTGAAGTTGCCTTTACATGCTTAAGCTGTTAATTTATCCATTGCATGGGTGGACCTTATCCTTATCAATCATCCAGACATTTGCCCCCCCTGAGAGATTTTGCAGGAGCCGCCACTGGTTCACCACCTAAGTAATGTGATTCATTGCCATGATTTGGCACTCATGGTTATGTAAACAAAACACATTACTACTCAGTCTAATGTTTGCCGTCTGGTTTGAATTGTTCCTCAGGAGAAAATAATATTTTCCGCTTACTGCAGGTTCCTCCCACAAACATTCGTTAACAGGAATGACCAAATATACAAAAGGGAACCTCCTGAAAAAGACCATTGGGACTTAAAACTATAAAAGATACTTTTATTTTACCCGGTAAGGCCCACTGGGGTGTTTAGCCTTTTTTCAGAAGCGACCTGGCCACAAATGATAGCTCAACGAAGTGGCTTATCGCGTGCAAATTTATGTCAGCCAAATACTCTAAACACATGTTGATTCTAAACGTTGAGGGAAAACCGGAGGATAGAAAGAGACGACAACTCAAATGTACACGCGGCAGGGTCGGAATCGAACCCACGACCTCCTGTCTACCAGGCGAGGTAGTTAACATCTTGCCACTTCGTGAAGCTTTCCTGGGAAAATATAGATATACCAATGTGGCCATGATGCAGCTCAGCGGGTGGAACCACCCTAATATAAACAATGGTCAGGAGTTTGTATTGGGACTGGCGAGCGTTGACCACTTGTTTATGTCTGGCATGAAGAAGGTCTGCATATAAAGATGTAATCAAAGTAGAGCCTACATGCGCTGTGAATGGACTAGTAGCCACGGGGGGTAATGACAGGGGTATCAGTTATGAGTCGAAGGGACTGGTGGCTACAGGAATGATCGAGAAGGGAGCGTGGTCAGATGCTGTTGTGGTGAGGGTCTCTGCCCGATGTCAATTGAACGCGTCTTCAATAAATTGCCATCTCAAGAGAAGTGTGTCAAGTCCTTACAAAGAGATAAGGTATTTGGACTGACTCTTCCACGCTGGCAGGACATCTTGGAAGACACATTTTACCCCACCACACTCGACTAACTGTGATCTACCCTTTAACACTGCCGGGAGGATACCCGTGGGAAGCTTTATCGAAACTTGGGCATTGTTGCAACAGCTGCGCCGGAAAGACATTACCGAACCGACGACCTCTGGATTGCATATGCAGTGCGCCAACCATAACACCAACCGCGGCAATGTCACACGCAGCACGTGAAACGAGCGATGGGCTCACCTGCAGGGTGGAGAGCAGCTCATCCCCCGTGTCCTGCGTGTACACGACATAGCGGAACATGCGCTCGGGATCAATGAGCGTCTCCTCCTTCTCCCAGCGGATGATGATGGGTCTCTCCCCGCGCGCCGAGCACTGCAGGTTGCTGTGCTGGCCTCGGGTCGCCAGCGTCACGTTGGCCTGCGAGGTCACGAGGGCCGGGACTGCACGGGGCACACGAGCCACTTAATAAGCGCCCCGCGGCCGAGTCGGTCGACAAAAGCCTCGCGCCCCAACGTCGGCAACGGCTGTGCTAAATAACAAGGCGGCGTCCATCTTGGTGCCGTGTTGCCGTTTGGAAAGTTCGTGGGGTTCAACAAGGGAAAATTAGTTACGTGCGATTGGATTTGCTTACCCAAAATACAAATTGTTTCTCGGCCATCAAACTGTGGTGGCAATTTTTAAGGGGATTTTCTTTTTTTATGTATAAGCAGCCAGATAAGCTTTTTACTGCTATGACTGGGATAGATTGTGTGCCTCCATGTATCTGAGTACGCTTAAAGTTATTGTAGGAAAACTTCCCAAAGTATAAAACCAATCACTTTGAACCTGAACACGGAGCTTACCAATGTCCAGCCCAGTATTACTCTTCGATTCGTTCGGTAAAGTCACGTAGGTGACTTACCGAAAGAACCAAAGAGTATGCATTCCTGCAGTCACAAAATCTAGATTCAGCCCAGTATTGTTTAAGACGAGTTGATAATACACTATCAAAAATTACCTTTTAAAACATTTACATTTTGTTATTAACCGGCACTATTAGTGTGCCAACAAACATGCCAAACTGCTTCCACTCGCAAAATCTATTTAGTTTTTTGACACTAGTTTTCCAATAATAGTGATATATATACCGTGTTGTGTTTCGATGCAAAGTTTTCGTGACTGCAAGGATTCATCTTCTTGGTTCTTTCGGTAAAGTCACGTAGAAGGGAAATAATAAAAGTAAAACATAATAAAATAAAATTCTCACGACGTTTCGGCGACAACACAAGCAACCATCGTCAGGTGAAGAACAGAGCTGTCTGTTCTTCACCTGAGGACGGCTGCTTGTGTTGTGGCCGAAACGTCGTGAGAATTGTATTTTATTATGTTTTATTTTTATTATTTTATTATTTCCCTTCTACGTGACTTTACCCGAAAGAACCAAGAAGATGAATACCGTGTTGTGTTTTCCAGGTGTCCCTCCAACAATCATTTTCTTTTGTTCACATGCATCTTTAGCTCACATTTCCATAGATATATGCGTCTCATTACATCGCTGATGCTTTCATGCAAGTTATACGTTTGTAAATTGAATATCAATCTGTGCTTTGAGAGTAACGTTTCACACTCTCGCGGAGGCTCTGCCGATTTCCGCACGTTGCATGTGTCCTATCACGCTGTCACCATGCCTCTTCATCTCCACTCAATTCCTCTACCAGCTGCCTCCACGCCAGCTTCATGACGTTTCCACTGAAACTGACACCATTCACTGGCTACCCTCACGCTCCTTGTATGCATGTAAGTATGTATGTTAAACTTCTTTTGCACCGTACGTAGCCAACCGTGCTAATCGGAGGTGCGCAGGGGAAGGACAACAAACTAGATTTAAAAGTGCATAGCTCCAGTGGCTTCCTATTACACTGGTCAACACACTTTTTCTGGCATAAGGTATTCCAACGGCTTTAAGGTAATTTTGGGGTGCTGATTCCAAATCTGGCATCAGTTTTTGACTATCACATCAGGTTTTTGAGATATCAAATATTGCATTTTCAAATAAAAACTGCAGAAGAAAAATATTAAATAAATGTAGATATCTACATAAAATTATATTATAAACACACTATCCTAAAAATACAGCACCATATTTTAACACTAAAGCAGTCACTGACTCGCAACAACTTGTAATCATAAGTGACAGAGTTAATTTCGGGTAAAATCAATGAAAATGGGGTATGCCGATAGCATAAAATGAGATGTGATAGAGCAAATCTGAGATCAGTTTTGGAATCAGCACCCTGAAATTAGTCTAAAACAGCTGCAAAAGTCCAGGCCATAAAAACATGTTTTTTTTTGTTGACCAGTGTTATCGGAAGGAAGAGTGTTCCAGATGGCCGCAGAAGCGCATCTAAAAGTGTGCGATGCAGTCCCCATCTTTGTGTAAATATATGAATGAGATAATAAATATATATTTTTTTTCGCGTCCATCTTTCACGCAAAATGCTATCTCAAAATGCTGCAGAATTTGTAGCGCGCATAGATTTGGCACACAGAGGCACGGGGGAACCTCGGGCAAGTTGGAAAGGTTGCCAGAGCTACTGCTGCCAACAAGTGCTCAGCTCTGTGGTCTCCCTATTGGGATGATTGACGATGATGATTATGACGGCCCAAGATTAAATGGTGATGGCATAAGGCCTTAAGCCAGCAGTGGATAGACAATAGCGGCTGACGATGCAACCATGATTCGCCCCAACCAACTGATTTGGATGAGCAAGTGATATATAACATTTTTGGACAAGTGATATAAAACAGAGCCCTCACAGCTAATGCTCATGAAACTGGCTATGGTACAAATGTACTGCATGCCAAAAACAACACAGAAGGTTAGCAAGCAACCTCCATGGTCAGCCTTCCGTGAAGGAATAAATGGCACAATGCAAATTACATTTCTAAACTTAGCGGATGCACAACTTTTATTTAATATTTTCCTGAACTCTTTCTCCCATATGGGCTTTTGCAGCAATATATCCTTAAGCTTTTACAGCAGTGGTATAATGTTTGTGATGAAATTTAAACGTTATTAACCGCGCACATCGCGAACCAAACCAATTAATTGAAGATAACAGTCTATATTTCTGACATTAAGGAGTTAAAAGTCAAATTGGATATCAGGGCCTAAGGCTCCTATTAGTGCCTTCATTGGAGGCGAGGCCCAATGTTGTGAATTCCTATGGAGACTAAATATCCTACAGCTAATTGTTAACAGCTGTCCTAGTTTACAAAGGCTCTACTTGTGCTCCTCACACGTGTGATCCAGCCAAGGATTACAGAGAAATCTACTTAGAAAGAGTCTTAGCATGGTAAAGAGGGCATTGAGAGAGAGGCCCACGGCAAAATTATGTCTATTTATAGGTGGATGTGTGTAGACAATTCCCAGTGCAAATGTTATACTTTCGTTTTTCCATGCATTTCATTGGCGTACTCTACGTACAAATTAATAGCGGATGGTTAACACTGCCACGGGCATTCACATTGCTACCTAAGGCATGAAATTAAGACTTGAGTACCAAAAGTACTCTCAGCACTACTACCACATTATCCACTACCACCACCCCTGTCCATACATGTTACAGAGACAAGCACGCAATTATATTAAATAGAATGCGCCATGGCCATTTCATTCGGCGCCAAACGATACAGAGCGAATGTATGGCCCTGCAACAAGAACAACCAAGTAAACGAATAACTAAAAAATAAAATAAACTCCATTCGCTCGATTGAACTCTGCCCTTTGGTCCTAATGTGTACCAGTACAGTAGAGAAAAAGGGTGTTTAAAGGTGCAGTCCTATAATTACTTGCTCATGCCATTGCTTTAATGTTCTCCAGCACAGGAAACTCCAGCCGGCACCCTCTAAAGGTTGTTCCACTTTTCCACACTGGTAAGACATCTTGGTAAAGGTTAGAGTACCCCATACTTTACCCAATCACACGGGATATTCATAATAGAGGTTTTTGGTTAGATCGTGTCAATATTTGCGTAAATATTTACGGAAATATATCGAAGTTTTTGGGTTAGATTGCGTAAATATTCATGTAAATATTTGCATGATCTAACCCAAAAACATCTATTCTGGATATCATCGGTCGCGAAAGCCTGGGTGTCACACGTGACCGACTAAGTGTTGTGTATTCACTCATACTGTGGGGTGGACAAGGGCTGGTGGGATTGATGTGTCGTTAAATGTGTCGTTAAACCCGCCACCACCCGATCAAACCCAAAAACTTCGATTACGGATACAATTGGTAGCGTGTTAAAGGCTTCTTTGCCAACACTACTATCATGACAACTACCACAACACCATCCCTGTCACGAAAGAAAACGACTATACTATTGGCACGTATGTAATGTTATATGCAATGTGCAGTGTAACACTTTTTGTAAAAAGAACATTTAAATGTTCTCAAGTAAAAAAAAGTATACGTTTCAGTTTTAAGATTCTAGTAAACGTCTTCAATCAGGTGCAATTGATCTTCTTGGTTCTTTCGGTAAAGTCACGTAGAAGGGAAGTAATAAAATAAAAATAAAACAATAAAATTATTCTCACGACGTTTCGGCCACAACGCAAAGCAGCCGTCCTCAGGTGAAAACCAGGTCCGTCAAGGCAACAGAGTCTGAATGAAACAGCACACGAGCTTGGAGCATATATATAAGCTGGGCGCCTTGACAAAGGAATTTGCATATCAAGAGGAATTTAGCATATTTATGGGAAATGCAGGAATGTGATTAGTACTACATATGCATGTGCATTATGCAGGATTAACAGCATCAAAGGGAGCTGCAGTTGCTGCTGCTGCAGTTGCTGCTGCTGCAGTTGCTGCTGCTGCAGTTGCTGCTGCTGCAGTTGCTGCTGCTGCAGTTGCTGCTGCTGCAGTTGCTGCTGCAATTGCTGATGAAACACTGGTTAAAGTATTGGCAGGTTCATAGTTTCCCATAAATGTTTTTATAATTTTTTTACTGTATAAGCACGGTGGTACATCTTTGTTTTATTATCATTAGTAGTGACAATTACCATTAATGTCCCACATAATATATATTTATAAACTGGATGTCTGCATACACGTGAAAAATTATTCTATTAGCTTAGGTCCAACAGTTGGGCCAAGTGTGTTTTTTTTATTATGTTGACATAAACAATTTTTGTATTCCATTTGAATATATCCATGGTGCCTGTTGAACAGATGGTTGGCTCGCCAAATATAAATTTTATGAATCACTCCCCCCACAAAGCAGTGACAAATGTTATCATAAATCGATAGGAAAATGCCAGAGCGTTATTTAATTACAATACGTGAAAACAGACATGACCATTTGGCATTTTAATGTATTGCTAAATACAAACTGTGCTTTTTTCCTTTTCCCAAACAACTTTCGGGCGGCGAGGCGCAAATGTTCCACTGAATTCTGCTTGCCGCGTGCAAAAGGTCAAATCCCGCGTAGTGATAAAAATAATGCAATCCTTTTAATGAGTTGTCCTGAATGCTAAGTCATGAGTAAGTAGATTGAGCTTGGGGCTTTGGTAGTCTCTCTCCTCTGGCGATAAATGACCCATGTTTTGTCTGGGACTGGAACAAGCCCCAGGTTTACCCTCCAAATCAAGTGGATGGCTGTAATGAGCTATTAGGCTGGATTAATATGACCAGTCCGGTTTGCAGTCATTAGGTGTTTTGTGTGTCATTTTTTTTACAAATGTACCATGTCCTTTACCTAATTTAGATTTTTTTTTCAGTATTGAAATAGCAGGATAAGTGTAGCAACACTGCCCAAAACCTTAATTACAGGCACATGCTGAAAGTTTTTTTTAAAGATCAAAGGCTGATTAATTACTTGAACCATAACCACTTTGATCACGATACACCGCTGTAAATAAGAATGTTTTGAAAGGGCAAGTAAATAATATAAGTGTGCAATAATTATACATTTAAATGTATTCTGAATTTTCAATAGTATTTTCTTGGTGCAGCGGCAATTGAATATTTAGCATGTATTAGTAGTTGTAATTAAAATAGAAAGTGTATACGGAATGTTGTGCAACGCCAAATATATGCACATATTTTAACTTGCGTCACCGCAAAATATGCTCAAACCAGCATTAATGATGTACAAATATTATTACCTTTGCTTTAAATTGAAAATAAAATATTATACAAATCACACATTATAAATCATAAACCCAGATTGATTGCACCAATGGTGAATACATTCCCTTGGGCAACACATTATTTATGCAACAAATCAATAATGTCTCTAAAACCCCGTGTGAAAGATCGTCATCGTTGAGCCCACAGTACCAACGAGGCTCCCAACATTAACTCTTTTGCACAACAATGCTTTGCTCGCAAAGTAAAAGTCCAACAACAACGGCTTACCACCGTAACACGACGAGTATTTCTTCAAGTTGCAAATCATGGCGCAAGCTCAAACGCGTTCCCCCCGGTGGGAATTCCATCACAGATCAAACTTAATTCAATGCAATTTAGATCGTTTTGTTTGACCACAAACCCTATCTAGCAAGAAACCAACTCAATTCTAGATAAACGTACTTTCAAACTTAACGTCGAAGCAAGTTTGTAAACAATTTTTTTACCGCCACATCCGTTGTTTTTCTGATCAAGCTTCTCGTGCAGAAAGGAACCAATTAGGCACACAAAGGTAAACTCATTACGTGGTGTTTGCCACAGGCCTTAAGGTACGCCGCATGTGCTGTGCATCTACAGGGGGGGGCATGTTCTGCATTTGCGGTTCAACCAGATAAGGACTAATCACACTAAAGGCTGAGTGAGTAAAAACCTTGTTTTCTTCTTGGGTTAGTTATCACTATCCTTGAAGATCCACGGTCCTGATATCTGAGCGGTTAAAAGCACAACAACAGGAGAATGCACAAACCCACTTCGGCTTAACAAAAAAAAAGACTCCATTGGCTCATTCAAGAGTGTCGGTAAAGTGACCCTGTGTCTCAGCCCATGGCACCGTGCCATTCATTGCACAGTCAAAATCTGTGAGCGTGAACGGGACCGGCGCAACAGTGTATGTGAGTTCTAGATTTGAAGCTTTCGTGACTGCAAGGATTCATATTCTTAAGTTTTTTCGGTAAAGTCACGTAGGTAAAAAATTTTTTTTTATTAATTTTAAATTTTTTACCTACGTGACTTTACCGAAAAAACCTAAGAATAAGTGTATGTGAGCATCGTACTCTTCACGTGGAGCAGCATCGACTTGCTGATGTCGGTGCCCACTCCATTGCTGACTTGGCACAGATAGAAGCCTCCGTCCTCCTCCTGCACCTGACGGAGGAGCAGGGATCCGTTCCCGAGCGGCTGGAAGCGGCCACCGCCACTCAGCACTGGCTGGAACTGTGGGTTCCCGTTGCCTGTCAATGACACGTGCATGGATGGGGTTGGTGGATACAATTGAGCAGTCTGTCAGTGGCATACACAACCAGGGCAATGCATTGACATGCTGAAAAAAAAAACACAATACTAAATACAAAGAACCTCTTTGGCCATGTGTTCTGTTTAGGCATCTGTAGGGAACTAGCATCCATAAAAAATTGCACGGTACACAAGATAGCGGTTTTGCCCATGTTGACGTTGCAACACATTTTAGACTGAGTTTACCTAGGAGAGGCCTGGGCCCACTATTTTCAGATATCAACTGCCATTGCTGAGCGAGGCCAGGAGTCGTTGAGAACTTAGCGGAGTGCATGAACCACTACGTTGTCATTCCACACAACATGGGCACATGGTGGCAGGAATCCATGAGACAACCCCTGGTGTACTGTCTAACAAAGTAATACTTGTAACCTAGGGAGCACAGCAGCAAAAAAATTGAAGCACAAAAGTCCCGAGTGGAAACCCCAATTGGTGACAATGCAGCTGGCTTCTCTCACTCACTCACTCCAAAGACCGGAGGGCTTTGGATAATAAGGACTCTATAACCGACTTTCATTTCTTATTATGCTAAATAGTGGCCAAACAGTGAAATTCTATCTGTTTGCAAATTGAAAGCGATAATAATACCTCTTATTTTTAATATCACATGCCCTATTTTTCATTCGCATGGCTTGAGACTTATACTTTTTCAATTCCGTTACAATTCACTATTTCTTTCTCGCTATAATTTGAGGCGCTACATCAGGCTTTTTGCGTCAACACATTGATTTTTTTGGTGCATTGTGTTTCGTAAATATTGATACAGAAACCTCTCTTAATGGTGAGTAACGATTATTTTCTCTCAATACGGTACATGTAGTGACGACATGTAGGGCGCGTGGAATACACTCGGACACCTGAATGTCCACCCACCGATGAATAATAAACAAAAGTTTTACCAACATTACACCAATCGTGAACGAGTTTTGTTCACGGAATAGGGATTTTTTTAGTCAGCAGAAACAAAGAAAAAAATATCGGTACAATAACACATCCTCATGGGGGTTGGCCAGTCTCTTGAATTGTCCTCCGTGTCATTTTGAAATATTAAAACCCAGTGTAGAAATGTTATCACATATTAAAGGAAAACATATGAGCCACTAAATCGCAGGCCCTCGGAGGATATTTTGGTGACGCGAGAAATATTCTCCCATCCTGCAAATTAAAGTCTGACACTCCGGGATATCGCAAGCCATCCTTGGGTGTGAGATAACTACTGGAACCACCCTCATTTCATACGTAATTTGGGGCACCCGGCTTCCTATGGAGACAAGGCTCATAAACCATCATATCACGCATTCTCCTGGGCATTACTGCGCAGCTGGACTCAAACTCTTTTTCACCCCAGCATGGATTGAGAAGTGGGGGGTTCCATTACCTGCTGCTAGAAGAAAAATGAGCTGTCAGTCTATGCATACTTTCGCACTGCTCACGAGTAATGGTGTCGGTGGGAATGGCACTCTTCAAGTGTAATACAAACTATGGAAGCTCAAAATGAATTGAACTATAAATATGTTCCCACCCCCGCCAAGTACATATTTTACGGTAATGCAATTTTAGCTCCAGTCTCATAATTGTTTCCGCAAAAAAAAAAGAAGAGACAACATTTTCACACGGAGAAACACAGGAGAATATGTGAGCATTAAAGTCGTTTGCAACAAAAATAAAATAAAACGATATTGCAATATCCTCATAATGGTTGCTGGCGATGTTGATAGAAAAAAAATGCACTTTAGGGTTTTGTGCTATTAGTGTAAATGTGCAATTTAGAATAAACAAGTTGTAACAACTCCCGCCCCCCCATCCTCTGGCGCATTTCACTGCAGTCGTTTGCAACCATAACCGTGTACCTTTTGAGTACTTCCAGATAATCTTGGGTATTGGGTAGCCATCGGCTGAGCAGTTCAAAACCACAGGCTTCCCGAAAATCCCATCTTGGTCCTTGGGTTGAACCACAAAACGTGGTGGCACTGTTAGGAGAAGTCACACGCGCGGCAATGAAATTCAGACCGCGGAGCGAGACGCCCATGCACCGCCCCAGCACCGCGATTTCACTTTGCGCTGCGCTTTAGCCCCCGCGGGTGAAAATATCAGCTATTATGTGCGGGTTATTCTTGGCAAATGGAGCGAGATGCATCGAAAGGGTAAAAACCTTTCGCACCCCCGACGGTGATGAAAGATTCCCATAATGGCTCTTCGTAAGGAGCAGCGTCAACTAAATAACAGGCTTGCGATATTTAGAGGGGGGTTTATTCTTGCCAGTGAGGGTTGAAGGCACAACTGAAACCACTGACACTGTACATCGATATTTATGAAATTATTAGAAAAGTAAAACGTTCGCCCCCACCACCCACCCCAATTTCACGCCACAAATAGAAAAGTGTGCAAAAGGCGAGTAAAAAATTCCATCTTTCAGATTGTTTCGACACGATTTGTTACATTGGGTGTGCTCATTTGTACTGCGGACTCGTTTCATCTGCCATTCTCTATATACTGGTAGATCAAACGTTAAGACCGCATCTCATCCTGTGTAGGTGTAATCCATCTCGCTGCTGCACACACCTTCATTTCATCATGCCCCAATGGTCATCCAATTGATCACGTTTCTTTCATTTCTCATCCATCGTTAATTATATCAAGACAATCATCGTATATTGATGGCATGATGCGGAAGTTGCTGCAATGTCCAAACCAATACATGATCTTCGGCGTTTTGTCCTCCATGCCGCATGGCACGTAATGTGTAAATAATGTATTTATCCCAATTACAAAACATATACCGCATACATGTTTTAATTACATTCTTTGCTTAATTGCAAATTAATACTTGTTAGTATATTTATATGACACGTGGATATTGACATGGTAAAAGTAACTTAAGCTAAAAGGTGTGCAAAGCAACGTGGAGGGGGTTAACGCCTGTAATTTACTTGACATCTGTGAAGAAGAGATTAATAGCTCATCGGATTCCTTCAGTACAAATAAAGATTCTGAATTACACTGAGAGAAAGAGGAACACATTGATTACAGGGCATGTGCAAGTTAAAGATATCACATAGTGACTTTCAGGAATGGCAAGTGGGATTGGGCCGGGACGTGTCGCTAGGAGGAATGACGGTGGCCTGTGGTCGAGGCTGATGATGGAGTGGCAGCCAATGGAAGGGACGCAATTTACTGTCTAGAAATGTTTTTTCAGTCTTATTTGGGATCAGAGGTCGCAAACGGGTTTTGATTTCTTACCCGTACCCGGCCGCACCAGGGTCGCAAACGTACCTGGCCGTACCCGTACCCTACCCGTACCCGGCCGGGTACGGGTAGTGTATCGGGTACCTGATTGCGACCTCTGGGATGAAGCCATGTTGCAGGCGCGGGTGGGTTGATTCTAGGAACTTGAATTGTGAGAAGAGACAAGATGTTGGGAAATGAGTGACAAACAGTTACTCACCAGTGACTCACGGTCTACCCGTACCCGGCTGCACCAGGGTCGCAAACGGCTACCCGTACCCGTACCCGGCCGGGTACGGGTAGCCGGGTATCGGGTAGGGTACGGGTATCGGGTATCCGGTTGCGACCTCTGTTTGGGATATGTTTTTGTCAAGTAAATTGTTTACCTTTCCTATACGTTCTAACCCGCCCCGACTGGACATCGGCGAAAAGAGCTTTATAGCTCACCGGATTCCTCCAGAATAAATATGATGTTGCGATTGTGATTGCTTTGGAGCTCGTGTCCAGGAGCCAAGGGAATTGTTGCATTGCGAGATTGTGAAAGAAGATCATGAACAGCTTCATGACGTCGCACCTCCGATTAGTATGTTTGGCTACATACAGTGCAAAAGAAATTCAACATACATACAGCTTAAAGAGAGGCCTTCAACCAGCAGTGTAGAGATCATTATTGATGATGTTGGTTGTATTCATCTTCTTGGTTCTTTCGGTAAAGTCACGTAGAATGGAAATAATAAAATAATAAAAATAAAACATAATAAAATAATTCTCACGACGTTTCGGCCACAACACAAGCAGCCGTGGCCGAAACGTCGTGAAAATTATTTTATTATGTTTTATTTTTATTATTTTATTATTATTTCCATTCTACGTGACTTTACCGAAAGAACCAAGAAGATGACTCCTTGCAGTCACGAAAGCTTTAAATCGAAAAGATGGTTGTATTATGTTTGCCATCGTCCCTTTCTATTTTGTGCACTAGGCTTTTAATCACGTGTTTATTTTGTAGCGTTTTAACAATGCTAGATGATATATATGTGCTTTTACTTGTTTCTTTTTTACTTTGTCTCCCATTGAAAAAGAAGCGCTTAATCTCAATGGGTTCTCACATGGTTACACATACAGAGGATATCCTCACGATCCATATTACAATGTATTCAATATTCACGACAAATCCTTTGATCTTATTAATAGGAAGGGTACTCATTTACACTGGGGGTCAGAAAAACCGGCTTGCACTGCTGAGACATCAAGTTGAAGCCCTCAGGCTGTGTCACGCAAGGGTCTTCTATCCATGTCAGGGGCAACCGAGTCAGTACCTCTGATACATCGAGTTAAAGCCCTGGGGCTGGACACCTCCTGAGGCCCCCGTCTACGTGAGAATACTGCGTGAGCGCCTCTGTGATCGCGGGTTCAAGCCTTTGGGCAGAGAAGTGAAAATCGAACACTGTCTGACAAGGAATCTTGAGTGCGGGTTGCGCACATGGGGTCCCCACTGAACTGATATGTGCTACAATAAATAAATAACAGAAGCACAAAATGAGAATTTCCTATCCATATCATCATAATTAGCTCTGGGTGCACAGGGGTAATTAGAATGTATCTTCGTAAGCCTGCAACAAAACAAATGCAAATAAAACCGGAAGAGTTCACGGTGTGCGTATGCAACGGATGGGGATAACTCAACCTTGTAAGGTGGTGGTTTTCAAATATTAGAACAATTTGGCTCATCATCATAATTATTCTCCTGCCTCCAGGGTTGTAAAATATGCCAAATCTGCCCATCGACACTTTCTAAACGTTTGTCCTATGTGGGAACAGGAGGCACAATCATCATGCTGAATTTATATTCGCACCACTGGCTTTGGACTGCAAATGGAGATCACCCCTGCCCAACGCTCATTATATCCTGAAACGAGTTGTACTTTTAACGGTTCGAGAGAAATGTTTATTGCTACACAGGAGATCATCCTGCACAGACAGGGGTATGATGCATGCATAATGAAACAAAGCACCATCAGTTTTATGAAGACAGTTACTATTAGAGGTATCAAGATACATCAATTAATTTATTGATATGAACATCGGTTCACGGTGCGTGCATGAAATCATGTATGTAAGAACTGATCCCCCCCCCCAATTCATATACTTTGCATGTAATGAGTTCAGAATCTGATTAAAATCAGAATCTTCATTCCTACCGGTAGTAATCCAATGAGTTATAAAGCTTTTTTCACAGATATCCAGTCGGGGCGGGTCATAAAGTTACAACAACAAACAATACAAAAACACGTAACCCGTGCCATCACTTGCGGGCCGCTACATTCTCTACAAAAACAAGACAGCAACAACAACAAAAATCAGACTCCTGAAAAGAATTTGCGACGATCTTGCACCAACAAGTCGCGGTGGGCGAATCTGCCACGCATCTCGTAACTGTCACCGGCCGACAAGGCGGGAGGACAACGCGGGAGCTACCTCTGACGATCAGCTGACTCCCGTGGCTGACGGTGGCGGCCTCGTTCCTCGCCAGGCACGTGTAGTTGCCGTTGTGGAGCTGCGTGACGTTTGGGATGAGCAGCGAGCTGATGAATTCCGTTGTCTCCACCTGGGCGCCCAGGCGAGGCGGCAGCGGCTGCCCGTCTTTGTGCCACGTGATGCGGATGGGCGAGTCGCCGGACACGATCACGCAGGGCACGTAGACGCGCTGGCCCTGCGTTACCGCCGGCATCTCGAATGGCTGGATGAGCGGCGGCTCTGCCGCATTCGAACGGACGGACGTAGGAATGGGCCCCCCCCCCCCGAGTCAATTTTAGCCCTCGTTGTGCGGCCACGGATAAAGCGGTGCAGATAGGAGGCATTTGTGTCACGTGACCAACCTCATTGTTAGCCAGGCATCTTTGAAAAGAATGGAATGATTCGTATTTAATGTTTAGGTGTATTGACTAAAGCTCACATTGGCCACCCCGAGAGGCTGTAACTCACTATAATATAGATACTGATAGTTTTTTTTTACCCTTTGATCTGACAACAAAACTGACACCTTTTTGCATTGACCACATGACGTCCAACACCATGTGAGACTAGGCTCTAAGGAAAGCTGTCTCGGGTGTGGACCAATTAATTTCAAGGACAGTGCATACATTATCAGAGTTGTGTTTTTTGTTTGCATTCCGACCGCAGGTATTGTGGTCAATGCAAACATGACTCCTTGTAAAAAAAAGGTGTCAGTTTTGTTGCCAGATAAAAGGGTAAAAAACCAATTATCATATTTTGCTACTGGCAAAGGAGGTTCCAATGGTGGAATATAGATACTGTTATGGTAGAAATATTTGTATTGATTATGTTTATTATTATTATGTTTCATTTTATTTGAATCCTATTATGTTATTAAGTATGCATTTAAAATGCCTTATGTTTAAATGTCCATGAGTACATGGAAATGTCAAAATATACATGATATTCTTCTGTGGAAATAAAACACATTATTCCTGCTAAGATGGGCTTAATAACTGTGCCGTAACCTTTTTGCTGGTCCCCATAAACTAAGAATTACCAATTTCTCAGGGATGGTAAATCTTTTTGACACTCATCGTTCTGCCAATTTCTGAGATCCAAATTAAGAGTCAAAAGTCCCCAGCACCACAAACCATCAGTTGTGTGCCACGTTACAGCGTGTGTGTAATAACCAGGCAATGGCAGAGACACAGAGACACCGCATCGCCTACCCAAGTGTGAAATCCAATTACCAACTGTACAATATGGCCAAAAAGTTCGTACCTTTCACAGTGACAATAAGACTCCGGCTTGGGCTGGCTCCGGGCTGCACCAGCACGCTGCAGATGTATGCCCCCTCATCCATGCCCTTCTGCACGTCTGCCAGGCGTAATGTTCCATTGGCGAACACCGTTTGCCTGTGGTTATAGGGTAGCGGAGTGCCCTCTCGCAACCAACGGATGGAATAGTAGGGGTAGCCGATGACGCGGCAGTGGAGGTAGGCTTCTCTGCCGGCAATAGCCGTCACGTTGCGCATCGGACGGATGCTTGGAGATCCTACAGCGGGGTAGAATTGCACGAGCGCTCAGGAATTTGTGCCGTGGTTAATCAAGCAATCAATGCGACGCATCTTAATGAAACGTTCAATTGAATGGCTGCAATTTTTTTTTTTTTACCAAGTGAAATTAATTATCTTTGTCGTGCCACCATTAATGACCGAGGTGACATATTTTGCATCTGAGCCATTATTTTGTTGGGCCCAATTTAGTTGAAGGTAATTTTATTTTAATTGGGAACTTTATCTGTGATGATGATGCAGGGTGGGCTATTTGTGGGAATGAAAAAGCTGCAGCGCATTTAACATCTGCCTTAGAGCAGACAGTGAACTATGGGAATTCCCGATGTAATTTTCAAGGCAGTGGCAGGAGACAAATCATAGACTCTCTGCAAAGAGGCCCAGTCGTCATTGTGCTGACTACAAGGTTATGTAGTGGCCCATTCCATGGTAGGTAATTACAAATGCATAATTATCAATCGAAATAAAATGCAGATGTGCGCTGTCCACAAACAAATGTGAACTACACAATTGTAATGCTAGCCGATGGGTTATAACCTTATTTACCTTGACCTGAAAGAAAAGCACCTCTAATTGCAAAATCTCTTTACGGACACTTGGCTCGCGTTTGGTTTATTTTACAGGAAAAAAAAAACCTTTATACGGTGCAGGTCCATTAAACCGTACAAAGCGTGTTTACAACTGGGGTAATATTACTTGTTTATTGCTGGTGCTTAACTTGGCGATAACAGGGATGTATAACGGCCCACACGGAGGCCTCTGGTTTAGTGTCTTCTCTGTTCTAAACTGCTCAGAATGCAGCACGAAGGAAGCAGTTTTAGCTCGTCTACAAGTTGATCAAATGCTGCCTAAAAAACAATCTCAAATCAGGCTCTCCAAGCCACTGCCATCAAATATCTTACAAGGGCAATGGCATTTCTCAATAAAGAAAACGTGGCCTTGTTTTTGGAAATCATTATCAATGAGTATTGATTCATTATCTGTGGCTTAACATTTGTTTGCATACAACTTTAAACATCTCACAGCAACAGGCGACAAGCTTAACTATGCTGCATATAGCATCTTTTTACACTGTGTATTAAGTGTTTCATAACAGTGAGCCAAATTCGCATTGGAATCTTAATTATTTTCGACAAATAATTTCGAAAAAATGCATAGGATTCTAATGTCTGATTTGTAGGTGCTATTGATATAGGGAGTGATGGCGCAGTGGTCAGCATCCTTGGTGACCTGTATTTTGTTCCTGGCCATGGTAAACATCATTGGCAAGTAAGTGATTTATGAAGTGGTCCTGGGTCTCCCCTAGATTGACTCATCCTGAAATGAGTACCTATTGTGGTTGTGTGCACATCAGCACTGCGGCGACAAAGGCGGCTGGCCAAGGTTCTGGCCACACCGCCCCTATGCAGGATTTATGAAGGCCCGTTAACAAAGCTTGCCCAACAGTTCACACAGGCTGCATGGGGAATCTTTGTCATTTATATGGAGGAAATTAAGACACAGCGGCTGATATATAGTTTGTTATAAAGCTGGCAAAACCGAGTTTGATTCCGGACAGCAGCTAATATGCGTGACAAGTGATAGCCGAAACTGGATTGGGCCTCATATAGATAAACTCAGCATTAAAATCAGCATCTGGTGCAATATGCATATTTTAGCACTGGAGAGAAAGAGGCGGTGTAGCATTGTGTCAGCCACACCACCCCACTCGTGCACGTGCCGGCTTTAATTGGGTTGCCAACCAAAACACTTTGTCCAACAATCTTGATGGCTTTACGGTACGTCTTGGTGTTATTGATGTACATGTGTGAGACTGATGCATAACTCTGAGGTTCGTGACCGCTACATGCAGCAATAGGTAAAGTTGTGTCCACATATGACCACAGATTTTTGACTGGTTGGGGTGCGTCCAAGCGTACAGTGAAACCAGAGTTAAGGCCCGACATTGCATAGTGACTAGCTGCACTACTAATCACCGATTACTAAAAGTGAGGCACATTGTTTTCGGAATTTAAGTTAACCCCTGGAAAATGGATGGTAAATGTCTATACATTTTTTTAAAATCTATACAGGGGAAACTGCAAAGGCACTGAGAAATAAAAAACATACATGACACTGAGGTCAGCACACGATCTTAAAAGTTCCCCGCACAAAAAAATGCGTGGGCTCATATCTCAATTCAGTTTCTCAGTGCCCTCGTTTAAATCAGCTCCCGTCAATTTTTCTAACGCTTAAACAAATGCCAGATTTGACCCCCCCTCCTCTCTCTCTCTCAATCTCCTAAGCGCCTCCACCAATTGGTAAGTCGTCGGCGGCTGGAGGGGGAGGTGCAAGGGGCACAATCGCCACTGGTCACACCGGGCACACGTTTCACTGCAGCGAGCGTGCACGCACCCCCGTGTGCGTGTGTGAGAACAGAAATAGCCGTTAAGCACCTCTTACGTTTATGCGTGCCTGGTACTCGGCCTGGCCCGCGGTGTTGCCGGCCTGGCAGCGGTACACCCCGCCGTCCGTCACGCGCGCGCCCGTCACGTTCAGATAGCCGGTCACCACGGCACCTCCAACTTCTCCTCCACCTTCTCCCGCTTCTGCCACTCTCGCTTCTGACCCTGACCCTGCCGCCGCCGCAGGCCCTGCGCTGTCACCGTGGGTGACGATGTGGTTTCCGCGGCGATGGGGAGCGTCGCGCGAGAGGGCCGGCTCGCCGTCGAGGGTCCAGGCGATGGTGGGGGGCGGAGAGCCGCGCACGACGCACTGCAGCGAGAAGGGCTCCCCGGGGCTCACGACGCGCTCGCTGAACGACGAGGCGATCTTCGGGCTACCGTCTGCGGCGTGGGGGGAAAACACAACGGCGATTGTGAACGTACATCCCATGCATGAAATTTCGATTTAAAGCTTTCGTGACTGCAGGGATTCATCTTCTTGGTTCTTTCGGTAAAGTCACGTAGAAGGGAAGCAATAAAATAATAAAAATAAAAACATAATAAAATAATTCTCACGACGTTTCGGCCACAACGCAAGCAGCCGTCTTCAGGTGAAGACCAGGTCTGTCGGGGAGACAGCGTCGAAACGTCGTGAGAATTATTTTATTATGTTTTATTATTGTATTACTTCCCTTCTACGTGACTTTACCGAAAGAACCAAGAAGATGAATCCCGTGCATTGTGAATATCGATTTGTTCATTTGCGTGTCTTGGACTTATTGCGCACCGTACGTAGACAACCGTGCTAAACTAAATCTTTATTTTTTATTTTTACCAGGGAGGGCCCACTGAGCTGTATAGCTCTTTGTTAGAGGCGACCTGGCCACAAGTGATCACCCAACGAAGTGGCTTATCGTGTAGAAATTGACAGCAGACAAATACTCTAAACTGTTTCTAAATGGACCTGGAGTAAAATACAAACTTGTCATGAAGTTAAAAACTAATTTACCTTAACAAAGCAGCAAGTGTCACATTTGTGTGCGACTACAACTCCGCGCGTCACATTAATGTAAATTGTAATGAAAGTAATTATATAAATAAATAAACAACATGACATTTTTTTTACTCGAGTAATTAATTTCTTCACTCGGTGACTAAATATACCACGAACAATTTTCAGTGCTCTGCATCAGCACTGACCCGGCATCATCAGCAAGCCGTGGTGACCTGCTGTGATGGCACAGGGGTTGTTTTTTTATATCCCCTTGCTAAGTGAGCAAATAGGACGGCGACTGGAAATGCGTGGCTGCCCATTGTATGCAAATCAGCATCTGTCAGGAGGCATTTTCATCGCCTAAAGCAGATCGCGACGCCGTACGCACCACCCACTAATAAGAACTGACTTCATCTTGCAGTGTCTACCCCTCTGGTAACGTAACATTTTTTAAAAATTAAAACCATTAGGCATAGTCGCTTGATTCTCAAGGGGTCACAGAGTGCGTGTGGAATTTTTTTGGCGGGGAAACTTTCATCGGACATTTAATTTGAACCGTTGGAAATAACCGTGAGAGATGAAACGAGACAGCAATATTCTTTACTTGTCGAGAAAAGCCTCAACCAGGGTCAGTCCTCTCCTAAACCATCGAGGTGGCAAAGAGAGTGCCTCACAATCGGAAGGATGCAAGCTCAAACAACTACTTCTTGGTATGGGTGTTGACTCAGCCCATCATCCCTGCGGGGTCGTTAAAATAAGCAACCACCATTGGAACCTCCTTTGCCAGTAGCAAAATATAATTGTCTTTTTACCCTTTTATCTGGCAAGAAAACTGACACCTTTTTTTTGGCGTCATGTGGTGAAACACCATGTGAGACTAGGCTCTAAGAAAAGCTGTCTCGGGTGTGGACCAATACATTTCAAGGACGGTGCATACATTATCAGAGTTGTCTTTTGTGTTTGCATTCGGACAGAAGGTATTGTGGTCAATGTAAACATGACTCCTTGTAAAAAAGGTGTCAGTTTTGTTGCCAGATAAAAGGGTAAAAAAACAATTATAATAAGCAACCACTTTGGGGCCAAGAGCAAGATACAAGCTCCATCTCAATATTCATTTGAGAAAGAAACCACTTTGGTAATTGTTGTACTCTTTCCTTTCAAGGATGTTCCTGCATAATTGGATGTTTGACCAGTTTCTTAAATGGCAAATTTGAATTATTCCTTTTATCTGCTCAAGTGTTTACCAGAACCATTGAAGAAGACACACTGCTGTAAAAGTCCCCCCCCCCCACACTCCACCACCCCTTCTCCTTTAAGGCGAGGAAGGGGTGGTGGGGGGGGGGGGCTCAATTGATTACCTGTGACTTAACATTCAAATCATAAATGCACCTAGTATCGATGAAGCAAATCGGCTGCGTGGGGCAACGCACCCTCTAGCATGAGGATGGAGAAGTCCTGGGCGGTGTCTCCCCCCTCGCCCCGCGCCACGCACTGGTACGTCCCGCCGTCACTCCTGCCAGCCGCGTGCACCGACAGCCGTTCGCCCTGGGCCCCCGATACGCTGGCCGTAGGGGTCGGCGGGTCGCCGTTGTGGAACCACGTGACCATGCCGTCGCCCGCCGCTCCCGACACCTCGCAGGAGAACTCCGCCGTGCCGCTCAGCGTGGTCTTGAGACGGTGTGGATCCACCCTCACCACCACGGGGGCTAAAGCGGTGAGCGTGCAAAACAACCGGGGAGGTGCCGAGGGCGGTGGCCCGTAACGTGAACGTTAAAAAAAAAGTCTTTGAATATCATCCAAAAGCAAAGTGTGACGAATGATAAATTCGCGCGTAGTTTACGAAAAGCCTTAAACTCATGTTGATGAAGTCCCATGAGCCTAAACGACAACAACAAATTGCTTTTTTTATTTACTATATTTGCTGTTATATTGTTATGGAGGGAGCTCTGTGATGGTCAAATTCTGGGGTAAATAAAAAATACTGTTATCACTTAGATATCCGAGTGGTATTAACTAATCATTTAACGTTGTAATATTTGTTATTTAATTATTTGTATTTTAGCAGATAAGGCCCACTGAACTATATAGTTATTTTTCAAAAGCGACCTGGCCACAAATGATATTTGAATGAAGTGGCTTATCATGTGGACATTTATAGCAGCCAAATACTCTTAAACGCGTGTTTATGAACGTGGAGGAACAAAACTGGAGGGCCTGGAGAAAAAAACAAATATACAGGCATGAGGATCGGGATCGAACCATTGCACTCCTGTATACCAGGCGAGGTAGTTAACATCCCACCACCGTGGTGCCCTGTGGTTTAGCAGTGATGTGACTCAAACCCTAATCTCTGAATCTCATGAGATACCATCAAAATAATGAAATAATGAATAATTGCAACAGCAATTCCAACAGGAGGCAATTATGAGCCAGTATCTTCACTCAAAAGTGGTTCATAATACAATCGGTATGTCATTAGATCGCTCACCATAGGAATGGTTTATGTTGGCAATGATACGGACAATAAATAGCATGATGGTTTTATATTGTTTGATTAATAATTCACAATAATTGTGATGATTGATGATACAATACAATATAACACAATTTGGATTTGCGACCACATGTCAAAATAATGCAACTGAGGGTGGGTTTTGGCATGGGCATGCATATCGTGTCCATCCATGATGGTTTATAATGATGATGATGCCAATGCTGGAGATAATGGCAATGCTGGAGATAATGTTACTGCTGCTGATGATCCTGCTGATGATGATGCTGCTGCTGATAACGATGCTGCTAATGATGGTGATGCTACTGCCACTGAGGATGAAGATGCTGATAACGATGCTGCTAAGGACGATGATCATGCTGCCACTGATGATAAAGATCCTGCTGTTAATAATTCTGCTAATGATGCTGACGATGCTACCGCTGATGATGACGATGTTGCCGCTGATTACGATTCTGCTAATGCTGCTGCCGATGCTGATGATTATGATGACGCTGCTGCCGCTGATAACGATTCTGCTGATGACGCCGACAGTGCTACACGACAACGATCTCACTCATCCGCACTTAATCCGGCGAGTGGGTGGGATGGTGGTGTGGGGGGGAACCCTTCACCTTTGATGGTGAGCCTCCCGCTGACGGCCGCCACCCCGAAGCTGTTCCACACCTCGCAGACGTAGGCCCCCGAGTCCTCCACCGTCGTGTCGGTGATGACGAGGCCCGAGCCGCCCGCGCCCCGCCGCCGGTCGGGAGGCAGCGGCACGCCGTCGCGGAGCCAGCGGGAACGCGGCGCCGGGTGTCCCGCGGCCGTGCACGCCAGCTCGGAGCGCGAACCCGACGCCGCCACCACGTGCGACGAGAAGCCGTCCAGAATCGACGGCGCAGAGTTCACCAACTCTGGCGGCGAAGAGGGGACGGGAACGGGCGGGTTTTGGCACGGTGTCGCGTTGCCGGTAAACGAAGCCGGCCGCGGCAATGTTGGGCTGTCCTTTTGGACAAACTATAAACTAAAACTAAACTATTTTTTATTTTAATAGGTAAGGTCCACTGAGCTATATAGCTCTTTTTCAGAAGCAACCTGGCCACACAAATGATAGGTCAACGAAATGGTTTATCATGGGCAAATTTATAGCAGCCAAATAATCTAAACGCACGTTGATTCTAATCATGGAGGGGAAAACCAGAGGACCCAGAGAAACATCCATGCGACCACGGGGAGAACATATAAACTTCCACATATACAGCCGCCAGGGTCGGGATCGAACTCACGACCTCCTGTATATCAGGTGAGGTAGTTAACATCTCACCACCGTGGTGCCCAGTCACTGTTGTCAATGCACTGCTGGATGAGGGCGTACGTCTCTATGGATATCCTCATTATGGGGGTTATTTGACCATACTTTTTCAAAGTGGTCAGTGTTGGTTGGTTGAAGGTAGGGAGCATAGACAATGGAGCACAGTATAGTCCAACAATGAATGTTGCTCCACTGCCCTCTGCTGACGTCGTAGGCCCACAGTGAACAATTAGATACCTCCATTTGTTGAAAATTTTTTGCACGTGTAGGTGAGATTGTGGATGTACAGTTAAGTAAAAATGTGTACAAAATTTAATTTAAAAAAATGCATGAATAATAACACCGCCTTATAACAGAATAAGTATATGATGATGTTGATTAAAATGTCCTTTCTTCAGAGACAAGGCAGACAGTTTAACACGTAGGCTTTCATGACCAATATCATACATAATAGAGGTTTTTGGGTTAGATCGCGTAAATAGATAAATGTGTCATTAAAACCCACCACCACCCGACACAGCCAACTAGTAAGGATTGTCACGTAAACAGGTTGACTCACTTTATAATTAGGGGGGGGGGGGGTCACACTAAAAACCGTGGGCCCCTCAGATCACTCTGCAGTATAATTCACCACATTTTTGCATTTATTTATGAACTTATTTTAAATGTAGTTAGCCGTTCACCATCTTATTTGCCCTTCGCCACATCCATGCATGTTTAACATGTAAGCTTTCGCGACCAATATTATCCATAATAGTTTTTGGGTTAGATCACGTAAATACAAGTATGTCGTTAAACCGCTACCATCCGACACAGCCAATTATTCAGGTTTGTCACGTAAACAAAATCTGCCAATTCGTTACTAGTTCAGCACACCGGTGTGTTGAGTAAAATCACAACATTTCGAATTCGTGTAAGACGTTCCGCCGTTAATTACAACCAGTATCATCAGGCGACAGCCGGTGTTGCGGATAAATCCTCCTGTTTCGGTCTTAAATCGAGGGATAAATGTGATGTCACTTTTTCTTTAGACATAACGTCTCTGTAGACGATCTCCACGACCCATCTTATTCACCGTCTGCCCTCTCATTCTAAACGCTCGCAACTTCTCAAGTTTTGTCAATTTTCATTCATCTACACTCTCTTGGATAGCCTCATTTAATCTATCACCTTTCACATCACCCCCCCCCCCCCACCACCTCTACACGATCGTTCAAGGAAGTGCTGATGAAGAGTTCACGTTAATCAAGCCTTCCCAGGCCATGCAATTCTCCACGATGTCAGCGTGTATCCCCCGCACGTCCGTGACCCCCACCATGAACGGCTAATCACAGTTATAAATAGGGAAATGTTCAAATATGAATGTTGGTAAACTGAGATTCACCTGAGGAGTACATCCTCACTCGCGAGGGATAATGTAATATCCACATGCATGCGGTTTTTTTCGTGTTGCCTCGAGGTAATTAGTAAGAACGGTGCCGTAACAGGCCAATAAAATACTGACAAAATGACCTTCAACGCAGGATAAATAGGGGGTACACGTTTACACATGTATTACAAATGCATAATTCTAACGACTAAAATTACTCCACCAACATATAATGGTGTGGTGGTGTTTTTTTGCCTTGAACGTTTGAATTCTCAGTTGCCCGTTTGGTTTTTTCATTTGAATCTTGTTTGTTTCTAGTGAATTAAAAAAACGTACTGTGGGATGTAATAACATCATAATTTTAACCTAAGAATATAGAAATACATGATCAAATGTTCCAATTATTACCTAGTAAATCATAATTACTCCATAATTAGAAGTGTATTTTAATTTAAAAAATATTAATCTTACATCTCAGTAATTGAACGCGAGGATAATTAAAGTGCGTACACTGTGAGAAATGCACATATTCATATTTAGTCATTCTGGGACTACACAGTATTTCATACTGGTAGGAACCTCCTGGTTACACCAGCCCACAGGAAATGATTGTGTCCGTCGTGCAGGGAGGGGCTGGGTGGGGAGGGAGGGGAGGGTGGGGAGGGGCTGGGTGGGGAGGGAGGGGAGGGTGGGGAGGGGCTGGGTGGGGAGGGTGGGGCTGGGTGGGCGGTGGGGAGGGGCTGGGTGGAGAGCGTGGGGGGTGGGAGGAGTGGGGCTGGGTGGGGAGGGGCTGGGTGGGGAGGGTGGGGCGGGTGGGCGGTGGGGAGGGGCTGGGTGGAGAGCGTGGGGGGTGGGAGGAGTGGGGCTGGGTGGGGAGGGGCTGGTCACCCCGTGGTGCCCTTATAAAACTCAACGTTTAACCTACTCACGCCGGCTTGTGCCCGCCCTCATAGTCGGCCATATTTGCGGAATACACCACGCCGCCATTGACCCTGGCCATTGACCGAGCAACCCAACGTTCCTACCAGCTCCCTCCGCAGGAATGTGTTAAATTAGTGTTTCAACCGAGATAATTATCCAGCTGTTCCACCTCAGATTCACTTTCAGACATGTGATAACACTTTTATAACAGCACGCATTCATACGTGCAAAGGAGTTTGAGATTTACCCAGCAGCACGAATACACAATCAACGTGAAAGGTCTTTTTTTTTGTAGTGGACATTAGAGAGTATTATTTATATCATAACCGGAGCAATGAGCAACGCAAACCACGACATATCTGGTTAACTTTACACAGCCAGATGAATGGGTGGGTCATTAGCTCTTTTAGCTGAATGGACAAAACAGAGAGAATGCCTGCGGATGGAATGGACGAGAATGGAGAGATTCAAAATATGATGCGAACGTGTGGATGGATTAATGGAGGGAGCAATGAGCAACGCAAACCACAACATATCTGAAATCTGGTTAACTTCACAGACAGATGAATGGGTGCGTCATTAGCTGCCTTAGCTGAACGGACAAAACAGAGAGAATGCCTGCGGATGGGATGGACGGGAACGGAGAGATTAAACAGATGATTCTATATTTGAAGCTTTCGTGACTGCAAGGATTCATATTCTTAGGTTTTTTCGGTAAAGTCACGTAGGTAAAAAATTTAAATAAAAATTAATAAAAGTAAAATTAAAATAAAATAAAAATCACGACGTTTCGGAGGCAACACAAGCATCCGTCTTCAGGTGGAACCGTCACAGCAAGATAGCTGTATCAAGTAAGAGAAATTCCAAGAAAACAGTCCTTGTATATATGTAGAGGTGATACGCGCTGGGATTAAGGATCGTAGGCACAGTGCGTGATGATTGGCTGTGTAGGTGGTGACGCGCGCTGACGGTGGAGGATCAGGGGTCAGCGCGGGGTCGTGGGTTACGGGGTACCGATTGGCTGTGGGCGGTGACGCGCTGAGAGGGAGTGATCAGGTGGCAGCGCAGTGTGATTGGTGGAGTAATGTTAACACGCGCTGGGGAAAGCGGATCGTAGAGAGAGTGCGTCGTGATTGGGTCATTAAGGAACGACGCTCACGTCGACGCCGCATCAGCTCCGTCCCTCGTGAGCAGGGGCTATAAAAGGGGATGCACACAGGCGTAAGGGCAGTGTGTAACCAGCGAAGAAGGAAGACGGGGATGAAGACCTAGAGCCCTGCGGTACCTAGCCCCGCTGTCCTAAGGGGACCGGGACTCTGTGTAACCCAGAGGCGAGTGTAGTGGGTGTAGCCATAGGTCTACACGAGCCGAATGTACTATGTGTAGCCAGGGCATAGGGCTTACACGAGTCGAGTGTATTGTGTAGCCAGAGGCATAGGGCTTACACGAGTCGAGTATATTGTGTGTAGCCAGAGGCATAGGGTCTACACGAGTCAAGTGTATCGGGTGTAGCCAGAGGCCTAGAGCTTACACGAGATTAGTGGAGTGTGTCGGAGGAAGAAGAGAGACCACACGTTGTATTGTGATACCTAAAGGATTTAATAAAAGTGTGTTACCCGTCAAGAAGTTCCTGCCGTCAATTCCCATACTTCAACTGGCGTCAGAAGTGAAACGGTCCTCCAAGCATGGATACAAGGAGGAACCGTCGGACCCACGGGATTGACCACGAGGACAACCTCGACGACGCGGGCCAGCGGGCATCAGGGGGTGAGGAAGAGGAGCTGCCCACGGGGCAGGATCCACCGACGGCGCCGGTCGAGCGACGGGGGACTGACACCGTGCTTCACGAGGCACACTCCCGTCTGGCGGAGCTGCTGCTCGCCGCCGCGTCCATCTTGGCGGAGATCAGCTCGTCGGGAGGAGCGGGGACGGCGGCCGACGTGCTACAGGGTCGCCCTGCAGATTCCCGCCAAAACGATTTGGCGATTCCCGCCATTTCATCCGCTCCAACTTTTGGCGGGAACGGCCATCACCACGTGACAGCGGTTCTCCATGCGCGGCCGCTGACGTCACCAACGCGCGCGGCGGACCGCCATCACACACCCGCCACTGGGGCCGCCATCTTACACACCGACGGGGGGGCAGAGAGGAAGCACGAGGAGGAGGACGACTTTATCTTTCAGCAGCGCCTTCCCACGTTGTCAGCATTCAAGGCGGAAGGCGGGGATTGGAGCCAATTTCAGCGCAGATTTTTGGCGCATCAAGAGATGTCCGCCTGGTCCGACGCTACGGCACTGCGGGCACTGCCTGCC